TATAGATTTAATATTTTTAACGTTAGGTTTGTCTTATTAGATATATTAGTGGATATATTAAGATTTAGGATAAGGTTTAAATTAAAGTTAACAATTTAAATATAGAGGTAATTAAATATAAGTTATAAGAAGTTAGATATATTATATTTGGAAAAAAATAAGAAAAAGGTTGTAAAGAGGTATATATAGAATTTAATAACGAAATTAAAGAGATTATTAACGTTTATTTAAGTTATAAAAGTGATTTTTTTATTGAAGATATAGTTTTTTACATATGTGATATTTGTTTTAAAATATTTTAAAACGTTATTAACTTTTTTATATATATTATTAATTATGTTTGTAAGAACTGTCTAATTTTATAAGCTATTAATTCTTAAATTTATATTAATAATAAAGATATATTTATGGTAGATAATTTTTTTGATATAATTATAGTTTAGTTATTAGAAGGGTATTTAAGTGTTAGTAATAAGTTGATATTATATATATATATATAGTTTTTTATAACTTTTAAAGATTTTAAAGAAACGATAATATATATTAATATTAATTATTTAAGTATAATAATATTTAAAGATTAATTTATCATTTATATATTTAATATATAAATTATTATAATATTATTAATTAATATTAAAAGAATTAATAATATAATTAAAATAATAAAAAAAGCCATTTTTAATTTTATAATTAATAATTTATATAATAGTAAAAATAAATAAGAGATTTTTATTATTAATATATAAGTTAATTTTAATTTATTAAAATTAAACCTTTTTTTAAGAATATCCTTTTTATATCTTTATAAAGTTAATATAAATTATTTTAGATTTATTATAACTTTTGCTTTTTATGCTAATATTATAATATTTATTATAATATCTTATAAATAAAATTTTATATATAAGAAAATATTAAGCGTTGTAAAAATGGTTATCCCGTTTAAAATATTTATATAAATTTCCATGTTATATATTAAATTATTATTTTTAAATAGTTTTAATTTTATTTGAAACTATATTTTTATAAGGATATATAATAAAATAATTAACGTATTTGTTAATGTAAATATCGTTAAAATTATTTTTTATTTAAATATAATAAATAATATTGTAATAATATTTAAATATATCTTTTTAAGGCATTTATATAATTATATTAACGATAATATAATCCAAATTTTTTAAAAAAAGGTTTTTTTTATTTAAATAATTATAATATTGGCTAAAAAGGATAAATATAACACTTATTATATTAATTTATGGTTTAATATTAATATAATTATTTTTAATAAATTAATATATGCTTTTATTACTTAATAAATTATTTTTTAAGATATTTAAGTTATGTTTAAAACTAAGAAAATTTTTATAACCCTTTCTTTTAAAGCTTAACGACTTAATTTATTATTTGTTAAAATTAGATAAGGGGTTTTTATATATAAAAAAAACCTGGATATTAGATTTATTAAAAAAGTTAAAGAATTAATTAAACGTTATAATATTTAAAACTAATTTAATTATATTAATATATAAGAAAATAAAATAATAAAAATTCTTTTTATCGAAAATTGGCAAAATTAAATTAATTTAATTATAAAGGTTTATTTATTTGATATTAAAGATAAAAAAATGATCAATAAAGTTTTTAACGATATATATCGAAACAAAAAAATTAATTAAATAAAAAATCTTATATTATTTAATTATTTTATCTTTATATTATAAAAAAACATTAACGAATAATATAAAAACCATATAATAATAAATTTTAAGGTTTTAAATAAAGTTATAATATTAAATTCTTATTTATTATTTTCCTAAAATAAGATAATAAATAGGATATACGGTAAGAAATATATTATTATCGTTAATAAATTAAAATTTTTTTATTAATTTTAAGTTTAACTCTTATATTAAAACCAAATAATAATCATATTATTAAAAAGATTAGAAATATTAAAAATTGCCCTTATAAATTTCCGCAATAATATATCTTTTACATAAAAATTTATAAACTGAAAATTACAAACATTCCAAAATTTTATTTATATATACATAAATAATGTCACAATTAATTTTATTTTTATAAACATCCATTTAAAATATTTAAACAAATTATTCACTTATTTTCAAGATTTAAATTTATAATTAACTATAATAAAATCCTTTATTAAATACTTAATTATTTAATTACTTAAATTTATAATTAACAGCATTAATATAAACTTAACATAAAATTAAATAAACGCTTTATAAAAAATTACTTAACTTATAAACCTTTATAATTTAAAAACATATATTAAAATAACTAAATTCTTAAAACGTTATATTATTTGGTATAATTAAAAAACCAAACCGCTATAAAAACAAAAAACAAAACTAATCGTTAATTATTAAAATAATATTAAAAACGTTTTAAAAACGTTAACAATTAAAAAACGATAAATAAAAAACGTCATATTTAAAGAGCAACACTAAATCCGCAGTAGGAGTACTTAGCTTTTTGTCCGCAGTATGGCGCTAGTAGCGCAGCTCCGGTAGCTCCAGTACATACCAAGTTGTCAATCAATTGCAACCCATCCAAACCATGTTCGAATCTTCAGTTGAAGGTATCAATTTGAAGAGCTCAATTTAAGGAGCAAATTGATCCCAGTTGCACGATCGCAGCTGCTCTATTACAAGAGTTATTGACGGTTGAAGCTGCGACCGGTACCGCGCATGGACCACCTCCCTTACCACCCTGATTGAGGACAAGACACAGTAGGGCCTGAAGGGATCAATCAAAGATCAATCAATATCTCGATCAATTGAATTTTCTGAGATCTGAAACATATATTAATCAATTCGTCTCGTTGAGGCGACAAAGATGACTGTCTTTGGGGATTTTTGGAAAATTGTTTGGATGGGCTGGGGTGGGTTTGTTGTGGCATTGAATTGGGCCTGGCAGAGGTACTTGTGCGCGCACCTAATTTGTGTGGGAGATTAGGTAGTACTGCGGACGAAATGCATGTACTCCTACTGCGGATTTAGTGTTGCTCCATTAAAAACTTAACTTTCTTTTTTTTTCTATATATTAATTAAGAGCAACATTAAATCCGCAGTAGGAGTACTTAGTTTTTTGTCCGCAGTATGGCGCTAGTAGCGCAGCTCCGGCGGCTCCAGTACACACCAAGCTGTTAATCAATTGCAACCCATCCAAACCATCTTCAAATCTTCAGTTGAATGCATCGGATTGAAGAACTCGTTTCAAGGAGCAATTTGATCCCAGTTGCACCTCTCTAGGAGCCGTATTGGAGGAGTTATTCAAGGTTGGAGTTGCGACCGGTACCGCGCATGGGCCACCTGCGTTACCACCTTGATTCAGGACACCATACAGTAGCGCCCGAAGAGATCAATCAAAGATCAATCAATATCTCGATCAATTGAATTTTCTGAGATCTAAAACATATATCAATCAATCCGTCTTGTCGAGGCGACAAAGATGAATGTCTTCGGGGATTTTGGAAAAATTGTCTGGATGGGCTGGAGTGGGTTTGATGTGGCGTTGAATTGGGCGTAGCAGAGGTACTTGTGGGCGCACCTAATTTGTGTGTGAGACCAGGTATTGGCAGGTAGCATTGCGGACGAAATGCATGTACTCCTACTGCGGATTTAGTGTTGTTCTAAAACATACATGGCTATTTATAACAAACTTAAGGTTAAACCAATTATAGCTATTGTGTAAGCAGTGGTAGCCTAAGGTTACCCTAATTATAACAGCCTAAGGTATTACAATATAATTAATCATTTAAGCTAATATATAAGGCTATAATTTAACTTATAAAGTAAATTAGCAATTTAATTAAATTTAAACAACTTACCTTACTTATATAGTAATATTTTAACGTTTATAAAATATAAGAAAATAGTGATTAGTTTTACGCTTTTAAATTAAACGTGTTATAAAATAAAATCATTTAGTTCCGCACTTTTAAATTAAACGCGTTACGAAATAAAATTACTTAACCGATATTATAATTAAAAATATAAAAGGCTTAAAAGTTTATATCTTATAATTAAAATCGATAATAAAAGATATAATAAAAGAGGATAAAATAAAAAATAACGTTAAAAAAAAAGCATTTAACGTTTAATAACGAGTATTTTTTTTGAAAAACGTATAAAACAAAGTTAAAAAATGGATTATATAACAACGTATTTTTTTACGCGTAACGGCAATTAAGATCTAAGCTTTTAAGGACGATTTTATTACGGAGTATTAAGATTATATCCCAATTAAGAATAAACATAAAAGTAAAAAAAAAACAAATAATATACGGCGTAAAGGAATATATAAACGTTATAATAAAAAAGGCTATTAAAAGTGTAAATATTTTAAGAACAAAAATAATACAAACAATAAAAACGGGAATATTAACGCAAATTAAAATATTAATAATGTTAAATACTCACCGCAACCTCCTACAGGATATAAGAAGTATATCGAAAGGCTGACCAGTAATGAGGTATACTAAATAAAGAATCTGATGGCGCTAGGCCAGAGGGTGTGTTAAGATCTTGGAATAAGGTTGGAACTAAGGCAGGTAAATGCCAATAAAGCGATACACTAGGGCACAGTTAGAATCAAGGTAGTAGAGCAGCTATAAGGCGGACAAGCAGCTGAGGGGTAATACACTGGGGCATAGTTAGAACTGAGGCAACTGGGATAGGCTAATATGGCAATATACCAAGGGAAGGTAAAACGGCCATATAGGATTAGGCTATTTAGGAACCAGGCTATTTAAGGATCAGGACATATGGATTTTGGGATTTAAGGTTTAACGGTATGGATGGGAATGGCATTATATCAACCTCAGGTTAAGAGGGCGTGTAAGTAATGGTAGTTTAAGGTTACCCTAATTGTAGTAGCCTAAGGCATTACAGTATGATTAATCATCTAAGCTAGTATATAAGGCCATAATTTGGCCTATAAAATAGATTAGCAATCTAACCAAACCTGAACAACTTGCCCTGCCTACATATTGTTTAATTATTGCTAAGCCCTTATATGTTCCGTATACATAATACAGCTTAGCTGATACGATCCGTAACAGCACGGGCTGTGCAGCTCTTTAAGATAATAAGAATTAAGCTATTTTATTACCTAGCATTCCACTGTGCATAATGAACCCTGTAAGCTACGAATTGTGGCTGAAGTAGGCAAGTAAGCGCAGACCGCCACAATTTATAAGGTTAAGGCCACCTGAGATAATACATTCTGTAACTTGTTCATATCTTTTTAACGTAAACACTAGAAGCTGCGAAGCTAGGAACCACTTCCTTATGAGTTACTTGGTTCTATTATCGGCGACATGAAGCAGGATTAATTCGATACCTACTTCTACGCACCATTATTGTGACCTTAGTCAAACCTCCCGTCCAAATATCAGACTCATCCTAGTTTCCTTTACCACATTCTGGGAAACTATTCCGGGTGATTGCTCCTGGTACCTGCACAGTGTATTAGCCTTGAGGATAGAGGAACTGCTTGGTGATTTATCGCTACCGCTATCACAACCAGTACCAAGACTACAGCGACAAGATGGACTACGAAGCTCTCAAGGAGCAATGGAGCGAGGTTGAGGACCGCGATGGTGTCCGTCTAAGCTGGAATGTATTCCCTAGTTCTCGAATGGTGAGTCGCAAGCAATTATACAGCCATTAGAACCCAATTTGACCTTCTCCTAGGAGGCGTCTCGTCTCGTTGTTCCCATCGGCGCTCTCTATACTCCTCTCAAGGAGAAACCCGACACACCTCTACTACAGTTCGAGCCTGTCACCTGCAAGCAACCATGCCGCTCCGTTTTGAATCCATTTTGGTTAGTCACCCTCTTTCACTCCCACCACCTTGGGTGTCTGCTCTTCTGGTCGCAAAGCTAATGGCATTCTGTTTAGCCAAGTCGATGTTAGAGCACGTCTCTGGATCTGCCCATTTTGCTTATCGAGGAATCCCCTACCCCCCCATTACAAAGACATCACGCCCAATGCTATACCTCCGGAGCTCCACCCGTCCAACACGACGATCGAGTATAGACTTTCACGACCAGCCCAAAGCCCTCCCATTTTCCTCTATGTCGTTGATACGTGCCAGGAGGATGACAGTCTGTCCGCTCTTAAGGAGTCACTCATCATGAGTTTAAGTCTTCTCCCCGAGAACGCCTTGGTTGGATTGATCACCTACGGCACTATGGTAGGCATATCCCATTATACATATACCATGTTTTTATAACTGAGAAGAGTTTCTAGGCCCAAGTTCATGAGATTGGGTATACTGAGTGTGCCAAGTCCTATGTGTTCCGTGGTAGTAAGGATTATTCTGCTAAGCAGGTTCAAGAGATGTTGGGTCTGCTCGCCCCTAGCTTGCGTCCTGGTATGCCACAACAGCAACCAGGCCGGCCTATGTTGCCCATGGGGCCTGCCACTAGGTTTCTGTTGCCAGTGCAGCAGTGCGAATTTCAGCTGACGAAGATTCTTGAGCAATTGCAGAAGGATCCGTGGCCCGTTGCCAGCGATCGGAGGAACCTTCGCTGTTCCGGTGTTGCTCTTAGCGTTGCCGTTGGCCTACTCGAATCGTCCTTCCAAAACGCTGGTGGCAGGATTATGCTCTTCGCGGGCGGTCCCGCAACTGAAGGTCCTGGGATGGTTGTTGGCCCTGAACTGCGGGAACCAATTCGCTCTCATCATGACATCGATCGTGACAACATCAAGTATTACAAGAAAGCCCTAAAGGTTAGTTCCTTTTATCTTTATTGTGTATTGGCGTCTTGTGCCGCGCTTCTACGTTTTATTTGTAATATCGTCGCTTATTGATGCATTCTAGTTCTACGACAATCTGGCCAAGCGAACAGCTCATAATGGCCACATAATAGACATTTTTGCTGGTTGCCTCGATCAAGTTGGACTGCTCGAGATGAAGGGGTTATGCAACTCCACTGGTGGTCACATGATTCTGACGGATAGTTTCACATCGTCAATGTTTAAGCAGTCTTTCATCCGTGTCTTCGAGAAGGATGGCGATGACAATCTTCTAATGGGATTTAACGCCGTCCTCGAGGTTTTGACCACCAAGGAGTTGAAGGTGACTGGGCTGATTGGGCATGCTGTATCCTTGAACAAGAAATCGACGTCGGTTGGTGAGACCGAGTGTGGAATCGGCAATACGTGCTCTTGGAAAATGTGTGGCATTGATCCTAATGCCAGTTACGGTATATATTTCGAGATCGCAAGTCAAGGTGGCCCTACACAACACCAGCAAGGTCAACAGAAGGGCATGATGCAATTTTTGACGTACTATCAACATTCATCTGGACAGTTCCACCTTCGTGTAACTACTATCGCGAGGAACCTTAGCGGCCCGGCTGGAGATCCTGCCATCGCGCAGTCCTTTGACCAAGAAGCAGCTGCGGTACTCATGTCGAGAATTGCTGTGTTTAAGGCGGAAGTCGACGATGGACCTGATGTGCTTCGATGGGTAGACCGTATGCTTATACGATTATGCTCGCGTTTCGCCGATTACAGAAAAGACGACCCGTCATCTTTCAGACTGGAGAAAAACTTCACTCTCTATCCTCAGTTTATGTTTCACCTCCGACGAAGTCAGTTTCTCCAAGTATTTAATAACTCGCCCGACGAGACCGCTTTCTACCGTCACGTGTTGAATCATGAAGACGTCAGCAACTCTCTCATCATGATACAGCCAACTCTCGACTCGTATACATTCGATCAGGATGGTGGCCAACCAGTCTTGTTAGACTCGACCTCTATCCAGCCAACCCATATCCTCTTGCTAGACACATTCTTCCACATCCTCATTTTTCACGGTGAAACTATAGCAGAATGGAAAAAGGCTGGTTACCAAGATCAAGAAGGCTATGAGAACTTTGCTGCTCTACTTGAACAGCCGAAAGAGGATGCAAGAGTAAGTGCACATCACCCTTAACTTAAAGTGTGGTATTAATCGTGGAGTAGGACCTCATTGCCGACCGGTTTCCCCTTCCTCGCTTCATCGTGTGCGATGCTGGTGGCTCACAGGCGCGATTTTTGCTTTCGAAACTTAACCCGTCGACGACACATACTTCAGGTGCGTACGGCGGAGTTGGTGCGCAGACTGCACAGACCATCTTCACGGATGATGTGTCCCTGCAAACCTTTATGGATCATTTGATGAAGTAAGTAGATGATGAAGTGCTAAACTCAGTACATATGAAACTAATGATTTGCGTTAGGCTGGCTGTGAGTGGGACGAATTAGGCTCGTGGGATCTGAATGATTTACCAGGAACCTCCACAGTCCTTACCCTGGGTCGTCTAGAGGGGAAAATAGCATGGGCGGGATGACTTGTTGAATCGTGGTTAGCTAATATGGAACATGCAACGTTTGCTCTTTTATGTGAAGCTGGCCGTTCCATCGTAGAGCTTAGCTAATAGACAAAAGTGGCGTGCCATAATAATCTCGCCTTCCCTAATCCACTATATCGATATCGCCCTTAATATCCATGAATATGTTTATAACTAAATGGTACATGTAGCATGTAATTACCCGGTTATAATCCGCGTTACTACTATGTATACAATAGTTACATAATACACATATGTACCCCAGGTACGTACAGTACGTACCAGACAGTTATAGTTTAGCTTATCTACTGTGCTATCTTCTAATAGTACCCACCTGACCCGCTTATCTCTATTCCCACCGTTCCTAGGGCTGCCACATTACGAAATACAACCCCACCGCCTAGGGTTTTTTTCCCTTTTTTTTTTTGTAAGCACACAATCGATTTTCCCAGATTACTTTCTTCGAATTCCATACATCTCCTCCAATTGCAAGCGCACCCTTCCGAGGCTCAGAACGTTATACACAATTGTCTTTGTGCATAGCTTTAGTAGACGGACTTCAAGATTGGACATTTGAGCAAAGATGCGTAAGTTCAGACGTTTCCAGTCCTATTTCTTGCTTCCATCAAGCTAACTATTATGGCACAATGTAGCTCCTAAGATCGATCCCACCGAGATTAAGGTGATGTATGTTGATATATTTCCATGGCCAATGCCAACCTTTATAGATGAAGGGTTGTCACAATCGCTATTCACGCACGACTGACTGGGTTTCCTGTAGTCACCTTAGAGCCACTGGAGGCGAGGTTGGTGCTTCGTCCGCACTTGCCCCGAAGATTGGTCCCCTTGGCTTGTCTCCAAAGAAAGTCGGAGAGGACATTGCGAAGGCTACTGGTGACTGGGTAGGAATTTTCCTCGATCTTGTATGTACACAGAGCTGACAGTAGTAATTAACAGAAAGGTCTCCGAGTCACCGTCAAACTCACCATCCAGAACCGACAAGCTGCCGTATCAGTTGTCCCCACCGCATCCACCCTCATCATCAAGGCGTTGAAGGAACCACCTCGCGATCGAAAGAAGGAGAAGAACATCAAACACTCCAAGAGTGTGCCCCTTGATGACATTATCGAAATTGCCCGAACGATGCGGTTCAAATCGTTCTCTAAGGACTTGAAGGGAACCGTAAAGGAGATCCTGGGTACGGCATTCAGTGTGGGCTGCCAAGTCGACGGAAGAAGCCCGAAAGATATCAGTGATGATATTGAAAGTGGTGAAATTGATAGTAGGTGCCAGTCGAGTTGCATTGGTTGTACATCATAGATTGTATGCTAACAAATATGACACAGTTCCGGACGAGTGATTGTGGGATGGGCTGGCTGAAAATGGACATGGATTTTTTTTTCGCTGCATCTTTCATCAGGAGTTCAGGAATGGCTTGCGATAGGACTCGCCGACGCACTCTGAATTGAAACGAATCACCCAGCTTTTACCATCTCCCATCTCGTGACATGATTACTACCCCGAACGATTGATTCCCCACACCCTTGCCTACACTCCGAGATAAACCTATTCTTCCATGGTCTATTTCTATTTATGTGTCAAGGAATATTGAAATGACCAGCTACTCACCTCGGCCTCCTTGCTCTCAGGCGTGGACGTTGTGGTCCATCTAATCCGGTCAACATATATTAGACTAGCAGGCGTTTATACAACTTGCTGTAGAACGCCTGCAATCGGTCATTATCTGATGGAGGGAGTTTTTATGAGGTTACTTAATAGGTAAGAAAAGCCCAACCCAACCGAGGTTTCCGATATTCGTATTTGCTTTGTAATTATAGGGACGTCTACTTTTACTCAGGAGCACATTGGGCAGCCAGATGGCATCCAAAATTTAAAAGAAGAAGGGGGTTAATACTTCCATACCTATCTACGATAAACATGGCTCATTATTATCCACCATATCTGTTTCCTAGGTATCCAGGTACTAGCAGGTAGGTATTGTAGCTGAAGCCTTAAGGATTTGGTCTGTAGCTACATAACACTGAATTTATGAGGGTCAATTGGTCTGCATGTACATACGCCTATAATATGTACATAAGGACTATGTACTATGTAATATGTATCAATGCCGTCTCTTACATAGTATGTTCAAATTTCTACACATCAATGATGTGTCTACCTAGGGTAGACATGCATGCAATTACATTTATACGTTGTTCTTACTCTGTACCTCTATAATGCATATGTACATGTAATAAGTCAAAGATAGTATGTAATTTACCGCGTATGCTTACCTATGTACCCAGTATACAGCGATCCATAGTACATTATTGATAGTTACTTATGTACTAGTAGTCTAGTACTACATACTATGTAGTTATAAGGCCCTAGAGTCCAGGGCCTGGACGTTTCAACTTTCAAGATAACTACATATGTACCTATATGTACATACAATGTATGCATGTATCTATTTTGTACTACACATATATGTATATAGTACAGGCCTGGCAGGCTGGCACCTTCAAGTTCAATGTTCTCTTCACGGACCTTTCAATGTGCATGAACATGTCAACGGCGTATTCAAGTTGTAGGTATTGTAATGTGTACATTGTAGTTACTACATCGTAGTTACCTACATGTAGTGAGCATGTACATACGCGCATGCCTTCCTAACATCAACGATTAGTGATATCCACAGTTGGCGGGATCTGCACCTATCCCCTCCCAAGAGCACCAAGGATAGTCAAGGAATGTGACAAGGCGAAATAAGAGAGACCAACATGGACCAAATGGAAAAATAATCACAATTTAGACTCAGCCCCCCCACGTACTACCAAGCACCGTTCATTTTGACCCTCATATTATTACCTTTTTACCACATTCCTTATCCACATCCTACATACATACATACATACATACATACATACATACATACATACCTACCACCTACAAACACTACATATTACTTGACGTGATAATACACACGTTAGTCTATCGAGACCTACTTTTAAATTGGGGCTGTCTACCTGTCTACTCTATGCCCGATTTTACTTAGGGTGTTTAATAGCCAGATTCTCATTAATTGGAGTTGATTCTAGTGACTTTGGTTGCCGCGTTCCTCTTTTGCATCTTCCATCACCCTTCCCTGCCTCGCCTACGTCCTTGCGCCTGGCTGGCTCCGGAGCCTTCCCGTCGTGCGAGGCAGAGTAGAGGGCCAGAGATTGATCGATCGCTTGGGATTGCAACGACAAAGACCGATTTGACCTGCCTCATACTTCGGATAACAACAGCCAACCTCAGGTCAGCAAAGCAGTCCCTGCCCCGGCTGAGATACCTTGGAGACCTTGCCTCTGCCTATTCTTTCCTTGCCTTCGACTCCAGCATTGGAACCACCCATTTCCCAATGTATATCAGCTAGCTTTATCTCCAAGCCCGTGCTTTATCTAGCAGGCTATAATGAGACTTCCTGTCGAACCCAGGCCGTGACATAACCCTCTTCTTTCAAGCCTGCTCTACCGTTACCAATGCTGCCCTCGGTTCAGATGCACCATTTGGTGCAAACTCCACACCATCTCGAATCTCTATCCCCTCTTCACCTAGACCGTAGACAGGATCGCCCTTCCTCTACCTATCATTCTCGTACCGTGTTGAGAGCAGCTGGAATGCAACTGGGTTATGGCTTCACCTCTACCCACCGTCACTTCCCCATTCGTTCTTCGCAACCGCCTCCGATGCCGACTCATCCGAGAACCAACACTTTCATGGTCCCGTCTCAATTATCCGATTATGACGAACACCAGCTTAGACGCAAAACTCCAAATGGCACTATAGATGCTGGTTACGATGGGAATCCTGCTCAGCTCGCTTCTGGGCCCCCTCCACTGAAGCATATGATACTACCTACCTCCTCTAGCATCATGTCTAATCGCCCTTATTCACAGCAAGACTACCATTTTGCGAAACATCTCACCAAGTCTTCAGTTGATGACTGGGTATTCCAGTCCCCTCCGCTTTTCGATGTTTCAGATCGCGGTGGCCTTGCCCTCGACTCCAACTCATCACTCCCGGGTGGCGGCTGGAGACGTGGGCTTGGCAATGAATCTCACGCCTTCATGGCCATTGATGGGTCCGCCAATGGACCCCCCACCGCGTATTATGCTTACAATAACGGCGTCAAGGTGCCTACGGCTCTACAACCTATATACCAACACCCCCCCGGTCCTGCTATATTTGATAATGGAGGATTGCTCCCGCCCTCAGCTTGGTTCGAGACGAACATGCCTAGTTATCACGCTACTGCGCAACCGGTAGGCTTGAGCTATCATCAGCCAGTCTCCCATCTTCGCTCTTCCAACCAGCCCATGCTATCGAGAATACCCTTTGGCCGCTATGAAGGGGGTTCAGGGAACATTCAAACACCATCGCATGGGTTGGAATCCCTCACGTTGGAGTCTGGTCAGTATAGCAGACCGGCATCCGAGATGGGTGATAATTATACACCCGCTAGGTTTAAAGAAAAGGTCCTTGCCAATGCTCACCGGTCTTATGTTGAGCTTTTATCGTATCTTCATCAAAGCAAGAAAACTCAGATTCGTTCTCCACGGGAACCGAGGTCTTCCAGAATGGTTATATTCCCCAAACTTCCCAAACATCCAACTCATCCGAGTTGTGTCCTCGGCCCGCGACGATCACACAATGTCCAGACTTTCAGAGATTCGGCCAGTGGTATCCCCCATGCGGTCAGTTTACATATGGACGCATCGTCAGGTTTATACAGACAGCCCGTCGTGAAGACTCAATTACGTAACAGTGAAGCATTTCATTCACCTTTCTACCACCCATTCGACCATGAAAACTCTAGATTCCCTAACCCCGATTCCGAGCGAGCGAGAATACCCCTTACCCCTCTTTCTAGTGCCAAAGCTGCCGTTGAGATGTTAACACACTTGTGCGAACAAAGTGGATGGAAATGGATTGACGGGATGCTACTTGGGGGTTGCTTACATTATGGCCTGGAACATTATGAACAATCTCTGGAATGGTTTCAGAGAATCATTTCTGTAGATGAGACGTAAGTTGCTCTGGATTACGCCACCCCTTCTTTTTTTTTAATATCGCGTAACAGCTATTCCGCTAACTACTTTCTTGCCCATAGCCACGTTGAAGCTATATCAAATGTGGCGGCCACTTTATATTGTCTCAATCGACATGAAGAGGCCGAGCGCCATTGGCTGCGGGCTGTGCGCTTGCGACCTAGCTATCTTGAGGCTGTTGAACATCTTGTTGGACTGTTGTGTTCCACCCACCGAAGCAAAGAAGCTGTTGATATAATTAGTTTCGTCCAGCAAACAATCCGGATCCCTAACAGCCGGGTCAGCTGTGATACGAACTTGGACTCAAGTGATGGGCATGATAGTCTCTTGCATAGCGCATCTGACTCATATGCGCACCCTCCTTGCGGGCCTGTGGGCAGTCATGATAATATCGCAGAGGGTAGGCAACCTGGGTTTGGTTCGAGCGGCTATTCTGTTGCTGGAAATGAGAATGGCCGTGTTATTGCACTGATCCATGCTAAAGGAAATATGCTATATGCATTGAAAGAGATTGACCAGGCGTCTGAGGCGTTCGAGGAAGCAGTTCTCATCAGCGCTGGGAGAAAGCTGAAGTGCATCCATTCATTGATTCGCAGAATACAGTCGGTTCTGTCGCCTGCGGATGTCCACGGAGTTGCGAGACGAAACAGTCTATATGCGTCATCCGCCGGGCCTTTACTACTTCCGCCTGAGAGGGCAAGGCACACTGCACAGTATGTTTTCACTACTCATGGTGAGCTTCCCGGACTGCGATTCGTGCCAGAGGGCGCTCTAAAAAGATCTGCAATTTCCACCACCAGCAATTCACTACTATCATTAGCAAAAATATTTCAGGATGCCATGTCCAATGGAGGCTCCTTCCCAAGACTTCTCCGTCAGCCTTCTGGCATCGGAGATATTCTGGCGCTCTATTACTTATCTCTATCACTCTCCGAGAGTCCTTCAACTGCCAACAACGTAGGGATATTGCTAGCCAGCGTTCAACAAACCAATTCTGCCCTGCCATTGCAGATGTTGGAGAGCCCGAACATGCCGCAAATACCTGGGATTGCTCCTGGGAGTGGACTTGCCTTAGCTCTTGCATACTATAACTACGGTTTAACTCTGGACGCCAAACATGTTCACCTGCATACCAATCTCGGGAGCTTACTCAAAGACATTGGACAACTTGACTTGGCCATACAAATGTACGAGCAAGCAGTTGCTTGTGACGGCACCTTCGACATCGCCCTTACGAACTTAGCCAATGCCGTAAAGGATCGCGGGCGTATCAGCGACGCCATAATGTACTACAGGCGAGCTGTTAATTCCAATCCCGACTTTGCAGAGGCTGTATGTGGCCTTTCCACCGCTCTTAACTCCGTCTGTGACTGGAATGGCCGGGGTGGCGTCCTGTTACATGGTGGCAAATACGATCGCTGGCATGTCGATGATGAAGGAATGCTTCGTGACGTTAGAAACGAAGGATCTGGGAGCGGGTTGATGAAGAGGGTTGTTGATATTGTCTCGAAGCAGTTGGCAGACTCGTGTCACTGGGGGGCCGGTATCTTACGGAATGGCGCCATCGAATTACTAGCCCCGCGACTCGATTTATCCTCAGCGGATGAGGCAAGAAGTGAACTCGATATTGACAGCAAGCTTCGTGATTGGGCTGATCAGCCATGGGAAGGGTCGAAAATCTTGAGGCTTATTGAGCGCTCGATGAAAGCAACTATGCGCCATTGGTATCAAGACAAGTACTTGTACAATCGGCCACCACATTTGGGATACTCAAGGCTCAAACTGCCAGCCTCTTTAGCTGTGCCAGCTGCACCAACTGTTCTACCTTTCCATACTTTCACATGTCCCTTAACGGCCAAAGAGATCCGCATGATCTCCCAGCGGAACGCCGCTAGGATATCGTGCTCAACCTTGAAATCGGCATGGCTTCCCAGCTCCGTGTATCCCCCACCCCCACCGCCTAACCCGCACCTCAATATTGGCTATGTGTCCTCGGACTTCAACAATCATCCACTCGCACACTTGTAAGTTTGGTTCACGCCTATCACCCAGTCTCTTACCTGACCTCGTCTCATTGCTTAATTATGTAGGATGCAATCCGTCTTCGGATTTCACAACCCATCACGAGCAAAGGCCTTCTGCTACGCTACTACTGCAAGCGATAAGTCGGTCCATAGGCTACAAATCGAACGTGAAGCGCCGGTTTTTCGTGACGTAAGTAGTTGGTCTTCGGAAAAGTTGATAGACCAGATAATCAAGGACGAGATTCATATCCTTGTCAATCTAAATGGTTATACAAGGGGCGCAAGAAATGAGATCTTCGCAGCTCGACCGGCACCGATCCAAATGTCTTTCATGGGTTTCGCCGGTACCCTCGGCGCCGAGTGGTGTGATTACATTTTGGCTGACAGGACTGCCATTCCGCCATCTACATTACGACCTATGAGGGATAATGTAAACGTCCAAGATGTGTTTCGGGACGGCGAGTTTAGCGAAACTGGGGACTGGATGTATTCCGAAAATGTCGTCTTTTGTCGCGATACTTTCTTCTGTTGCGATCACGCCCAGTCGTGCGATCCAGGTGAGAGGACTGTTACTTGGGTAGATGAGCAACGACGCAGGTGGAAGATGCGTAAAGAGCTCTTTCCAAATCTTCGAGACGATACAATTATCATGGGCAATTTCAATCAACTATATAAGGTCTGTCGTCCTGGCTGGCATGTGTGTGAATGAATATTGCTGACGAAAATATTTAGATTGACCCTTCGACCTTTCGCACATGGCTGCGTATTCTATCCAACGTTCCAAAGGCCATACTGTGGCTTCTCAGGTTTCCTGAGCTTGGGGAGAATAACTTGAGGAGAACAGCCAGGGCGTGGGCGGGCGACGACGTGGCAAGCCGTATTGTGTTTACAGATGTGGCGCCAAAGCAACAACACATTTCGCGCGCACGTGTCTGTGATCTATTCCTAGACACACCGGAATGCAACGCGCACACGACTGCGGCTGATGTTTTATGGTCCAGCACTCCGTTATTAACGCTGCCCAGATATCCATACAAAATGTGTTCCCGCATGGCGGCATCAATACTTAGGGGAGCATTACCAAAGACACCTCGCGGAGAAGAAGTTGCCCGGGAGCTCATTGCCACTGATGACACCGACTACGAAACTCTGGCAACTAGACTTGCGGGGAGTTTGACTTATCAGTACGTGGATGGGCAATATTGCGAAGGGCATGGGCGACTAGCCGAGATACGAAGAATTCTTTTCGAGGCGAAGTGGACCTGCGCGCTTTTTGACACGCACAGATGGGTCTCTGATTTGGAGAGGGCTTATGACGAAGCGTGGCGGCGTTGGGAGACTGGAGAAGGCGGCGACATTTACCTATAGACTGGAGAGGCAAACCTAGGCCTACCATGAAACTAGGTTCGATAGATACCCCTTAGTCTTGAGCATGATATCAACTGGAAATGGGAGTCGGGAGTATTTTGGTCACGCTGTTAAGGATGTTTGTTCGTTTTATTGGACGATACATTAAGCAGCAGGGAGTTATGGTAACCTGGAAAGATGGAGGGAAGTCGTTTGTCCCCTCCCCCGTCCCCAACCCCGGGATTTTGAGGAGTCCGTGGTTACTTTCCAAACCTGTTTCCCCCAGGATTACACGGAAAATATAAGGTTCTATAATAGAATGGGAGGCGAACTCGAACCAAGTGCTGGCAGGGTTACGTTACTTCAGGACTGGAATATGGAGTCGTTTCAGTAACGACAGCTAAGGCGTTTGGCAATATGACGGCATGAATTCACTGGATTGTATGCCGTGGACGGATATTTGTAGAAAACAATACCCAAAACCGACGCCACGGTGGGTTAGGTTTGGCGTTATTTTACCCAGGTTTGCTTCTTGTTCCCTTGCCTCACCCTTCTCTTACTTTTCCTTCTTCTCTCCCCCCCCCCCCCCCTTTTTTTTTTTTTTTTTTTATTACCATTTGAGTCTTCATCTTCTTTTACTTTTCTTCATGCTTTCTTTGTTTATTTTCTATTTCTTTTTATTTATCTTGCTGGCGGTTATATCTCTATCACGGCATAGTTTTGCTTTCGTCTTCTAGAAGGATTGGGCATTAGGGAAGCGTATTGGCTATAGCACTGGCACCTTATTAAGCATAAACATATCACGCATTACCTACATAACTTACCAGTCCCTCGTTTAACTACATAGTAGGGAACTTAACATGTCCCCCACAGGATTATCCAATGGGAAATCGCCAACTCGTCCCAGCTTGTTGGTTACTGGGCTGGTGGGGTAGCAGTTGGTGTGGAGAGTTTCAGCCGGTGAAAAATCTCCCCTCACCCCCTTTCCAAAAAAGATTACATTGTATGCGGCTGAGGTACATACATAGCAGGGTAGGTAGGTAAATGATTTTTCTAACGGTCACGATATTTGCATGAGTTACTCGGTAGGTACCGCCTATCGATGTCTAGGTAAGCAAGGGGTCCCCAGCTAAATTGGTATGTTGTCGGGTTCGCTTGGGTTTACTGTTTTTAAGAAGGCAAACGGATGCGAGGCATTCAATGTTGCCAAAAAATACCGATATTACAGTATTAAGTACTACATAGTACATAGTACTTAACCCACACATATAGGATACATAGAGTATCGATATCAGTATTAACATTGAAAGCCACACGTGCTAGTACACGAGACTATAATATTATGTATCGTTTCAACAAACTCTAAACGGCTGAGATCTCATCAGTAGCGGTACTTATGTATATGTCAATGTACACACATACTCATGTAGTACGCCTATGAGACTTCAAGCTTTATGCAAGGGTGTCCTTGCCCCTTTGTCGGATCTGGGGTTCGTAGCTTGGTCCCTACTACACAGTACCTTAGGGTAGAGGCTAATGTATATACAATACATACAACATTGAATGTCATACATATGTTACTATGTATATAGTACATATGTAAATGTCACCACATGGCATGAATTTTTTTTTAAAAATACATACATACATAGACAGTTGAAGCCTCGTGGCCTCAATGTTTATACTAATCATAAGCATACGGTGCTTAACTTTCAAATACCGCAATCAAATTGCCAAGACAGTATAAAGGTAAGAAAGAAAAGGGGGAAGGAGTAGCAAGCATAGGCCATAAATGAAAGAAAAAAGGGGGGAGAAGGGACATCATTCAGATATATGTACATAGTACTGTAACCTAGGTACCTACATATGTAGGGTAAGGTACATGCTGATTTCTTCCTTTGCTTTTTCCTTTCTACCTACCTAAGGGTACATATATGCATGTTGATGGGATGAATGTTTTAAACTAAAGGAAGTGCGGGTGGCACGAAACCTTCAGCCTACCACCTGCTTACTTGCCTTACGTTTTGGTAGCTACAGCGAATGTCTAACTTAACGAATATGTGTAGAAGTGTGGGTCTTTGAGACTTACATCTTTAGATGAACCCCCCGTACACACACACACACACACACACACACACACACACACACACACATATATATATATATATACATACATACAAATGACAGAGGGAGGGAGGGAAGGAGGGAGACGGAGAAGGAGAAGGAGAAAAAGGTAGGTAAGATATGTAGGTGATATCATGCTAATCCGCCGCCATCACTGCTTCCACTTCCACTGCCACAACAACAACAACGACAACGACAACAACGATAGGCACTACCACTCTTCCCAGTCCCAACTCCTGCTTATGTACACCTCTTAGACTCACCCTTTTACTTTCAATGTTAACATTTAGGTTATACATATATCCTGTCCTCTTTTACTTCTCTTGCCTCTCTGTTCCTTTACCAAATCTAGTTCATCATATCTTAGTAGCTTGGTCCCCTTCCCGATCTCACTCGCCTCTTCTGCGCTACCACTTCTGCCCTCTAGTACTTATGTACCTAGGTAAGCATATGACAATATTGTCTTGTTGTTACCTTTCTTTCTGTCTGTCTGTTCGTCCGAGTCTAGCGCCATGTTCAACTCTCAAGCCACTCATGCCTTATCTATAGTCACCTACTCTAGCTACCTTCTTTAGTTTCTCTCTCTAGTTACTCTCTATCCTCCTCTTCCACGGGTATATGTTTATATTGTGAGTGTAATACTGAGTTATGACCTTGCACTGGCCCAAACTATAGCGCAGGTGCTCATCCCTCGTGGATACCAGGTACAAAGCTGTTTGGTTACCGATATAAAACGGCATGGGAGGAACTCAACGATTCGATTGCCGCTGGCACTTTTCTTCATCGTTGCTGACACTTTCTCTCTGCCTATATCCGCACCTTTGATGGTCTCAGGCTGTGTACCAGGCATTATTCATATACAGTTACATACACACCTACGCCTACTCACTCTGAATTTCATTCTCACTCTCACTGTCACCTTTGCCTCTTTATTTATATATTTTGATATTTTGATATTTGGATATATATTCAAACGAGTGGAGGTATATACTAGACCTTCTCCATGTCGTCACAAAGAAGAGGACCATGGTCTCAGCGCGAAGATGACCTGCTCGCCCACCTCGTCCACTCCCAAGGTGCGATGAATTGGGTAAGGGTCTCGCAGCAAATAGGCACGAGGTCATCCAAACAATGCAGGGAACGGTATCATCAGAACCTGAAGCCCTCGCTGAACCACAACCCAATCACTCCAGAGGAGGGTGCCCAGATTGAAAGAATGGTTCAAGACATTGGCAAACGCTGGGCTGAGATCGCGAGGTCACTCAATAACCGAAGCGACAATGCTGTCAAAAATTGGTGGAATGGTAGCATGAATCGTCGAAAGCGCTTGAATCGCAGAAAAGCTACAGATTTTAGGGATCGCACCACCTCCCCAGGCCCGTTCCCATACTATTCTCAAGCACCTCAATTATCGGCACAAGCACCTCAACTATCGTCACAGGCAGCTCAACTATCGTCACCGGCAGCTCAACTATCGTCACAGGCAGCTCAATCATCGTCACGAGCTTATCGAGCACCGCTGGAGAGGAATCTACCATTACCTCCTTCTTCGCGACAGCCTCCCGGCCCAGTACCACGACCAGATTACGAGCGCCATCATTATAGTCCATCCTCTCCAATGCACAAGGAAGGTTTACCTCCTTGGAAAAATCACTCTGGCTTTCCATCGACCTCGGTACCTTCACCTCTCCCCCGGCCACAAGGCGTAGCTTCCGAGGCTCCCAGAGCTCCTGGGGGACTATTTGATCCCCGTATCAGGCTACCCCCTTTGCGAATTTCCGACGCAGATTCGCCATCAAGTGTTGCACCGCTTTCCAGTCCCAGGCTTCCTCCACTGGGCGCTGAACAAAATCAGCTCCGTCTACCGTCAATTAACGACCAAATTCAACGACTTCGGCGATCTGAGTCTAATCAACTAGTCACAGCGCCTAGTTCACCTATGCCTATGGGGCAGTCGCCAGCAGTGCCCTCACGTCGGAGGCCGCTTTCTGGCACTGACACAATGAGCGATAAGATGGCAAAAATGCATATACGAAGCATCTTAGAGTAGAGGCAAGTCTCCTCGTCATGCATGGAATCGTCCATAAGCTAGCTGGGGAAGGCTAGGAGATGGTAAAGGTATACATGTGTAGTTTGGATACCTACACATGTCTCGGCAGCTCTACTCTCCCCCCTTCTTCACTGTGGGCATGGAAAACAAACATTGGCAGCCTGTTGCGTCTTTCTCCTTTACGTGTCTTTATATGGTGTTGGGTACTATATATAATTATAAGCGATGAGATGTTATATCTCTTAATAATACTTTCTTAGTTAGCTCCTCATGCTTTGGGTACAATACATCCATTGTAAAATCGCAGACTATGATGTGTCCATGGTACACATACGTGCAGATGTAAAGGTATCTTGACACTCGGGACTCGGGACTCGGCACCCAACTATCTCTGCACAAACGGCGGTCAGATTAGCATGTACGGCACATGCCTCAAGGCGCGTAGTATCATCTGTGTTCTTACATGGCAAAAACAGCGCGGACGTTGTGCAACACCTTCCAGGGTTGACCCTTATAATGAAGTACGACCCAAGGACATACCGGTACATATATTGGATGCCGATCAATGGTATGTAGGAAATATAACGCTTTCCGTCCAAGTCCGAATCGGTCCACAGGGCGGCAGCCCTCCGCCCCCCTCCCCTTCCTCTCTAGATGAGCCAACCAACTCGTTCGTATGCTTGCAAATAACGTACATATGTAGATCTCTTTATCTTTCTGTGCAACCCCCATCTGTTTGGGCGTCACAAAAAGTACCTGGGTAGTAGGCTCGTCACGATAGTCACAGTAGTCATGGTTGTCGTCGCTATCTCATCCGTCCCGTGGTTTGCGGATGCCTGCCAACGTTGATAACGGTCAAGTCCAGCGCTCTTGCATACATGCACTGTACATATGTATATTTATGATATGTACCCAATAGGGCCAGTACCTACCTGGCTACATGCTATGTACATGTAGTTGGATGGATTTATGAACGCCTTCGGCAAATGATGTATTAGTGAGAAACGGTTGTTGCGAGGATTCATAGCCATCCACCTGTTCGTTCCTACATACATGTACATACCTACCTAGGTATGTAGATACCATTCTCCCCACTTCCTCCTTCTCTACCTACATATGTACATGTAGACCTACCTACGTGTATCATATTATCGTATATACAGAATGAGTACTAGGTATGCGACCAACCGCCTCGCAGACCGCTATGGTGGAGATCAGATCCGAGCACAATTTCACAACACGTCCAGGGACCAGGCTGCTGGGATATGAGCCTTACTGAATTTGTACGATGTAAGATATAATGTAAGATATAATCATGTACGACAGCCGCTTTACGCATATGTAACCATGGCGCACCGGTGAATTGGCAAAAGGCCGTCCACCCATCTAGCCATCCTTTCAACCCACACATACATAATACTCATCTTTTACTTTTGTACAATACCTACATATAGGTATGTATCTATGTATGTGACACCGAGTGGCTCTACTATGTACATATACACTATGTAATATTTATTCAACAGCAAGAGCAGCAGCAAGAGCAGCAGCAAGAGCAGCAGCAAGAGCAGCAGCAGCAGCAGCAGCAACACCATGTAGGGAACGTCCTCTCGGTTGCCTCCCGGGTCATTGGAATCCCGACCGTTTGACTGTTGGGTTGTGTTACCAGTAGGTATCACCTTACGCTTCCTTGCTTCTTACATGTACTACATATGCCCGTATAATGCACCGCACTACATACATTATATGTATATGCCTACATAGTAATGTACCTGGGTAAAGCATGTAGTAGATGCAAGATCCGCTACTGAAGATTGTCCTACGTGCTTGCTTGAAAGTAACATCCCAAGACAAGTCTCGTTTGTTGAAGAGGAGGCGGTTCAATATAAAGGCTGGAAGATATGTATGTACATTGGGCACCTACTCATCCAGAAAGCAGAAAAGAAAAAAGAAAAGAAAATACCAGAAATACCAGAAATACCAGAAATACCATAAAAAAAAGGAGATGAAGAAGAAGAAAAAGAAGGGAAAAAAAGAAGAAGACGCATTCTCCGATCTCCGCAGGCTACACAGGCCCAGAGATCTGGTTCAGCTGTCGAGCCTGTCCTCGGTTATCGAAAACTTAAAACCCCGTTACATTGCAGGGGATGAATTAGGGCAATGCCGCAATGGACATATGGACATGGCCCCTTGCAGTTAGATGACATGCTTTACATGCGTCGTAGTTCTAGTCGTAGTTCTAGTCGTAGTTCTAGTTGTAGACTTGTAGTAGGTAAAGTTAGAGAAAAAGGTACAGCCCGCTTTCCATCCAAGTTTAAATAAGCTTTTGCTAGGTATTAGGTTAGTTACTTCCAAGGTTACTACGATGTATGTACTATGTAGTAGGTACTATGATGTAGTAGGTACTATGTAGTAGGTACTAGTTACATACTACCTATGGATGTATTGTATACCTAGTACCATGTGCTGCCCTGAACGTTCAATGTTACTACGATTGATATCCATGTGAGCAAGTTACTTTTTTCGGCCGAATCGTAATTATAGCACTACACTATGTATTGTAAATACATACCTTGATAGTATAACCCACGCGCGCCTCGAGAGAGTTAGCAGGTACTCGGTACTTATTTTACTCATTCACATCTTCCAAGTTACTACATACTATGTATGTACTGTCATTGATGCACCTAACTTTGTCGCCTTTACCCTCCAATACAATATTTGGAACCAGACTCATCAAGGCTTCTTTCTAGTTGGGCATCGGCCTTTGTTCCATACTTCTAGCTACCGCCCGTACCGCAGCAATGTGTGCATCTTGGTCTCGGTTCTCATCCGGGCCCATCGCTACTACCGTGCGTCTCGTGGTTGGCGAGCCATGACAACTAGCCACCGTTGGTGTCCCTCTAGGTGTCCCTCTAGGTGTCCCTCTAGGTGTCCCTCTAGGTACTCGGATCGCTGTGTCCATGCTACTCGGGCAGCTATTCTCTGAACCAGCCCCTGTTTTCGCTGACGAACATCTATTTTCTGTCCTTGGTCGCCTTGTCGACTGGGCCGCTGCGGTGCCACCGCTTGGCTCGGGCAGCTCTTCCCCTCTCTCTGCTGAGCCCTCTATCGGCTGAGATGCACTGTGCGCATCCTGCAATATTCCATCATCGTCTCTCTCCTCCCCCTCCTCACCACCCGCAAAGAAGGGGATTGCGTCGTCTCCAGGTACGAAAGAGAATCTGGAAGGGCCTCGCAAGCGACGTGAGTCCAAGCCGTACGCATCTGTGCTCTCAGATACCTCGGCAACCTGGCCGTGGTTTTCCAATTTTGGCCAAGTATATTGGTCCATGCCATTACTGTAGGGTGCTTTGCAGTCGAGCAAGTCTTGTAATATTTGCCTCTGTGCCAAAGGCTGGTCTAGCTCCCTGCCCATTTTGCTATCTATACTTGATCTGCTAGAAACCTCATCCGAAAAGAGTGGCTGCAGTTTCGTGTTGTTAGTCGGGGCTTTTAATTTATTGGCACTCCTCTCCGTCTCTAACTGGATAACGCTCGGGATTGGAGCGGCCACTCCTAGGGGGCGTGCTTGCCTGTCTCTGGGGTAGACCATAGCAGCGTTGGTCGTAGCATCTTGTTTCCGTATCTTCTCACTCATGAGGAAGTCATTGTTCTTGTCCAGGATCTTAGCTATTGTAGGCTGAGGACCACGCCTATCTATCCCCCTAAGTGGACTTGTAGATGTGTCTAGAGAACGATGCCTTAGTAATTTCTATCAGTTGTGAGGAAGAAAGTTAACCGACCTTGGGTGGTGTGGGTGCTTATATGCTTGAGTTTGGAGACGAATTGCTTCGCCCGTGGCCCATCTCTGTCAACTACGCTGTTAGTCCTAGCTATGGTGACTGCTTCTAGCCCATCGCGGGATGTTCTTGATAGTAGCACCTCGAGCCTCTTGATCTCGGATTTGTACTGGCCTTCACGTTCCAGCCACTCATCGGCCATCGACTGGAAATGTTCGAGGTGGTGTTCAAGAGAGTGCTTTGCTTCAGTGCGGGCGGCCTCAGCAACCTGAATGCGCTCCTGGGAATTGGCGAATCCTTCGATAAGGTGTAAGACATACGAGTTGTACTCGATAGGGATGGGCTTTAGTATGCCATGAGTCATCATCACAACTTGGAGGGTCTCAACCATCTGGTCTAGCGATGGATTATACCATATCTTATCCCGCTCGCGCAAGAACAAGCCGGCCTCGTTACCGGATGTCAAGGGATCGGGCGAGAATGAAGTATGAGTGGCAAGACTCAGATGGCTAGGACCTTGAGTTGGACCACGCTCAGGCGATATTGACGATCGGGGTGTGGTAGGTGTTCGAGAATGCTGCCCTAGCCGCAACCAACTGAAATCGGCCATCCTCGCCAATTCTGTGGAAACGGTTTATGTGATATGGTGGCATGAATGTACGAGTTGCTACGGGTACTTGTAAATAGGTATAACCATGATCTGGGGAAAGTGACGCCAGGGGAGGCGAAAGGAAACCTTGATGATAAAGGATGTTACATAGTACCCTAACCTAGGTAGTTGATAATTAGTTGATAAGTGTTCGACAAGCGGAAGCTACAACTGATTGTCTACCTATGTAGGTAGGTAGGTAGGTAGGGCCTGGTAAACAGGTACTACTTATGTACCCATGAAGCACCTAATAGGTACCCTAAGGCAACCCCTTACCAACATTAAACAACAACTCTGGAGTCACAATTATAATCCCCATATGCGCACAGTAGACCAAGTAGAATGTATCAACTATGAGGCCAGTTTCCCTTCTCCTTTATTTCTCCACGGTATTAACACATGCAGTCTATACCCCTCGACTCGCGGCATACCATAACCTATTCAATGCCTTTGCATTAGTCAAATAAGTCACCCGCTCTCTGCCGCTGTCTCGATCTACCCTCCAGCCTGTCCGCAAATAGTTCCTTCTCCGAATTGATACCTAGTTTCTCGGGAAATAATTCCTTTGCTGATTTGTTAGCGCTACCCTTTATCGCAAATCCTTGGCCTGTGCCCCGTTGGGACGCTGTGCCACGGATGTTGAAACCTGACCCGGGCCTGTCGCCCACGCTCGACACTCTGCTAGCCGACGCCTCTCTACCCGGAACCGTGATTCGATCCTCAAGCCTCTGACTGACGAATACCGGTGCATCGCTGCTCTCATCCATCAGGGGCAGCATGATACCTTTGGCTAGGAGAGTCGCCGTGTCTTCCACATTATCCCCTAGACGTCCAGCTCCTGCGGCTGAACTTTCCGGGAAGAGCTCTCTACTTGGGTTGCTACGAGATGGACGTTTTTTATTTGTCCGTGCTGTGTCATGATTATGAGCCGCCGATCCACCCGCCCAAATCTCACCCACATCTCGGTCACCACCTCCATCGCGCATAGGGGAAGCGGACCGAGCCCGGTGGGATCCTTTCCTATTGTCTAGGACACCAGGAAACAACTCCTTGCTGCGATTATCATTTCGATGTGAGTTCCTCTCGCGATTAGCCTGGTAGGTTTCTGGTGTGTGAGATCGCTTGCGGCGAGGCCGCGAGTGTGCTGCGCGAGTAGCTAATGTTGCTTCATCGTCGTCATATAGACTGACGTCGAATTGGTCCTCAAATTCTCGTCGGTGACTATAGCTGTCGCGGTCTCGCTCGCGATACTTTCGACTGTCATTCCGCCGCCGCCGCTCCTCTGGGTCATACCTAGGATTTAGAAGATAAAATCGACTCCTTGATGCAGCGCCCGCTTGTTTCTTATCAGATGTGACCGCGAGTCGCACTTGCAACGCGACTTCTGGTTTTCTGGAGAATGGTTTGGCGAGGTTCAGTTTTCGCATAGGTAGTTGGGAAATGTCATGGATATCCTGGGCGGCTAAGGAGCTGAGAGCGTGGGTGGCAGCCGAGTCAGAACTGAACAGTACATTGGCTGAGGAATCATCTATCCATTCTATTTTCTCCACCGACGCCTCTGGGAAGTGTTCTGTAACGTAATCCTTAACCTCGTCCGTGTTCATTATATCGAGGCCTCTGATATGGACCTTGTTAGGTATGACATCATCTTCATTATTCTCTAGGTCGTCAATTTCCCCTGGTGAAAGATTGCCCTAATGGAGTGTATATTAGCATCTTATGAGAGCCAGATTAATGGAATTGGTCATTGTGCATGCTCCCTACCTGTGTATCTTGCAACTCGAGGTCGGGGATAATAGGCTCGTCCGGAATAAGGTCCACATCCACGTCCATCTCGACATCGAGATCCATGGTGTCCATGGCGTCTAGTAGTGTTGGTTGAGGCAATGAAACTCAAGAGGATGTGTGAGAGGAGGGACTGCTCGATAAGAATACGCAGGGTTGGAATAATTGAATACAATATTGATGTATTAAGACCGAAATGTATCTTCTTGAGTGAGTGAGACTAGATTAAGGCATCTAGTACTAGAGCACAACAGACTAAATAGCCCAGCCTAGTGACTAGTTAGTGTACTTGGTATCTCATATATGAAGCTCAGTAATAGATAGCATTGATGTACATGTATGCACATGTGTGCGGAAGGAATACATGTACTAATTGATGAATGTGAAGGAGGCTGAATGATTAGCCTTGCCAGATATTTCTTTTATGGATACTCGCTAATTAACTAACCCCACACAAAGGCGGGTACTACATATGTATGTACATATATGTATGTACATAAGTTATATGTATGGTACTAGGTATGTAACAAAACATCGAATACATACATCTACTAATTATGTACATCATTACAATGATTACATACATGGTACTAGGTACGACTACAATGTAGGCACATACAAAATTAAATACATCACATACTACCTACATGACAAGACCCAAGACCTCATGGTGCAACTGCACGTAGAAGCATAGAACAAAGAGGTAATCAGACAGTACCTAGTAGGTAAAACAATTTACTTACCGAGTCTCGTCAAGACTTCTTCTTCAGCTACCTATTTGTGCCCTGGCCGCTGAAAAGGAAAGGGAATAGGAAAGTCAGATCAGCAGAAACTCCCCTGGTCAAAAAGGGATAGACCGTAACTTATAATAATGATAATAAAAGAGGATAGCGCCCTGCCATGTCTATTATTGCACACTGGAATGTGCTCTATGTAGTATACTCAGGCATCGGATCTAAACCATCTCCACTCCTCGCCTACGAAGTTCCATAGCTGCTTGAATACAAGCCCGTGGCAATTTTTGTCGAGAACCATCATTCCCTTCATTGGCAGACGCCGAGCTCAAACTCGGCGTCCGCGACATCTCTGACGCTGTTCGTTTTAATGATGGCAGAGGTAGCACGATCTCCCCTGCCGAACGCCGATATTCTGCATCACTGTTGTCTCCTTCGAGTTTATCATTCGGGTCAAGTAGCGGATCGTAGGCCCAGCACTCCTCTAGTCCTTCTAGATAGCATGGAGATCGCCTCAGGAATTGCCATGAGAAGGTATCGGATAACATGGCAATATACAAGGACTCGACTTTGCCATTTGGGCAACAGACAGCACAATACTTGCGTAGAAAGTCGAGATTGTAGTTCGCGCCGATTAAAGCTGGGTCTAAGGGACGGAGCATAGGGAGACCTTGCAGTGTTACGGCGTCACATAACCGGGCTTGCAGTGGTACCCAATCCCTGCCCCGGAGGAGACTACCAAAAGCCTTAGATACGGCCTTGACAAAGGATTCGCCATCTACCCCCCCAACCGCAATCATTTGATGAAGCCCACGAGACAAGCACCGTTTATAAGCGTTCGTGTCCTTCTCAAAGGGGAAGGGCTGCGATGCTGTCGGTAGAAGCGAGACATGTACTGTCCATGATCCTATCACCTCTACTGGACCACCCTCAGCAGAAGTAGAGCAAGAGTTCAAGACCGGCGGTGAAGCAGGTTGTGCCGTAACACTTGGGCCAGAACTACTAGGTAGGCGGTGCTGTCGTAATACACCTCTACAGTTTTTTGACTCTTCGGAGCCCGATGTGGATCTTCGCTTGCGTCCCTGGAAAGGAATATGAGGGCCGTCTTCTTCCTCCAATGCATCTAGACGTTCTTCGAGCATCATTGATGCTTCATCCATTTCCATTAATCGGTCACCTAATCTTTGTAGAGTGTCGTCGTGGCTATCTAGGCGTTCGTCGAACATGAAAAGGCGATTTTCATAGCCGGCTTGCCGTCTCTCAAGCTGGGTAACCGACTGCCATACACGGTCCACGTTTCTATAGCAGCCTTTCATTTCTTGATCTGTCTCTTCTCGATTCTTCTCAGCCTGTTCCTCGAGGTTGCCGAGGCGTTGAACCATGCTGCTTAAAACACTACCGAGCCCCCCATCATTGTCCCGGTCTAGCTGCTCTTCGAGTAGCCTGATACGCCGCCGAAGCACGTCAACTTCGTCCTTGTCTAGGGGCGGTTCAGCCGATTGGACATGATAACACGAGAGGTGACCACAGTCGCAGGTAACACCTGGAAGAGACCGGTTGATAGTAAACCCAACACAGGCGCAGCGCTGTCCTTTAATTTCAGGATTTAGCAGGATGTATCGGCACTGGCCGCTGGGAAGCTTGTTCTCATCAAATTGCTGCCTGGATGTCACAGATTCGGCCTGTGGGGACTGTGAAGATTGTACAGACATATCCGTGAATTTAGCTGTCAAGAAGTAGGTTTTAGTCTAGAACACGCCTTTGAAGGATGTTGCCTCGCCTCGAGGCCAGTCAAGTGAAGAAGCCCAGCGGTATTCGTTGCACAAGTAGCAAGCCACTTGGAAATATTGTCAATCAATACTATTGGATGCACCATATGAGACACAGCAGTTGGTTGTCAGGGTTTACTCGGTCCATGGAACGACTTATGAAGCGTCCATATATCAAGCTCGCGGTAGGTATGAGTTGGGACTTGCTCACGACGGTGGGGGGTGCGATTTTTTTTCTTCTTCTTTTTGGGTTGGGGGGAGGTGTGGTTTTGTTGCTCAGAATATGATGATGAGGAGAGAAATAATGTAGGAGGAACCCCAAGGCTATCAGATAAAGAATCAATCTGATTAGGAGCTATGTCGATGGACGAGACTAGGTCCCACAACCTGTTATCAGTACTGAGACTACCCACGGTGCTCAAGGGCAAGTGCCTAGCTGGTCAGTGGCTAGTGGAGGCCGATGTAAATAATAAAGTTCCTTGGATAATAGGGGTGCCGCTCAAGCATGTAACAGCGAATACGGACACCTTGAGTGACAGTAGATAACAAATATAACAAATACAAGATATGTATGTATTGGATCGCTAAGAATGGAGATATCCCTGATAAAACGATAATCACAAATAGACACAAGAAAGATATAGGTAGGAGCACTTGAGCCGACTGACGAATGTAACGAAGCGATTTCCTCTCATTCGTTCAATTTTTCTTCTTCTCTCTTCTTCTTTTCTTCCCGTCTTTTTTTCAAAAAAAGAAGAAAAAACAAGAGAAGGAACAAGGGAGAAAAGCAGAGAGAAAACGGATGCGTCCGAACGGGATCCGCTGTAGATAAACCGATAGGCTAGAAAGGGTTGGATGGAATATAAGATACCAGGCAAGGGTTGATAGAGAGACCGGCACAGTTCAGATAGCTGACCGACCCTCTTCTCTTCCTCGCTTGTGCACTTATTATAGTAATATCATTGATGTTAGCCCGGCAGAGGGTAGACGACTGTTTCGAAACTATACATGAAATCAGAATTCTTCACGTTGATCGATGAACTACGGCAGGCAGCCCTGCCAATTCAAAAGGTTTAGTAGGCCCGAATCAGAATATAAAATCTTTCGCGTTAGCCCTTTTGATAAGTACCTACTGTGAAGAGGAAGAGGGAAAGGAAGCGGGAGAGGGAGGGCGAGTGCGAGTGGGCGTGGGCGTGGGGCGTGGGAGTGGGAGTGGGAGAGCGAGGATGGGGAGGATGAGAGATGGAGGGTGCAAAATTTGACATGTGCTATGAAGAAGGGGGTTCGTGGTATTGTAGCAAGCTGGAGCGCTCCAGAATGCAACATGAATTCAATTAACAGAGATTTCGATCACTAAAGGAAGGCAACCCCAAGGAACACGTCAAAGCCACAATGCCACATGGATTTTACCGTAGGGCCTACATTGTACATACTATGTAGTACATTAGGTAGTACTAGGTAGGACTAAAAGGTACTAGGTAGGTAGGTTAGTAGGAAAAACGCTCCGCGTGGGGGTTATTTTCGATTTCATGTCTTGTACATATACATATGTATGTATGTATGTATGTATGTACTGGTAGGTGTGTATGCTGAGTGCGAATGGGAGCTAACATTGAAGATAAGAAGGACGCGCGGGAGGGACATTAATCTTAGCTTGAAGTTACTACTAGGTACCTACATAGGTATGTCTGTATCAGTGCATCTACCAGGCACCTACCCTACATGTACATATGTATGACATTGTATGTAGGTATTAGGTAGTTAGGTAGGGTTATCTAGATTCTGGAGGTGATTGGGCCGGTTCATGTACCCAGGTACATTTACTTACATGCATGTATGATACCACATATAGGGATGATGCAATTAATAGACTAATCCGCTGAATCTGTTGCGTAATAATGTTCCAATCGTTTGCTGTCTTAGCCAAGTTAGCAAGTACGTAGAAACATATGTACCTAAGAATATCAATCTTGATAAGTTGATACATTATGTGTGTATGTATGTACGATGATTGAGCAAGGTTGAAATTTACCAGGTATTACTTAACATTACATATCATAGTGTACTATCAATGATGTATATAGTATGCACAAACATACCTAGTATCGATGTAGTTACTTATTGTATAATATATACATATTACATACTACATAGTAGATAGTTAGTACTACCTAGGTACATAGTGTCATAGTATGTATATGATCGACCGGCTCGCGATCCCCCCACGCTGCTGGAACCCACTTCGCCTAGCATAAGCGGCAAGTGATTGCTGTTGCAGTGTGAAATTGTGAATAGTATCATTGTATGTACATAATAGACGTGTCCGACTTCCAGTCTTCCACAAATGTTTTCAGTGTTGTCAAATGATACTACTAGGTAGGTATCTAGTATGCAGGTACACATGAACCTGCTTACCTTAGGTATGACATGCCCTAGGTATGTACCTAGTATGTATGTAGGTTAGTCTAATGAAGCTACATACCTAGATGTATGGATCAAATATTACCCTAACCTTAGGTGTATCATGTAATCATTGATATATGTAAATATATGTAAATATATATATATATATATTATCGATAAGAAGAGATAAGATACACGATAATACGCTACTACACACACACACACATACAACTTTGAACCCACATCCTCAACCCCACCAATATGTATCCAATAAACAATATCGGCGACAACTATCATTCAACTAATCGATTGTGTGGAACAGTTTATCCCAGGCTTGAGTGTCGTTTCACCTTCAGCTACATCTGCTCTAGGTAGTCACATATACTTAAGGCCATGGCAGATTCCGCAGCTGCTCTAACTTCACTCCTTCGGACCTCGACTATTCAAGACCACAATGAAATCCTGAAAGCTGCCAACGCGGCTCTCAAGTCCTCTAAGGGAGATATCGAGACACAACACACCCGCATCGTCGCCCTCTTGAAACTAGACCGATTCGACGACGCCCTTCGAGCCATAGCTGAAGGTGGGGATAGTGTGGAGGAGGATTGCCTCTTTGAAAAGTCATATGCGCTTTACAAATCTGGTCAGCTACAAGAGGCCGCGCGAGCTCTCGAAACAGCTTCCGCCTCCTCTAGGTCATCTCGCCCATTCCGCCACCTTGCTGCCCAGATTGCCTATCGAGCCGAAGACTTCTCAGATGCCGCAAAAGCCTACCGTCTTTTATCCCAAGAGTCGACTGGTTTACCTGGAGAGGAAAATGACCTGAAGATCAATCTTTTGGCTGCAAATGCCCAGCTTGAGTGGAATGGCTTTGGCCATCTGCTTGAAGAACTTGAGAGACAGCCGTCGCGTGACCACCTCGAAGCTTTCGAAACCGCATATAACGCCGCATGCACTTGCATCGCACGAGCCGATTTCACTCGCGCATCCGTTTTCCTTAAACGGGCCCAAGACCTGTGCGAGGCTAGCGAGGATTTGTCCACGGACGAGAAGAATTCTGAGCTTTTACCGATCATGGTTCAGCACGCCTATGTTCTCGTTAGGTTAGGCAAGGAGGCAGAAGCTATCAGTCTACACAAGTCCATTGTGTCGTCCGAGTGAGTAAAGGTACTCTCGTCTTCCTCTCCCCCATCTTCTAACGCTTACTAGAATATCCGAGGCGCCAACCAGAGTAATTGCGCAGAACAATCAAATTGCCATTGGCGTTCTTGGGCAAAACCCTTTTCTAGCACAGCGTCTCCTTCAGCAAGGAACAAAACTATCCAACAATGAAAGGCTTTTCGACTACCAATCTTCCGTACTGAGACGCAATGAATATGCTCTAGACCTACAAGCGCAGAAGTTCGATGGTGTCGGGAACTCTACCTCCAAACGAATTCTAGAATGCCCATCTCCTACAGCATCAGTTGAAACAGCAGGTCTTGGGGTCATTAACGCTGCAGCCCATACTCACATGCAGGCTGGTACAACGGCTCTCAAGCAAATGCTGCCTTTGCTTGAGAAACGCCCCGCCGATATTGGGGTATTGCTGACTATCATTCAACTATATGTCCAGGCGAATAATCCTGGACCTGCGTTGACTCTTTTAGGGGCATTTTTAAAGCGCCTCGAAACGGCCTCAGCCCTTAACTACGAGGATGTGCGGTTTATGCCGGGACTTGTTGCCGTAGCTGTGGCGTTGTATCGGCTTCAAGGACGGCATAATTCCATCCGCACTGAATTAGCAAAAGCCTCGACCCATTGGCGCACTAAGCCGAAAGAGTCCGCTGCGTCGCTCCTACGAGAAGCTGGTGTGCAACTCCTAAAGTCGTCCAATCCCGAAGATATCGCTTCTGCGGGAGAAACATTTGAAAGGCTTGTGGCCAAGTCCGAAGGGGACTTGACTGCGGTTGCAGGACTTGTGGCTTCATTCGCGACTAACGACTACCCTAAAATCGAACCATACCTGCAGAAGCTCACACCAATAGGAAGACTTACTGCCGGAACCGATGTGCAGGGACTTGTCGATGCTGGCCTCGCATCCATTCCCACGCCCACTTCCGTGAGTAAGAAAAGATCAGCCGAACATGAACCAGATACAACCACGAAACGTCGTCGGAAGAAGCGATTGCCCAAAAACTACGAGGAGGGTAAGCAGCCCGATCCAGAGCGATGGCTTTCCCTTCGGGATCGTAGTACTTATAGGCCCAAGGGGAAAAAGGGTAGAAGACGAGCGCAAGAAGTTACACAGGGTGGCACAGTCAAGGTGGAAGAGACACTGGAGTTGGTAGGTGGCGCTGGTGCTGTTAAGGTAGAGAAGGCGCCGGGTGTCCAGACAGGGAAAAAGAAGAAGAAGGGCAAGAAATGACATTGCCATTGACAGTGACGGGCAAATATGTGGATGTAGATTAATGCTACTAGATACCTAGGTATACAACATTATGGTGGCGCTTAATATTTTCCCTTTCCCAGCTATTCTCTCTGCTGGAGACTGGAGTAGCTAGCCGTAATACCCGCTGATTACTTTCGACCTTTTCTTCTTCTTGACTCGAGAACTGAAGTGCTCTTCTACCGGTACATACATATTATGTTATGTCATCTCTTTCGAGTGCCTTGCATAGTCTGCTCAACCCTATCCGACCTCTAAAAACTCCCACGCGACGGTAGTCAACAAATCCTTTGCCTTTCAAACCGAAGCAATTGCCACAACATCAACATCAACATCAACATCTCCCAATCACCAATCCTTGACACGCCTGCAAACATTACGCACTGACTGCTTGAATAACCGGACTGGGCAACCGTTCTATCTCTTGAGCTGCCTCTTCATCACTCTCTCCCTCCGCTTCCGCCACATTTGGCTGCGCCGGGGAGCTAGGGGGTTCTGGAGTGTAGAATCGAGCTTGCATTTCCGCATTTGTTTCCGCATCTTCGTCTTCGTCATCTAATGGAGGCAAGGGTGATCTCCGACCCTCTGAAAAGCTTACGGCTGCATCGCTATCTTCATCAGATGGAACTGTTAATCCTCCCCCTGATACGAAGCGGTGCGCTCTAGACGACGAATACTTGCGGTGTAGTTCGCGGAACGAGCGAGCCGTAGCCGTACTAGCGCTAGCACCTGATCCCCGTCGACCTGCTTCGTTCGGAAGGTCCGCAAGGACGAAGTGAAAGTCGTCATCGACACTGCCAGAAGAACCAGGTCCATGATCATCACTCTGACATGAATGCTTGCGCTGTCTCAGACGTTCATCGGTCGACAGACTCTGCAATTCGCTACTAAAGTTGACAACAGATGCCTTCTTACCGTGAACAGTGAAACTGCCGGTCCCACGGGTGAGGACTTCGCTCTCACGGACCGTTTCGTCCGACATACCACCACTCGATGCCGAGTCTTTGCCCTTTCTGCTACGGTGATGTGACAAATGACCGGCACCTTCCCGGAGCGTGCGTTGGAGGCTGCGTCGCATCTTGATTCGTTCGAGCCCGTCTTTATCTAATCCCGGGGCGCTCACGCGTTTGGGCCGATCGGGACTATCATCGTGAACCTTACCAGAGGAGCTACGCTTATGACTGGACGTGCGAACTACTTCCATTTCAAGCAGACCGGCTTGTTCAAGGACTTGCCGCTCGCCCTCATCTTCAGTTTGCTCATCGATGGCGTCATTGTCTGGCCCAAGTGTTGGATTGGATGCCATTCCAGGCGGTGTAGACGTATTTACAGGTTTCAGTGAGGATGCCGCACTCGAAACCGAAGTTTTTCTAAGGCCATGATATTCGGAGTTAGAGGCAGGCCCGTCCCGTGAAGCCTGCCTACTGTGGAATGACGGGTCCGAAGCTGTCATTGGAGGTGTTTGGAAGTCTTCCACCATTGGCGAGTCTCCGCCCACCTGCCTCACCGATTCGAGTGACCGAGCCTGTGAAAGGCGGGTTGGAGATTGTGGGCTTTGTTGTTGTTGTTGTTGTTGTTGTTGTTGTTGAGCCCTGTAAGAACTACTTCTCGAAACCTTGTGCACTAAAGGAAGCTTCTCGGCCTCCAAATTAGACTCGGCATTTTCATCGCCTAATTCGCCATTAGTCTCTTTCTCCTCTTCGAGATCTAAGGCTAGAATGTCCCGGTGGCATTTCAGTCTCCAGATTTCGGTTCGAGACCACTTGAGCTGGGCAATTATTTTGGCAGCACCTCCTCGAACCTGATCTCGCGTCTTGTCTTGGATCGGGGCTAGGATTAGTAGATGCCTAGCATTTCTCAATTGGGTTTCAAGAAGCTTTTGAGCGGATTGAAGCTTTTCGTCGGCCTCCTCAATCTTGTTGCGTATTACTTCACGGCGAGCGACGAGGATGTCTCTAGCCATCTGATGATCTATGCGACTTCGATTGATGCTCACCTCCCCGCTGGGGGTCTGGACCAACTGGGTAGCATCGGTGTTGTCTAGTCTTCTGATGGCACGTCGACTTTGGCCTTCGTAGTTTCCGCCTATCACTCCTCTCATCCGTACACCCGACGTCCTAAATGCGGCGGCATAATTTAATTTAGCGAGCCAGTCATTCCGGTCCTCCTCGTTTTGAGCAAGCAGTACCTCCTCGAGTCCACCATGCCTAACGTACACAAAGGCATTCTTGTGTTTCCTGTAATTGAGGTCCCAGAGAGCAACGGCGCCATGGGTTGACATCAAAGCATCGGGTTTAAACTGCTCCAGGGGTGGGTTGAATATCAACGGGATCCCGTCGTTCCCCGACTTTACATGTGTCTCGTATTGGTGCATCAGATTCTTGATCCATGTTGTGTTGCGGAAGAAGTACAGTTGGGCGCCCGTTAGAATTGCACCCCATTCCTGCCACGGTGAGCGCGTCTTCTTCTTTTTGGGATCTTTGCGCCACAACAGTCCAACTTTGGTGACTTTGATATCCACAATGCCGGGGTGGGCTTCTTGGGGGTTATTTGCTGTCTTCTCCGTCATAAAAGCGTCTGGACGGGAACGCGCTGATACGATTTGCAGGACTCCGGTTTTGAAGAATGTCTCCTGTAGCTCTTTCAAATCTAGGCTTTTGGCGGTGCCTAAGTAACTGTAATGTTCCTCTAGAGGGATCTGGTCTTTGAGGGGTGGTCTAAGTGTATCTAGTCGACCATCTAGGATTAGTGTGTAGGGGTCGATCGGATCTTTTGATCTTCGTAGCGTCTCTGAGGTGTTGTTTGGGAAGATAGATTTCTTCTTCGACCTTAGGCTGCCTGGACGGTCCCCATTCAGAGTAAGATCATCCTCTACATGAATGAACGGCGTGTAACTAATATTATCATAGAAGCACTCAAGGATATCGTCGAAGATACCTTCGCCATGCGTGTTCTTTAGATAATCGGCTTTCTGCATCTTGTACTTGTTGTTCTTATTGAACACATCAGTGTGCAATATGAGAAGAGAGAAGGCTATGAAATAAGCCTGATCAGGGGTAGAATATATTCCAGGATTGCATTCGTGATAGCGGTTCGCGAACGCTTGCAGGCAACGATCGATCTGCTGGGTCTCCTTGGGGAGTTCGGCCTCCATCAAGAGCTTTCGTATGGCCATGTCCATAGGCTCCTCAAAAAACCCAAAGGTCCGCATGTAGCTTCGCAATACGGCCACTAAGAACGGGTCATTCTCTTTGGATAGAGAGCTCGCAATAACGCCTCGGCTTAAGACTTCCTCTAAGCGTGCTAGGTACTTAGCGGGAGTATCGTCTTCGCGACGCTCAGGCAGTACAATTGGCTCCCTATTTATTTGTAGGGAATTATTCTTAGACGTATTGGAACCTGGTGTTGCCGGTGTTAAGTTTCCATGCCGTAACGTGTCAGTATTCTGCCGCATGCGGCTGAGCCCTAACAGATCGCCAAAACTTTTACGTCCGGTGGACGACGAGGTCCGCAGGGCACCCGGATGCTGGCGATCGTCGACGAAGCTCTCGTTAAGGGAGCTCATCGTAGACGACCGGCCCCTAATGCTTAAATGAGTTCTTGTTGGAGACGACTGCCCAGAGTTTCGAGAGGCAGGTCTGAATAATGCTGTGGCCGGTGACCCTGAAGGCCTTCCCGGAAAACTTGCAGCGTGGTTGGGAGAAGCTAGAGGGGTAGCTCCATCGTGTCCCGTGGAAGGACGAGAGGACGTTGAATGGCGTGAAGCAGACGAAGTCGTGCTAGGCAGTGTGGGTGTCTTGGACTTCTGGGGTAGATGTGCCAAAGGGAAGAGTGGTTCCGGTTGTTTTTGTTTACGGCGTAGGCGGAAGAAGCTCGTCTGATTTGACAAGGACGGTGGTGTAGACATAACAGGGTCATTTACACTACTTTCTGATCTAGACGATTCGGATAAACGCCCTGCTGGCGGAGCTAAGGCGGAGCTCTGATCATCAGGATTAGTGTTCAATGATGTAGATGTCCCGAGCCTAGAGGGTTCTTCAAATGTCACGGTCTGTTTGCTAGGTGAGGATATAGCGCGTTCATTTATTATCCTTCTCTTATCGGTTTTGAAGGTCGCGGATTGCATAAGCCTTGGCATGAGCTCTGAATCACCTCTGGGGAGGTCGCTGGACCGGCGCATTCGCATGGGAATTTTCATTCGAGGTTGCTTCTTAGGTTGCAAGTCTATGTCCATGGTGGGTGCGGTTGTGATGATGGAGGGAGCTAGAGGTAATGGCAATGTAAGCGAGCGAATAAAATGGGAGCTGAACCTCGGACAATGAGATAATACTACATACGTTGCGGCATTGGTGGCAGTTTTTCCGATTGTAGCTGCTGTTTTAACCTAGCTGATAATTGGGAATCGGAGGCATTGCGAAACCTTAGCATGCTGAACCTGCGGTGCTTTGACGATTCGTCTTGAATTGGCGGGGATACTGGTCTATCATACGGATCTTCGCTATCCTTACTTGGGGTTATAGAGACCGAAGCGGCAGGCGTGCTGACGGTCTCGACTGAGGATTTGCTCTCTTCGTTATCACCCGTCCCTTCTACATCCCTCGCGACGATATCAGGCTGTGACGAGGCTTCTGGCTGGGATTTGCGCAAAGTCTGTTTAGGCAGAACAGGTGCAGGTTCGACAAGGATTGTGTGTCGTCTCATGTCAGTATCACTAGCCATTACGCCGCGACGGCGTAGAAAGGGCATTATGATAGAAGGATGATAGTGTGGCCTCGGAATGTGTGTGTGTGTGCGTGTGTGTGTGTAGGTGAGTGGATGTATGTATGTATTTATGTTAGAGCTAGACGTTAAGAGGACTTTAGATCGGTTGACGAAGTGGCGGCGGGAGGAATTGTCAAGGTAGATGGTAGTGGTGATGGTTAATAGTGAGAGCAAATGTGATGGCGATGGCGATGGCGATGGCGATGATAATGGCGGTGGCTATGGGCTACAATGGCCGATTGTCACCACGTCAAGAGTCACAACAGTAAAAACCCATTGTCTTGATGCAGGTTACGGAGATAAAACGAGCGATGGGTTAGAGAATGGGCAAATGAGCTGATGGGCTGATGGGCGGTTGGCGATTGGGATTCCTCCAAGGGGCTAAACGAAGTTCTTTGACGGGACAACCACGGTAATCAGTATGAAATTTTGAGCGTGAGCTATGAAGTTAGCTACGAGATTAGCTGGGATAGGTCGCGTTGAATAAAATATAATGTATCCGTCAGCTCAACGAGACGGTATTCCAATATGGTATTCCAATATACACCTGCCTACCTACGTGTAGGTAACTTTAGGAGACTTCGATGTAGGACCCAAGGTTTAGAAGAAACACTTAGATAAGTATGTAAAGCATTGAAGGTTCCAAGGTTTCAAGGTTTCAAGGTTTCAAGGTTCAATGTTTGGTTTAATGTTCAACGTTCGTTTAAACGGTTCAATGCTGTTAGGGAACATTGAACTCCTTCGGGGGCCTTCCCAGCCCTAAAGGTTACTAAGGTAGGTACAGTAAGGTACTAGTTAACTAATATGTATTACCTAGTACCTCCAGTAGTACCAGTACCTAGTTACAAGTAGTTATTGATGTATCCATAGGTGTATGTGCTTAACGGTCCATGGGTACCTTCGTTCTCCATTTTCTCCCCGCTGAGAGCCCCAAAATTAAACTTGAGCCTTAACTACCTATTACATACAGATAGTTATAGGTATTGTACATAGTGCATACTACCTACATGTATGTATGTCAATAGATTGAAGTTACACAAGTACATATGTAGATTCAGTACATATGTATCTTATTTAGTAGGTACCTATAGTTAGGTATAGTACATATAATTAATATGCACCTTATGTTAGAAACTGAGGTTAACATGGAAAGGTGAGGTCGGGGGGTTAAGCATGTACTGTAAACATTGAACCCGACAAGTTGGATGCATAAGTACTTTTACTATATAACTACATAGTAGTGTATAGCTACTAAGTTAGTTATGTACCGCTCAATGTTGAACAGTTGAGCCCAGAACATCACCATCGAATTTCTTCTACCCCCGCCCCCACTTTCTTGCCTACTATCATGTATGTATGTAAATAACTATTAACCATGTAGTCATTAATAACCAACTATGTACCTACTATGTAGGCAGGTATGCTAAAGGAATTAAATAAACCGTTATCGACCGGTGTTTTCCTTTAATGTTCTTCCTACTTCCTACTATGTACTACCTAGTATGTAATAATGTAATACTAGATAGTTTGTAGTTCAATGTTAGTACTATCTAGGTTAGTACCAACTTACATGTTGAATTGAATACATGTAGTTATCAAGCCCGACATGCATATGGACTTGCATATGGTTATTAACTTTTACAACGTCACCCGTCAATTTGAGACTTGATGTCCTTTACAAACAACCTTATAACCCCTTTACTAAGATGAACTATCCTTTTTTGGGTTGTCCAAATATCGCTCTGATCCTTCTCCTTCTCCTTCTCCTAGCTATATCACCCTTAACCGATGCTACAATCCTTCCTCGAGTCTCGCCCTCCCAAAATCATCATGGTGGCTCGTATTTTAGGCGTTTGCTTGACATTCCCTTTGGCTGGGCCTCAGGAAGTAAGCCGAGGAAGGGGTTAAACCAATGGCTCCATACGCACCCGAAGCTCCTTGCAAATCTTCAAAGATACGAAAATGAGGTTGTGATCCGATTTAACATCTCAACGGACGCGCATGAGGCAGCTCTAAGAAAGGCTGTTGATCAGATGCTGCTCGATGTATGGGATTTTACCGATAATTACACAGACATACGTCTCGATACTCGTCGTATCCGACCATTAATGGGCATCTTGCCGCCTTCCATGCAAGATAATCACTCCATTCTGATTTCCGACTTGTCTCGGGCCGTCGCTGATACATATCCAACCAATGTACCCGCCCACTCCATCCATCAATCCACCCCGAGTTGTCGAGGCATAACCCCAGCAAATGATACACCCTTGCCTAAGAGGCGGGGTGCTGATGACATATTCTTCCACGATTACCAGCCGCTCTCCGTGGTGTATCCATGGATGAAACTACTGGATTCCATGTTTAGAAACCGTGGCCTTGTTCGGATGATTAGCATTGGCAAATCCTATGAGGGACGCGACATATTAGGGTTGAGGATAGGTATACCATCTAATGATGCATCAGCAAGGGACAGAAAAGATACCATTCTTATGACGGGCGGTATTCGTATGTATAGATGCTGCTATTCCTTTCACTTTCAGGCCCGTTTCAGGAAGCAATCTCTTCTAAGCGAACCAATTCCGTAGTAGAAACTTCCGGGACATACCTCGATCCCTTCAACTTTCATATGTAGACTGGAGTTAATTGCTGACTTTCGTTTTTGCAGATGCGAGGGAGTGGATATCCACCAGCACCGTGAATTATGTGGCCTGGTCCTTCATACGGTCCATTGACGAGGATCCGATGATTGCTAAAATTCTGAAGCACTTCGATATTGTTTTTATCCCTGTTCTAAACCCCGATGGATACGAGTATACTTGGGAAGTCGATCGCCTCTGGCGCAAGTCCAGGCAACGCACGAAGATGCAGTACTGTCCTGGTTTCGACTTGGATCACACTTTCGGCTACCAATGGGATACTACCCAGCATCAGACCGAACCATGCTCTGAGAGCTATGGTGGTGACGAACCTTTCCAGGCTGTCGAGGCTGTCCGCCTAGCGGATTGGGCCCGGAATGAGACAGAAAATGGTGTCAAGTTTGTAGGTTACCTGGATCTTCACTCATATTCCCAGCAGGTACTATATCCTTATGCGTACTCGTGTGCCACCCGCCCGCCCAACATGGAGAATTTAGAGGAGGTGGCCATGAATTTGGCTAAGCACATGCGACTCTCCAATGGAGAGGTATATACAACTACCTCCGCTTGCGAAGGAGCCGTAGCAAGCGAGATCTCTACAGACAACATGCAAGGCCCACAAAGAGCTCGAGTCGAAGCCAGAGGGGGATCGGCGATAGATTATATTTTCCATGAGTTTAAAGCTCACTACAGCTATCAGATTAAGCTTCGAGATACTGGGAGTTATGGCTTTCTTCTCCCGAGTGAGCATATCATTCCTACCGGCGAAGAAGTATACCAGGCAATGAAATATTTTGGTGATTACCTCCTCGGAAATAACGGCCACGAGTCGATGGGGCATTCTATACCTACGGAGGATCATATCAACCAGGTTGATTTGACTGTCGAGGAGGAAGTTAACATGGCGGAACTTCGAAAGCGCCGCCGAAGAAGATGTGATCAATGTACGTATTAAACGAAGTTTCTTGGACTTGGGCAGCATTGTGTAGCAAGGAAAAGAAGGCAGAAATGAAGGGAAACGACCATGACATATTTCCCTATGCAATTTTTGTTGGGGCCATTCAATTGAATAGTACTGTCTTCTTTCTTAAATTATTACTTATCCAAAGATATTGAGTGGAAAATCAGGCACCCAGTCGACAGATACATATATATATTCATATATAATTCCTTAGTCATTGCCTATGTACCTAAATCTAAGTGCTTCGTAGTGGTGGGCGGATTGGTTTCTATTTTAATGCTTCTAGTCCTCAGGCACTTAAAACAATCTTGACACCAGAAATAATAGCCATAATCTTCAAAGCAGCGTCGGTGACTATACTCACGACAGAGCCCGTCACCCTGCCCTTTGGTCCGCTAGACGTGTAACCATAGGCGTATAAGACACGGCCGATAACCCAGGCCGCGCCGAGGGTGGTGCTTGAAGTCGGGAAGTAAAGGCCGGATATGAGAAGAGCGCCGAGGAAGGGAGTTAAGTTTTCAGTGTAGTTGGCGTGAGCTCTCTGGGCGCAATTGAATGCATGAGCCTTGGGATCTTTGTCAGCCAGCTCCTGGCTGGCGTAGGCGGTCGGATAGGTTATGCCGCTCGCCTTGCGTGCGCGACCTGTCAGGGCCTGGTGAAAGGTGTTGATAAAAAACGACGAGGCGGCGACGGTGAGGACATAGCTAGATGTGGCGCAATTAGCAGGGAAACGGGGTTTGACTGATAAGCAGATGATAGACTTATAGACTTACCCGTATTCTCTTGGGATTTGTAAGTATGCCATGGTGGTACAAGAGTTTGGGTCTTTGATGTGCAGGGTATCAATGTATGTATGTTGTTGGTATGTATATGAGTATGTATGTAATATGTATGTAATATGTATGTATGATCAGTAGATACTATGTACTGTGTAGATGAGTGTCAAACTTCTAACTTCAGTATAGAGTAGGATATGTACCTATATATAACTACATACCTTAGACTCCTTAGTAGGATATATATTATGGATACTTTGGATTTACATAGTACATTCGAATTCAAATTTGGCCGAGTCCGTAACTATAAGTAATAAAGCTAGAAGCATGTAGAAGACTTTCAAGGTTGCTTCGAATTAATTGATGAAAGTATAAGAAAATCGGCCAGACCTTCTTCCCGGATGCCGAAAATTAGTCGATGGAAAGCATTGAAAGTCGCCGGACCTTGTTTCATGTCTTCCGCACGCAGATAAATGCATATATGTATACAATTAGCATATATACTTAACCATGTATGTACTCAGTGGGGCTTTGCGATCTGAAAGAGATCCTGGAACCTACCTAGTACTAACTAGGTAGGTATGTATTAGGTATCGAACCTCGTGTCAACCTTTGAACCTTACGGCTTACATACTAACTACATAATAAACTAACCTAGGTAGTTACCTATTGACCTACACAAACCGATATCGTGTAATACGTGTACATATACGTTTGAACCTCTCTAGCCGTCAACAATAATCCACGGCGACAGTCAAATTACAAATTACAAATTACAAATTACAAATTACAAGCCACATTCTATATTATTGAATTTCGTCTCCTAAGGCTTCGTGTTTGCCAAAGCTGGCTATTCTACTTTAATAGGCCCTCCAAGGGCCCGTGAGGCTTCACCATGAGTTCTTGTATGTTATCCAACCATACTTCCACGCCTTCATACTACAAAATCAAGGGCGGCGATTCCTTACCCATGATCCCCTCACCTCCTTCTGTTCCATTGATTCATTGATTCATTAATTCATTAATTCATCCATGCCTGGAACAACTTGTTGACTGATTCTTGTGTTCCTCTCTCTCCAGTGAAGCAGTTTATTCGCAATGTGCGTGCCGCGAAGACCATTGCCGACGAACGAGCGGTCATCCAGAAGGAAAGTGCTGCTATCCGGGCCAGCTTTCGCGAAGAGAGCGGAGACCACAATGTGAGGTGCGCACAAATCAATCATCCCCAATCCTACAAGTCTCGAGTCAAGTTGCGCCTTTGCTGACCGACTCGTCGTACAGGCGCAACAATGTAGCCAAACTTCTATACCTGTTCACCCTGGGCGAGAGAACCCATTTCGGCCAAATAGAATGCATCAAATTACTGGCATCTCCACGGTTTGCCGATAAACGACTTGGACACTTAGCTACCAGTTTGTTGCTAGACGAAAACCAGGAGGTGCTCACCCTAGTCACCAACTCGTTGAAAAAGTACGCCTCTTTATCCCCTCGTATTATTCCTGACTGACCTAGCCCTCGTCTCAACAGTGATCTAGGCCATTCGAATCAGTATGTCGTTGGACTTGCTCTTTGCACTCTGGGTAATATCGCCTCGATCGAGATGTCCCGAGACCTCTTCCCCGAAATTGAAACGTTGGTTTCTACGGCCAACCCCTACATTCGAAGAAAGGCTGCTTTGTGTGCTATGCGCATTTGCCGAAAGGTTCCAGACTTGCAGGAGCATTTTGTCGAAAAGGCTGCCCAGCTTCTTTCCGACAGGAACCACGGCGTGCTTTTGTGTGGACTCACGCTAGTTACGAGCTTGTGCGAAGCTGAGGAGGAGGATGGCGGCGACGAAGGAATAATCGACAAATTTAAGCAATTTGTACCGGTGCTAGTTAGGACACTGAAGGGTCTTGCTACGTCGGGCTATGCCCCCGAACACGATGTCACCGGGATCACGGACCCGTTCCTACAAGTCAAGATTCTGCGCTTGCTTCGAGTTCTCGTCCGTGGCGACGCCGAAGGGACAGAACAAATCAACGATATCCTTGCTCAGGTTGCTACCAACACTGACTCTTCCAAGAATGTTGGCAATTCCATCCTCTACGAAGCGGTCCGAACCATTCTCGACATAGAAGCCGACTCAGGACTCAGAGTTCTAGGCGTGAACATTCTCGGAAAGTTCCTCTCTAATCGAGACAATAACATCAGATACGTTGCTCTTAACACGCTGATCAAAGTTGTCGCGATAGAACCGAACGCCGTTCAACGACATCGCAATACCATCCTTGAATGCCTACGTGATCCTGATATCAGCATTCGGAGGCGCGCTCTTGATCTGAGTTTCACGCTCATCAACGAAAGCAACGTGCGGGTGCTCATTCGAGAACTGTTAGCATTCCTCGAAGTGGCCGACAATGAATTCAAACCCAGCATGACCAGTCAAATTGGTATCGCAGCTGACCGGTATTCTCCTAATAAACGGTGGCACATCGACACTATGCTCCGGGTTTTGACACTCGCTGGAAACTATGTGAAAGAGCCCATCATGGCCTCGTTTGTCCGGCTTGTAGCCACTACACCAGAATTTCAGACATATGCAGTCCAGAAGTTGTACGCGAATTTAAAAAAGGACATTACCCAAGAAAGTTTGACCCAAGCAGGTGCATGGTGTATTGGTGAATATGGGGATTCCTTGCTTAGAGGTGGGCAATACGAAGAGGAAGAGTTAGTTCAAGAAGTCAAAGAACACGAAGTCGTCGACCTTTTCAGCACCATCCTCAATAGCAACTATGCCACGCAAATATCTACCGAATACATAGTTACAGCTCTTGTCAAATTAAGTACGCGTTTCTCTGATGCGTCCCAGGTGGAACGCATCCAACGACTTTTGCAGTTTCACCAGACCAGTCTGGATGTCGAGGTCCAGCAAAGAGCTGTCGAGTACGGTAACTTGTTCTCATACGATCAGATACGTCGTGGCGTTCTCGAGAAGATGCCGCCGCCGCAGATTAAGGAGTCGTCTAGGGTTCTTGGCGAAGCTACCAAGAAGCCTAAGAAAGGGGCCAATCGCAGGTCGAAACTTATCGCCAAGCCAACAACCGATCAGGATTTACTCGATCTGATGGGAGATGCAACCACGACGCCATTGGCTTCACCTACGAATGGATCGCAAAGCAACACTGATCTACTTGCCGACATCCTCGGTGGCAGCGCAACTTCACCCTCGCCAGCCACATCCCCCTCACTTCAACAAAACAGCACGACGTCGATTATGGATCTCTTTTCCCAAAGTTCTTCTGCTCCAAGTTCAGCTCCTGGCATATCCAATTTAGACGCTCTCTCCTCACTTGGGTCTCCTCCGCAGCAGACTACCGCAGTCCCACAGCCGAGTGGAATTCCATGTTATGATGCCAACGGCCTCAATGTTACCCTTCAGCTGCAGCGAAATGCCGAAGGTGCTGTCCAGGTCCTAGGCCGTTTCCGAAACACATCTAGTGCACCACTCTCCAATGTAGGGTTACAAGCAGCTGTGCCGAAGTCACAAAAGCTGCAATTGATGAGTATTTCTAGCGCTGATATTGCACCTGGAGCTGAAGCAACGCAGATGATGAGAATTTTGGGGAGTAAGGGAGTAAGTATTCCAGGCCGGCTTGTCACCTTTTTTTTTTCTTCCTTTTTCTGTCTGCTTGACATCACTAACTTATCCATTTTAGTCTCTCCGCTTGATGTTGAGAATTGGTTATTCGCACCCGTCAGCAGGGCAAGTTATGGACCAGGTGAAATGGACAGAGCCGTCTTAGCTGACGAGAAGCGCGAATTAAAGTCAACTTGGTCGCTCTCAGCCCCCTTTATATATTCGTCCATGAAAAACAGGCAGGGCTTTCGATTAGTGTCATCATATGCTCGAGAAGTCAACAATGTCAGTAGGCAGAGGCAGGGCTCCCTGCGTCTCATTGTAATCTATCCTCCATCTAACAAGATAGGCTGGCCTCGAGGCTAAATGAGTAGGCAATGATCGCTTATAAGATGTCAGAATAGTAGAATATTCTTACCTGCGACTCCAGTCGACATGATCTCTATCGTGAATTCCTTCACAATAATATTGCAACGCGGCTTGTAGAATAGAATAAAGTAAATACAATTCGTAGTTTCAATTACCACTCCACTGCGAATCCTTATTTTACCACCCCAGCCAGGAGCCAGGAGCAAGGCTCTCAAGTCAGCTACCACCACTTTTCGCACAGCACATGGTGTGGCTCAATTCTTAGCCCGTGCTTTAGTTCAGTGAGCGTCTGGACGAATTCATCAGTCATAGTGGGCACGCCACAAATGTATACGACGGCAAACCGCCTCTCTGACGCATTGCCGATAGCAGCGGCCACATCGCCCACAGTCATTCTCCGCCTACAAAATGGCACGCTGTTAGCTTTCTTGGTGCCGCACGACACGACACCTTCCTGGTCTTCTTCTTCCCTTCCGTTCGTCAGGAAGAGCTGTAGCTCGCCTTTCACCTTTCCAGAGCCAAAGATAGATCCCAGCCTGTCGAGGAACAGCAGACGTTCAGTCCTAGGCCCTATGGCAGAGGAGCCAGTAGCAGTGTCCTGCTTCAAGGAATACAAGAATCGCACCTCAAAGGGGCAGCATTCTTCGTCTGGGTTCTCGGCCAGGCTACTCAGCATGCTCATGAGGGGGTTGATGCCAACGCCGCCAGCAACGAAGACGACGCGGCGCAGGGAACGGATGTTTATGCCGGGCGGTGGCCAGACAAAGCTTCCGCCAATTCGGATCTGTAGTTCAGCAAAAATGATGGCATCCGCATCTTGCCATAGCCATGCAGCTGGCGGATCGGACGACTTTTGCACCGCGAGCTCCAGGTAGCAGGCAGAAGTACAACTAGACTGGGCACCTCCCGATGGGGAAGGGAACGCCTTCGATGGCGATGAGGTAATGGTGTAACCCCCAGCCTTGGATATGCCGGGTATGAACAAGTCCACCCATTGCCCGGGCAGGAACTTATGGAAGCAACCGGTCAGTCAATACAAGGCATCCAACCGGCTCCTTTGGCGGTCCATTTTATTACACTCATCGGAGATTTGACTGGGCTAGAAGCAAGACATACCCGAATGGGGGCGGCAAGTGCTAGGCGGAAGAGCCTAACCTGGTCGTTGACCTGCTTGATCTCGGATAGGGTAACGGTGTGGAGAGACTTTTAGAATGGTGTTGGTCAACTGGTTGGATGCGCAATATAAAGCTACCTATGTAGCTATATGTGTAGGTAGATGCCCGCCTACCTTTTCTCGAGGCTCAGTAGCTGTCCTTTCTAAATGCGTAGGCTTTATTGAAGCCATATCAAGTTATCAAAAATCAGAGCGAGATATATTGTCCGAGAGCCTCTACATACATATGAATATATATCTATGATAGTAGTATGGATGTAAATGGTAAATTGTATTGTACTGCCGCCTGCGTAGTATAATACTCTAACCTAGGTACTACATTAGTATGATGGACTGCACGTGCTTACAGTAGATTCCGTTAGAAAGGTTCAAATGTTACCTAGTACATAGTTAATGCGACCTGCGGGGTTCAATGTTGGATTACTACATACATGGATACTAAGTAGTTGCCCCCTATTAACCTAACCTACATACTACCTGGTACCTAGTACTAGGTGCTCTGTAGGTTGTAGGTGCTTACATAGTACCTAGTACCTACCTACCAACATCGAAAACAGGCCAAAGAAAAAACCAGTCCATCAACCATATGCAGCAACCTATTCTAGATCCAGTTTCCTGCAGGCACCTCATCTGTATTGTATTCCTTGTCATTCCTACCCTTGTCTTCCCAAGCAGAAAGCTCTATCATTGAAGAACGCTCTGCTGCCTTCTCGGGTTGCGAGTTCCATAGGACACGTTGGACTAGTCTACCCTTATGTCGCAGAGGTGACGGAGTTCGTCTGAGCCATTCCGACTCTGTGAGCTTTAGTTCGTCCGTGCTGCCATCGTACACATCGCTAGTTAACACTCTTCCTGCTTTACAAATTGGGACATTTGCCTTGGCTTTTGGCGACGATGATGTCCCCGGCGAGTCCAATTGAGTGAGATGACGCTCAAGCACGCTGCCAGTTGTCGGAACATAACCTTCTGGCGATGGTAATACTGGCGATTGTGATGTTTCTGTGCATGTTGGCGAAACCGCATAATCCGAGAAGGAATCTTCTTCTTGATCATGGATACCTCCTTCGCTCAATTCTAATGCCTGTGTCGATTCAGGCTGTATAAAGATTGGTTGCGCCGTACTAAGTCTTATCTCTTCGTCCTCGAACTCTTCGCTCTCGACATATTGTTTCAAGGATGGTGTTAGAGAGGGACAATTCGACCAGAGCGATTCCTTGGATGCCTGTCTTGAAACGTTCCTAGGCAACTCAGGCAATGGTCTCTGCAAAATCTCAGCCATTGTTTCATTTCGTTGTGCCAGTTCGGTATCTTCACGCGCTAGGCTGGAAAGACGAGCTGGAGGCAATCTTGGGGGGCTCTTCAAGAATCGAGGGCCTGGTATCAAGGCCTTATACGGTTCCGAGACTGATATGCTGCCGACTTTGATATCGTCTTTAAACACCTCTGCATCTGGTGACTCGACCCCGAAAACAAATAGACCTGGAGGCGGTGTTGAGGTGGCATTGGAAGAGCCCATGCGAGAATCGAGGCCCAATGGCTTACCGGGGTTAATGGATATCGGCCGGCGTCTGATTTCGTGCTGTGGGATAAGATTCAGCTGCTCAAGATGCTTCGTGGATCTGTAGTGGAAGCAAAAAGTTGCGTAAGGTGATTCTTTACCGTCGTCCAAGTGATACTCGTAGGAGGTGGCATCCTGGGGGTTCTCGACCAAGCCCCCACTTAGAGAACTACAAATGGTCAATAATGCCTTGATAAGAATAGTATAGGAGGGATAGGCTGTGAGGGCCTAGAGCAGCTTACGCGATTCCATAGCGTCCTTGGTATCGATGGGGGTAAGTGTCCAACGCAACCGCGATTCGGTTTCGTCCTCGACAGCGAAATACTTGAACCTCGATCAAACCACCGTCTTCAGCAACAGATTCTCTGTCTAGCCCACGCATGAAGTGGAAATACCGGGTCTCTATGCCAACGATAGCATCACCATTCCTATCTCTAAATCTATCTCCAGGCCCGTAAAGACTTCGCGACACACTTCCAGCCGAGCAATTATTCGTGTCGATGCCCCAGGAAACTGTGTGATGTCCGTTGATGAACATCTTGAAAAAGATGAAGCGTGACGGTGGCGGTGATTGGTTGACCTGGTATCTGAGTCGGAACTGATCGCCTAAATAACAAGTTAGTTAGAGACGGCCAGTTTGCTAAGATTGGGAAGGATATGAAAATTACCAGGACTGGAAGGAATATAGACAGAAATCCGGGGATTGAGCTTTTTCTGGCGGGTCGGGTCGGCTTCTGAGCAGATCGGAGAGGCGGAAGGGTGCAGGTCAGTCTGTCCCTGATTTCGTAGGCTACTTAGGCCAGTGTCGACCCTCATGAGGTGAACAGACGATCCATCAGGGTGAGGATATTCACGTAGCTTCTTAGCCCCTGGATTGACCACAATAGATATCTCCACGCCTCGAAAGGAGGGCATTGCTATGAGACGACAGAAATAAAGTATATATATATATGTGTGTGTGTGTGTGTGTGTGTGTGTGTGTGTGTGTGTGTGTGTGTATGTTTGTGATAAGGTGATTGGATTTTTGGTTTGAAGCGGAAGCAAAATCAAATTAAAATAGTGTAAAAGTAAGGTATCCGAGGTCTGGTCGTAGTTTGAAATGAGAAGAAGATGAGGCGCTTCCGTTAGGAGGAGGAGGATGGTGAGAAGAGGGGGGAGAGAATGGGGGGAGGGAGTAGGTACTAAGTATCACTATTGCGAGTGAGGTAGGTGAGAGGGAAAAGGGTAGAGAAAGAGAGACGGAAAGAGAGAGAAAACAAGGAAGGCACACCAGATAGCAACTTCCTTTCAAATAACTTGGTGCAGAACCAAAGGCATCAAATTGGTGCATGATGCATATGACTCCCATGCCAACCAATATAACCCAAAGTAGATGGAATACGGTGTTATCTTGATCTCGAATGATGCGGTTGATACCTACTTGCCTACCCCATAAATACCTACAAAAACTATCGAGATATACGTAAATACACGAGTATTAGAAAACATCCATGGATCCAACAAAGCTATTGAACAGTCCCTCATAGTAATTCTCATTCTCATTGCTTTAGTGCTTTCAGTCATATACTAGAGCTCTCTAAGAAGTACACGGTTGGTTGTGTTGTGTTGGGTTTTCGGACAAGATATTGGGACTACCCGCCGAGTACCTGTTTGGTATCTTCCTCCTTGCCCAGTAGGCCTAAGCTCATTATCTGACCAGCGTTCGGTGCATTTTCCCTTGCTGAAGAGGATTCGGCCTTTCGATATGCAGCTTGCAATGCTTTTACTCTCGCAGCCTGGTTTCCTCAGCAACTCTAGTTAGCCTATCGACCAATATAACGGTTGTACGAAAGACAAGTCAGAGTACGAACCTCCTTTTTGTGATGTAAACATTCATAGTAATCCTCTAGCACGGGAGAGCATTTTTTCTTGCCCGAATCGTCCTCGGCAGACGTGTTGACTACATAACAAGCCAGCACTTCCTGCCAGAATGGAAAACACCGCGACTGGCCTATTCTACAATGTTAGCGTCTTGAGAACGTAGAGGACTGACTTTCTAGGAGTCCAGACCTCCCTGGAGACCGTATCCAGATGCCATGATGTCGTTCTAACCGTAGATGTAGACGTCGTTCTTAGTTGCTGAAGATGAAGAGTAGTGTCGTTTGGACGAACAAATGATGTTCAAGTACCTAGTAGTTTACAGCTAGCAAGGTTAGCTAAGCAAGGTAGCATTGAAGGTATGATGTAGTGAAAGGATTACATAATGCTCTTCCTAAGCCTAATTGAGTTAACCTAGTTGAGTTAATTGAGCAAAATGTTGCCAAGAAGAAAGATCCTAACCTAGCTCAAGCTAACGCAACATTCAACTCTAATTCAAACCTTAAAGCTTCCAGGTTATTAAAGCCACAACTAGTACCCTAGGTTAGGTACCTAGTAGGTATATGTCACCTAGAGGTGTGTTGAAACTTGTTCCTGTCATTGATGCCAACATCCTGCCAACATCCTGCCAACAACCTTTGCAGTCTACCCAATGCCCTCCATACCTATCTTTCTCATAGATAAGTGAAAAAAAAACCCACGAAAAAACGAAGGTCATGCATATAGTGCCTTCAAAATGACCCCGCTTCCCTCCGCGCCGCGCATTATACTCCTTGCTACGCATCTCGCCGCCAAAACCGACATCGAAGGGTTGGCAATTCTCGCCGCTCAACACACCAAGGTCCTGCGGCAAGATTTGTTGCTTCGAATCCTTCTAACATGTCTACCCGAGACACTGCCACCTGTTAAATATGTTCCTCTTGTTCAATATCTCGAAGACGGAAATCTCGAAAAAGGTGTTCAACTGCGAGAGCTCGATTGGTCTTCGGTACAGGACTTTACTGAAGATGAGGCTACCAGGAAAGTCCGCAAGCTACGACTATTGCCTCTTGCCTACGAGAATCCCCCCGCCGACGTATCCCAAGACCCTGTTTCCCTCTTCTTAATCCATCGTGCGCGTCGCGTCGATGAGGCCGCCGGCTTGCTAGCTCAATTGCCTGACTTGATCGTGCCCTTCCTCGACCATGCTCCCTGCATTCGAACATGGACGGTCTCAGTTTTATTACCTCTCCTTCGCCGAAACCACGAGTACTACCCTAACGAACCCGCTATCCAAACCCTGTCCGCCTTTGAGCAGATGAATGACCACGCCGCAATCGACTTATTGTTATCGCACACCGGCGTACGTAATGAGGACTTACTACATGTGGGGAGGGACCTCCGCGGTCTAATAGGGCCATGGTTATATAACGACGCAAGATGGACTCGTAGTGATGAGAAAGGTCACTCTCCAGGCCATTCTTCATCTACGACTTGTATTATATGTCCAGGTTGGGAACGTGTCCTGGAATGGATTACGGAGCGGGCTTCCAAATCGTGGAAGGTCGCGGTAAAAGCCATAGACCAATGGGATGGTCCGGGAGATGCCGATCTGGGTGGCTACGCTTCCATCTGGCTAGACGACGAAGATCTAGGGTATCTTGAAAAAAGATATGCTCGTGCTGCTCTAGCCTCAGCGTATTTGATACCCGAAGCTTCTGTTGAGTCCTTGATAGGTGTTAATAGTATTATTACCAAGATCATGGCCTTGCTGGACCTGGATACTTGCCCTACGCTACAAGTCGCTTCATCTCTTCTTGCACCTTTCTCTGATCCCAATGGAAAGCAGCTTCTCTTCGCTAAGAATGCCACACATATGCGTAATGACTTACTAGCCGAGTCAAACATACTCACCGCGCCAACCGAAACTACCACAAGACTCTTGCATGTTCTAACATTGAGCGCCTTTATCTTGACTAAAATCGGAGTACCTTGCACTGTTCGGAAAGCAGGGGAGTTGGCTTTCCTGCAAGATGAGCAAGAACAAAGAGCAGAGGCTGCTCAATATCTCCATTTGTTAGTCAGTAACGGCCCCAAAACGGATGACAAATATTGGATTAGAGCAAGGAATGAACTTTTATGGCTTCGAGATTGGGGTGCAGAAGAGGTCCAAGACTCTCGCAATGTTCGAATCCCGGGGGTCTTGGGTCAGTTAAAAAAGGAATTCCTTGAGACCGAGTGTCTCAAGGCATTCTTAAGTAACACTCGTAAGACGTTTAGCCCAGTTCTTGTGAAAATATGTTGTACTGAAACGCTCAGGCTACTCCCTCGCGAGATCCATATACGAAGATGCTCCAGAGAAGCCCCTCGATAATCATGTGCTGCAGGACACAATCGTTTCTGCGGCTATGCACGCCTATGATAACGCGTCTAACCCTCACCGTGGCCGAGGTGGTCTATTGAAATGTGATGACATGTAAGCTTCCCCTAGATGAAATTGACATAAGATCTTCATCCTAAGCCATACTAGAATACATGCATTTCCCCGAACATTACCGGAAACGCATCCTGCGTCTAAGCGGGTCGAGGCTCTCCTTAAAGCGACACATGGACTGAGTGAGTACCGCCTTATATTGAAGAAAGGAGAGCCATTCACCCCGGTCGTGCTCCGAGTACACACAGACCCCATCTCTATAATCGGAAAGGTGTTGGAGCAGAACCCCAAAAGCTACACTCGAATCCAAGATTTCTTAGAAATGGGAACCAATATGGTCGATGCTGGGCTATTAACCCATAGCAAGCAACCCGAGCAGTTACAATCGGTCACAAAGCCGGTATGGTGGCAATCTCTAGTTGAGAAACGGATTACTGCCTTGTGCGTTGACGCCGCTCTTACAGAAGATGACTTCGAGACAGCATATTCTTATGTTGTCAACCGGTTAACCACAGCTAGTAACTCGCCGGGGTCGACTCCCAAGCCAAGAGAAGGGCTCTTACCAAAGGGAGCCTACGCAAACGTTCACTCGGCTACGTTGACCGATGACTATTCTTGGAAAGCTGCACTGCAGGCAGGTAAATACCGCCGCACGGCGCGAACAGTGAAGCCGACACATATCGGCACTGCCAGTGGCAATCCTGACATCCGACACCTTGAACAACGAATAGAGTGCTTAGCAACGGCACTACGCGTCGCACCAGCCCCGGCCCTCCAGGAGATTTTAAACGTCTTCCGCAAGTGTGAAGAGGAGTTGAATGCCGCCGTAGGGGCTGAAGAGGCGCAAGAGCTGGCTTGGGATGACCGAGGCGATTTTCAAGTTATGCCCGGTGCCTTCAACAGTACCGTACCAGCCGGTGTTGTGAGGGGCACCAAGCAAACCTCCTCACGACATGTGGAAGAAGCCCCTATGTCGCTCTTTGACCTATCACGAGCAAGTATAAGCAGAGCGCAACGAAACCTAGCTGCGCTATCTAGTCTCCAACGCAGCGGGAATACTAGGTCAGATGAAAGCCAGGACGAGAAAGAGGACGGTTCTAGTGAGCCTAGAGTTAGAAGGAGGGATCAGCTAAGGGAGGCGGCTGTTGGAACCCTAGCGTCAAGTGTTGGTTGGCTCATCGGAGCACAGCCTATTGACAGAACAGGCGAAAGAGTATAACCTAGGTACTGGGGTAGGTACTAAGTGGATAGGTAGATAGGTAGATAGGTAGATAGGTAAATAGGTAAATAGGTAAATAGGTAAATAGGTAAATAATGATATCCATAAATCAAATCTAGTCCATTTCATAACAGTATTTTATTTCATTTATACATGAATTCTAGTAAACAAGCCGCGCCGAGCAATAAACTAGTAGGTGCCTAGGTGCCTAGGTGCCTAGGTGCCTGCCTACCTACATAACTAGATGCCTGATAGGTATAGACCACTACTCTGGCATATCAAATCTTACCCGCTTGTTCTGTCTTCCTTTGTCAACATTCTTTCCCGCCTCCTCTGGTTGTGGGGTTGGTTGTCCTTCTTGCACCTCGCTGTTCGTTCCCTCATTTACCACGACTCCTTTCACCATGGACTCGGCCTTCGTTAAATTTCGCTGAGCTAAAATGAGTTCAGGTGGCTTGGACGGGACCTTGTGCCCAGCCTTCTTTGCCTCTTCCTTCTCTTGTTTGTATCGGCGCGCCTCGTAATTATACCTGCTGAGCGCAACCGAGTAGGCTCTTTTTGTTACCTATGACACATCCATTAGTTATTCAATCTGTCATGAACCGCAGTCGCTAACATTCCAACATGTCATGTATAGGCAAGCGTATTAGGTATATTGAGACATGGAGTATTGCATAAAGGGGCCAAATACTTAATAAAAGCACTTACATTACTTGGGTTATTCGTGGCTATGTCCTCCTGCGGTTCTTCCCCGTCGGCTATAGGGGTGTTCGGGGGATGCGGTAAGGTCGTGCCGACATTCCCCTGGCTGTCTTCGCCCCCTTTATTTTGGTCAGATGTTTTTCTCCTCTTAGGTTGATGCAAAAGTGAATCTTCGTCACCCATACCTTCGTAATGCCAAAACGGATCATGGGGATCAAAGGAGTGTCCCCGCGCTTGCAGTTTACCTAGCATCCCTTCGTGGAATTCTTTCCTCTTAGCTGCCAGTTCGGCTTCCGCCTTGTCCCGTTCCTCGCGAGAACGTTTGACGAGGGGAGGCATTTTGAACCCTGGTGGCTGTGGCGGCATCTTGCCTTCGAAGGTGTATGGCTCTACGAATGGGGCCTCCTGCGCTGCCATAATCTCGCCTGCATCTCTTATCTGCTGGCTACCCCGAACATGTCGGGTCTCGTCTATTGGATTCAGCTTTGCAAAGTCGGCAACCCCCCTACCGCCACTGAACTTGAAAGTTGGGTTGGCAGGTAAGTCGGTGGGATAATCATATTGCGCCTCCGGCACTGGCCCCATATCTTTGCGCGAAATCCTAAGCCTCTTCCTTCTCGCGGTTTCAACTTCAGACGGATTGGGATCCAATTTCGGGGCAAGCGATACCTTATAGCCAGATGGTGCCTCAAGCGGAAGTGGTGGCGGCGTTTTTATATGGCCATGACTCATATCCTCGTCGCTCACTCTTGCCGGCAAGCTCACCGGCACCTGGGAGTAATGCCGATATAGGGGGTTCATCTCTCGTCGCTCGAAGCCAATTCGTCTTTCGAGTGAAAGCAAAGTGATGGAGCTAGGTTCCAGGTGTGGATGCCCAGAGCCAGCTCGGCCGTGCTGTGCTCTCTTCTTTTCTTCCAAGCTTCTCTGATCTGGATCCCATAGCTTGTCCATGTCCACTTTCTGGCGGCCTAGGATTACGGCTAGGCTCGGGTAAGTCTTCTCTTGTGTTTTCCACGTCGCCCATCCTTCCGGGGTGTGATCTTTGGGTTGTTCAAACACGGAGTTTTTGTTGAGCCAGGCGGCATCATCGGTGTACTCAAGTCGTTTCCATAGTCTAGAATCATAGACACTAGGGTCTGGAGCATTACTTGGTTTGCCGGTGTTTAAGTCACCCGCCTTTGGAGAACTTGGCTGTGCCTGTCCCGCGCCAGAGAGAAAGACCCTTTTCATGTATTTGTCCATGATAGGGGCTGCGATCTCATCTGCCCAATCACCCCGACTTGAGGTCGAACTGGTTTGAGCCCCTATAGTCTGGGCCATAGCAGATATTGGTATTTCGTTGTTATCACCGTCAGTACTATTTGATGTAGAACTTGTGACGGTGGTTGAGTGCGACTGACGACTTTGGATTTCAGGGTCGGTACTTTGGGACCCAGCCGCAAGGGCCACCAGTAGTTGCATTGACGTGCGCCTGATACGGTCTTTATAAGACGCTATTTTCCTATCGAGTGCTTTGCCCTGAGATGGGGTTGGTAATGATGTTGCAGGTGGCTCCAAAAGCTCACTGTCTTCTCCTTGCTTGCGAATCCGTTCATCCCTTGAGCGGCGCGCCCCCTCTCTCCTTGCAAGTGCACGTTTTGGCACACGGACTTCCGAAGCCGAATCTAATCCAACATGTTAGTAAGATTCCTATATTCTTAGTTGTTCATGCAGGGACATAAGGCAAGCACATAGTTTCAACTTGCACTGTCTTGTCAATGACGTACCGTCTTTATCTGTCCTCTGTTCTTCAAGGTTGTATTGGTAGATAGCCATGTAAGCCAGAAGCCGTTGATGCTCCTTCTTTAGCCTTCGCAGTTTAGCCTTCTTCCCATCCCGGGAGAGGCTCGAATGGTGTGGCTTGTTTGCCAACATGCTGGTATATGTGCACTATGTCTAATCTCACAGTCTTGGCCTTCCTTGAGCGTGAATGAAACCTCGTCGATGGTAGCGTTGAGTGGTAAGGAGGGGTAGGGGAAATGACGAAAAGATGGGACAAGTAATAAGAGCCAGCTCTCAACCCTAGAGAGAAGTTGCTAGGAGATATCTTTAGGAAATATCTTCATTATCAAGTAGAAAGTCAAGCAATGGCTTTGTGTTTTGTCCTTTCCTCTTTCAGTCGATTGTCATCATATTTGGCTCTAGACGCTTCCGTCAATGCTAACCCTCAATCAACCCCTTTTTGCGACGTCAATCTGAACAAAGACAGCTGTACACAAACGTCTCTTGCAACCTAGTCTTCAACAAAGCAATTCCGAGAATGTGTTGGCTCACGCAGCTTGCTCTTTGCTGCTTTCAGTAAGTTGTTTGAGCAGCATCCTATCCGCTTTGAGACAGGAGCATTCTTATTTTATTTTGGACGGCATTAGTGCTCAAATACTACGAGATTATAACGAGAATATATTTTAATATTAGATAATATGCCGCTAGAACTCAACGTATGCCATTCGCTCTAGGTGGGAAAGATGGGGGTAATCATCATGCCAGTAACTAGAACTGCACATGTAGATAGCATCCATACTAAGCATTGCAACATGAAGTACACAAAGCACTACAAATGTACTAGGTAAGCTATATACATAGTTATGTATGTATGCAGCTATTGTATTATTGAATTGTATTATTGAATTGGGTTCGGGATGGTAGGGGACTGGTTACATCCTTACTACACGCACCATGCATTTGCATTCCAGTTGAAGGCTGCGAATAATAGGTACTATGAAACAGGACTAATGTCAGCTAACTGTCTTTAGATGGGGGAATTTTTACCTTGGGCTCTGGCCAGCACAAAAGAGCATCGGCATGAAACGATAGCTAACAGAGTGTGGCGACTATGATTCAAAGTTAGGCGGAAAAAATCAGCGTCGACGCGATGGGAAGCTCCCATTTACAACTGACGAGAGTTTATTAGGTACATCTAGAAATCGTGTCGCGTGGCGTCATATAGGTATTGCTGAATGCAACAACTTAGAAAATTGAGGCCAAATTCATGGTATTTACGGAACATTAGTCGATTCGACTCAAGGTTGCACCTTTTGGGGAATTTGCGATCAATTATGTGTTGCAATCTGCAGGAACACCATTGCAGAGCTGTCTCGAATATCCGCCCGGCAAAATGCTGAATGGATGTTGCTCAGTCGTAATCCTCGTCAAGCTCGAATAGAAACCCCGGAAGTGAAAATAATAGTACAAGTATCAGGTTGAAAGGTGAAAGGATGGCTTTGTTGTCCACGCCATAGACGTATTTGCTGATCCAAGGGAATAGGTGACTGGGGCATAGGGAAAACAAGTTGTCTGTTACCATTATCCTCAGTCGTTGTTGCCAGGCCGACTTCTGAGGAGGGATTTTTCTTTTTCTGTTTTTTTTTCTTCTTTTCGAAGTGGCAATTGTTCCACTAAAAGCTGGAACCACAACGATTGCATCCTTCTCGCCCGTATCTGTCGAACCCTGTCTGAGGATCAGAAAAGAGAAAAGAAAAGAAAAAAAAAACATGGAGGTTAGTGCCTTTTCCTTCCCTTTTACCTGCCGTATTAAACTCCATATGTAGCATCTTTTATGGTATCCGCCGTACTTGCATGCCCGAAGAGAAAACGACACAAGACGAATAAACCATAGACTGTCATCGACCAAACCTCATGCCGTTAGTGAAAATGTTAAGGGAAAACTTCCCTCAACGCATGTAGCGATCATTCCCTAAATGACGCATTAGCAGCGGCAGGCTGGATGTGTCGAGTTGTTGCTGTTTGGTGTTCAAGGCGCACCTCCATATGTCTCGCGGGCGTCAGGTCGAGCTGCTGGCTCAGCAAAACCAGAAGCAGCCGGGTCACGAGCGCGGGGACCTTCGCGGTCAGGGCGATCGTAGCGATCGCGCTCGTAGCCAGGGGCACGTCGCTCATCTCCTCCTCGAGGTGCATATCGTTCTCGCTCCTCACGGCCGCCAGCCTCACGACCGCCGGCATAGCGATCAATGCGTCCATAACCCTCATCACGTTCACGTCTATCTTCTCTGCCGTAACCACGATCATAACCACCGCGCTCTTCTCGGCTACCACTGTATCCGCCACTACCGCTACCACCGCCACCACGGCCTTCGCGATAACTGCGGTCATATCCTCGTTCCTCACGGAAACCTCGATCACCACGATCCTCGTAGCGAGGTCGATCGTAGCCTCGGTAGCGATATGGATCATCTCGTCCATAACCACCATAACCACCGCCACGGCGTCGATCATCGAAGCGGGGGCGACTCTCTATTTCGAATAGGTTAGATTAAATGTATACTGGACAGACTGGAATGTTACTAACCTCTTTTGGGGGGGCCGAAGTATTTGCCAGGAGTTGGGGTTCGAGGACGAGCACGGCGAGCCTTCTCAATACTGAGAGTTCGACCCTCGATCTCCTCTCCCTGCAATCCATCTTTGGCTGCATCGGCTTGCTCAGACGTGACCATCTTGACAAAGCCAAATCCACGGGACTCTTTCGTGTGGGGATCTTTCATGATCTGGCATTTCTCAACCTCACCATACTTTTCGAAAAGACGCGTGACCTCCGCTTCGGTCAATCTAGGATGGATTCCAGTCACAAATAGGTTGGATCCGGGGTTAATTGAACCATCCTCATCCTTACTACCGTTTTCGTCCCTGAGAGTACTGGTGATGAAAATTAGAAAAGAGATCGATATCAAATGAAATGGCTTAAGATACGGTGAAACGTATCTAGCCGGACATAATAATATTCTTGAGAACTTACCGGTCATGGTTGGCACCGGGGGAGGCTGAGCGACGTCGGGAATTATCAATGCCATCATCACGAGAGGCGCGAGGAGATGCGCTTCGCTGATCACGCTCGTAACGAGGACCGTCATCTATAAAACACATGAGTCAATACAGTCATGTTATAAAAATATTGAAATACAGTAATAGATAACAAACTTACCATCGAAACGATCGCCGTTAGCTGTCTCGTAGTCCATTGCGGTAGTCGCCATGGTCTCAGGCAATTTGTATGTACTACTAATATGAAAATTTGGTAAGTATTCGCGACGCGACAATTGGCTTTGATGAAAAAATAGGTGGGGCGCATGCAGCCAGGGAACGGCAAGGCAGGAAGGGTTTGTCGCGTCAAGAGAGACCAGCGAGTGGAGAAAGCAATGGACGAGTAAATAGAGTATTTAGAAGAAGATAGAACGAGATGATGAAAAGAGATGGGAAGAAGATGAGTAATTGATAGATGGGGTTCTGTAATTTGGAAGAGAATTTTATGGGTTGCGTTCAGGTAAATGTAATGGAGTGTGTGGTAAAAAAAAAAAAAAAGAAAAAAAAAAAAAAAAAAAAAAAAAAAGAGTAAAAAATGAAAAAGAAAAGCACTGAAATAACTAGACGTCGCGCATCAATTTGCTCACCTGCTACTCCAAGTTCCTCAAGTTTTTCAGATACCAATCGTAAATCAAGAATGGCACTATGCCCTGTGTTGATGCAAACTGTGTTGCGGGCGCAGGTGCAAGTATGTGGTTGTAGTAAGTAAGAAGAAAAAGAAGAAATATTTTGGGTGTCAGTGCAAATAGAACCAAACTTTTCTGTCAGATGATGCAGACTTGGTACTCTGTTATGAGATGAAGTCTTGGATGGATCTGGGTGAAAAAGGGAAAAAAAATAAAGGAAACCAGATGGGAATGGATGAAAGTTGAAAAGAACCTGGTTGGAAGTTGCGAAGGGGGTTAGAAGGGAAAAAGAAAATTGGGGAGGCAAAATTGTTCAGCTGCGAACGGTACAAAGTTACATAAATACTGTACTAAGTCTACACCAGTAGTAGGTACTGACACCGTACTGTAGGTAGTTAACTATGTACATTGCTACAATGCTACATAGTTATGTAAGTTACAGTACTACCTAGGTCCTACACTACATACATGTAGTTACAACCTGTATGTAGTCAACGGTGCTATTAACCTAGGCCCTCTACATATGAAGTTATACGATACATATGTAGTAACTACCACGTACCCTTACTAGGTATGCAACTACATAGTACCTACTATCCATGTATACTAGGTATGCAGTGATTAATACTTTTCTTCTTATTTTTCTTTTTTTTATCAAATTATTTTCTGGCTCTGGGGTGGTGTGGCTTTTGAGACTATGACTAGCAATCTATTATTACCTATAATATGTATCTAGCAGTATTTACGCAAGCCGACCCTTCCGGGGAACTTCTTGTTTATAATTCGAACTTGTGTGTCTTCATGCATTAATATAGTAGGCAGGCACTATGTGGATTACAGATGTTGCAATCTTGAAGTGTTTCATCAACAGATGTACATCCTACATAGTACTACATATGTAACCTAGGTCCTACAATGTATACTACTAGTAACTAGTAGGTAGTACCATGCAAAAGTCATAAGATGAATACATACATCCATAATATGTAGGACCTACTTCCGACCTAAGGTCCTAGCCTCTTAGGCATGGTCTAAGTACTAGTAGATGTAGTAGTATAAGATAACATGGATTACATATAATATACATATACTAGAATATAGGCCTAGTTACATGGTAGCATGTAATATCATTCATGTGGGTGGCACTTATTACAATTCACCCATACTGAGCCCGTCTTCATTCTGATCATCAACCGCGTCGGCCATCAATGCCTTTTCAACATCTATCTTCACTGGTGCAACCTCATCTAGAAAATATAGTCCCTCCGATGCTTTGCCCCCGCATGCTCTCTCTAGCGCGAGGAATGCGAAATGACCCCCTACAACCGGGCGAGCCATGAAATTCGGTCCGGGAAACCCTCCTTCACCTTCTGTCTCGTAAAGGTCCGTAAGTGGTCGGTCTGTTTACCATCTTATGGTTAGATTTATTTTCCAGTACAATCGAATAAGAAAAAATATGACATTTACATACCAGTTGCTGTCTCATTAACCCATTTCGCAACAGACTGTAATATTTCAGTTCGCACTTGCTTGCTCGTTACAGCCGCCGCGAAGAACTCCCAGTCGCTCTTGGTGTATAAATGGCGGCTATCGAGAGGCAACCCATATTTCTGCAGCACAGCATGATACCAATCGCTATGCATTTGGTAGATCGCATCCGGAATAAATTTTGATTTGGGTTTATAATCCGCTCCAGCACCTATGGGTAATTGCTCCGAGCTCCAGTATCTGCTTGATCCAAGCGATGATGACCTATCCGAAGGCAGGTGGAAGCAAAGCAGTGCATCGGCGAAGATGTTGTAGATTGTCGTCCACGATCCGTACCAGTTGTATGCGAGCTTCGCATGCGTTTTGTCCCTGGATAGCCCAAAGTCCTGCCACTTGTCGATATACTCGTCGGCCACGTGACTGTACCACTTAGCTTCCGCTTCCTGGCCGACGACGCTAGCAATCTCGCTCATCGCCTTGATGCCAATGATGCCCTTTAATGCCAAGTTCGTCTGGTTAGCCAGCCAGCCAGCAAAGTCGTCGGTACATAGCTGGTTCGCGGGGATGAGCGACTCTCGGACAAGATAACCTGTCCACTGCTTCCATAGTTTGTATGAGCGGCTTGCCCATTTTGCTGCCACCTTTTCTCCAGTTGTACCCAGATCATCCCAAGTGCGGTCCATCCCGTAAACATCAACTAAAGGCAATCTATTCGTAGGTTTTATGCCTAAATTTTGGGTTTGTTCTGGCACCGTCCGGACGAACGCGGGCTGCGTATCGTCTCTCAAGGCATTAATAAGCGCCAGACCCATGATTAACATATCTCCACATTCCTCGACAGGCATGTACTCGTCATTACCATCACTATGCCCAGTCGCGTTTGGAAAGTGATAGCCAAGATCATGCATGCTATAATCATTGGGGTATTGGCCACTTAGTTGATGTTCTAAGAGAGGTTCCAGTAGATATGCCAACCATTGCGGATTTGTGTACAAGAAAAAGGGGAACGCCGGGAATATAACGTCCACAGTCTGGAAGTTGCCATTCGAAGAGATTTCTTTTAAGAAAATGATTGGGCTGTCTGGGACTCCAGAAAATTGTGTTGCCCCGAGCACTTGGCGAGCTGACAACGCTGCGATATCTTGGTAGTCCTGAGAGCCTGAGGCGTACGCGTCCTTAGCGAGTTGCTCGGAGTAGTTTCTGGCAAGAAAGACGGCCGTGTCGTAGTCATCGTAATGGTACTGTACCATTTTCTGGGCAGATGAAAAGTAAGAAGCCCACAAGGGACGCATAAGAGTTAAGCCTCTAGCTGAGGCAAATTGAACAACGGGGTCTTGAGTAAGGGCAAAGGTGAAAACAACGCTGTCTTTGGAGACTCCGTGTGAACTATTTGACCCGGTGCTAAGCTTGAAGTTCTTTGAAAAGGCGAAAACGGGTTCGTCTTCAAAGATCCCACGATAAGCGTCGTCGATCTTGTTCTTCAGCGACTTGTGCTCGGCAAATTGACGCCGAATGTAGTTGGCCTCGCCAGATTGGTGTTCGACGTCGGCCGGAGCAGATATGTGGATGGTCCCCCATTCGGCATGATCGTAAAACTCGGTCAGAAGTTGCTCTTGGCGCCGTGTTATACTCCATGTCTTAATAGGTGTCTTTGCACTACCGCTCTTCTCAGTTAGGGCAAAATCCCACTCAATCTTATTATCTCGATCACCACTGGCCCATTCTCCATTTACGTCCATGTAAATATTGACATCGGTAGAGCCCTCAACAGTGCAAGTTAAGTACCCCGCTGGTAGGGACTGTCTAAGAGTAGATGTAGGCGTGATAGGAGACAGGAACGAAAGAGTAATTTTCACGTCGGAATCTCGGAGAGTATACGTGAGGTTCGTAGTAGATGCATCGAAGGTGGCGCCATCATACTGGGGAAATGATACATTATAGCTGATGCAAGAATCAGTCAAGGGATGGCTTAGGACATGTAGGACTAAGGGTTAATCACCGACCTGGAAGAACGTCTCAAGAAATCCTGCGAGCGTCCAAGCAGAGGGTACACGGTTTTAGTTTCAGGGACTGCGACCATGACAGCAAAGCCCACAGTGCTGCCAGTCCAGAACATTGGCCAATGTTTCCATGGGGCTTCCCGAGCGTGAGCAAGCCATATGCTCAAGTATGGGTTCCGTACGACGAGCGGCAGTACAGGAGGCGTCAAAGTCGAAGCTTGGACGAGGGCCAGCACCAATGCCGCGAGGGCTGGCCAGAGACACGATCTCATAGCGACGGAGTAATAGAGTACACTAATGCGAGGTATCAAAAGTTGGTGGGTGGATAAAGTTAGAACGCGATCCCATTGGACTAGTCAGCTCAGGAACAGGAGGTAAGGCTATTAATTACTACAATATGTAGGAGATATCTGAGGGATCTCACGGAGAGAACGGGCAAGGGTTACAAGAAGCAAGCCAACCTTAAAGAAAGTAGTATGCGATGATAATGATAACAAGTAGATATAGAACAAATGAAGACTATTGATGTAAATAGGCCTTCTTCCTACAGTACGAGACTGACTTTAGAGGTTGTTCAGGAGGAGGGAATTTGGGGGGGGGGGGGGGGGTTTCACTCTGTAATGAACAATTGCGGGCATCAGAGGACATAAATAAAGAGGACCCACCTCTCCCCCAGTTTCTGAAGCCAAGGTTTGGAGTGACGACACTTCTCCATAAAACTCCTATAAGCTGACACATTAGGGCGGGGGAGGATCCAGCAGGGGTAGTACGGCAGCAAATTGAGGCTTGAAGCCCTGCCATGTTCCCCTTTCCCATTGTCAGTGATGTAGGTACCGCCGTATGTAGAACTACCCTAGGTTAGGGCCTAGGGTAACTACAAAGTTGAAGTACGAACTAATACCTACTAGGTGGTAACTAACTAACTACATAGTTACCTATTATGTGCTTATTAAGCGAGACATAAGGCACGGATAAACAAATACTTATGTGACTAGAACCACTAGGTATGTACAGTACATGCTACATACATATTAGTACATATATGTATTTGCCCAACTTCATATTTTCTATCATGAGACGGTGTCAAAAGTAATTCAGTGCTTTAACAATCTCGAATCTTCCGAGGCAGAAGGCTTTGAAACCCTTAAGTCTCTCCCTCTCCTTCCTCATATCCGTTGCTTATCTCTGAAACCTGGTCATGTCAACTCTCGAGGGCATGGTCTTTGCGATTACGGGTGGTGCGAGTGGAATTGGCTTCGCAACTGCCCAGATTCTGTCCAAACGCGGCGGAACTGTCTGTATAGCCGACGTAGACGCAATAGCCATGGGAAATGCAGAGGCATACTTCGCTAACTTGAAGGTTCCGTTCATCATCACCAAGGTAGATGTTTCCAACCGGGATGAGGTGGATTCTTGGATCGATGGCATTATTCAGAAATATGGCAGACTTGACGGTGCTGCTAACGTCGCTGGCATCATTGGCAAGCACCATGGCGTGCGAGATGTTGTAGACCTTGACGATGACGAGTGGCACAAGATAATTGCTGTTAATCTTACGGGGACAATGTATTGCTTGAGGGCCGAGCTCAGAAAAATCGTTGACGGTGGTTCTATTGTGAATGTTTCCTCTATCCACGGCCTTCAAGGTAGTGAATGGCCGAGAGCCCATGATCTAGAAGATTTATATACTAATCACTCGTCTAGGATTTGCTAAGCACGGAGCTTACGATGCGAGCAAGCATGGTATCATAGGGCTGACGAAAGCGGCGGCTAAGGAAAACGGCGCTCGAGAAGTTCGCGTGAATGCAGTAGCGCCTGGGGCAATTTACACTCCACTGATGGAAAAGAGTTGGAAGATCCATAACCGGCCAACCGATGCGCCATACGATGATGCAGCGGCTTTCCATAGGCAGGGGACTTCTGTGGAGTGTGGCAACGTTATTGCCTTCCTCTTAGGCCCCGATAGCAAGTACGTGAGTGGAAGTGTCTATTCTGTCGACGGCGCAATGTAGCGCGCAAACAGGAAACCCTCACCCATCAGAATACATCTTCCGGCTGAACAGCGTGGTCACGCCCGTCCTCTCGAATATGCTTCAGTGTTTTATCTCGTGACATGGGCTTACGCATGTCATAAGCGTCCTCCCCATGAGCAGTGGGGTCGCTGACATTATCGCCGTAATAGTCCTTGACTACACGATATACGCTATAGCCCATGCTCTCGTAGAAGTTGATAGCTCTCGTGTTGCTTTTCCTCACGAATAGATCGATGAACCATGCGTCACCAGCCTCTGCAGCAACTTCAAGCTTTTCTGAAAGAATTTTCCCAATTCCAAGGCGACGGGCTTCAGGGGCCACTGTTAGGGCAGTGATATGTGCGTGCCACGGTAGATAATGCTCTGAGTACTTGAAGTAGTCCGGAGAGCTCTCCAGTTTGCCCATGACTAAAGGTAGGTAAGGATTAGGTTGGCTATTTCAGAAACCCCCAGAGTGAATGAGGGCATGAAATTGACATACTGTAACCAATAATATTTCCGCTAGGATCCTCAGCGACCTGGAACAATGCAGGCCATTTGGCGAAATACTGAAGGTAGAAGCTTAGATCGTATGTCTCGGTCAAAGGGTCGAGATTACACTTGGAAAACTTGTCTAGGTCATCTGGACGGAAACGTCGAAAGGATGCCATAGCGGTAGGAAATATATCGTTCTTCTGTCAAGAGAACACGGTAATCTAAACAGTAAGAGCAGTAGGAAGGTATGTGCCTTGTTTGCTAACCGTTTGTATGAGTTGAAGGGGGAGATATTGGTAAATCTTGTAAATATTATGAATTGGGAGAAAATTACGCTATTAAAATTTGGGAAGGATTTTTATGTTGAATTGATGTTGAATAAAAACAAAAGACCTTCACTGGGACCTTCACTGAATTGGGTTGGTCAATTATCACTTCACTTCATTATGCTAGGTAAGTATCAATATATGATAAAAGAGCCGCAAAGCGAATGAGGGTTTTCATATGTAAGATTTTAACATTCAATGTTGTTCTCAAAGTAGGAAAGATGCATTGTTTGAATTCCAGATGTGATACTACATAACTATGTACATTACACATCCAATGTCTACATGCATTAATGTAGATAAGATGTGTATTACCTAGTAGTTATCGCGCATAAATCGTGTACATAATACGTACCTAGGTACATATGTATGGATGACCTAACATTGAACTTGATTGTATGAATGTATTTTTTTATTTAATTTTTTTTTTTTTTTTACTTGGGACTGAGAGATGATGGTTTATGTAGGCGAGATGAGTTGTAATGAATATGTAGATATGTACATGCTACATACAATGTAGGCAGTATCAGATGTAATTACATCAATGATCAATTGATAGATACATACCTACCACCTACCTAGAATGGACGCATTTAGGATTGGAAAGCGGTAGTTTTAAGTAGCACTGCACTTATTATTACAGTAGCCCTGGAGAGGTCACGGTTACAAGATAAGTTCAGGTAGGTTATGTACCTAGGTAAGTTCAAAGTTACGGCATAGTAGTATCAGAATATGATTCATCCGCATCCGAGTTACCAGGTTACCAGGTTACCAGGTTACCAGACTACAAGGTAACACCTTATACCCCTGCTACCTTATTTAGAATAATGCTTGTTTTATTATTGGATGCGCCTGATCATTTCTTAAATTCTCTTAAATCATTTAAATATTCAGCGTCAGCAGTCTACACTTAAGGAGTGTTATGTGTGCAAAAGTGAGAGAAGAGAGCGACAGAGAGAAAAAAAAGAAAAAATTTAGAAAGGAGGAGAGAACTAAACTTCATACAGACAACTCATCTAGGTTAGGCGCAGAGAAGACAAACACCACCATTCATCCTCTATATTCGAAGTGTTGAGACACTTGCTTGCTTCCTTAGCTCGTGGGTCGTGGGCCGTGGGCTGTGGGTGTTTGAACGCGAAGCGAAGTTCTAGCTTCCTCTATTATAACTCCTCCAGCGCTATCGCTATCATATATCATATCGCCAGAACACCAGAACACCAGAACACCAGAACACCAGACCACCAGACCACCAAGGCCTAGCTAGCACCTCATCGCAGATTTGGCCGAAACTACCAGGTGTAAATACGAAGAATACAATAAAACACAACTATGTCGAGGTCACCGCAGACCCCTACGCACTCGCCGAAACCGTCCAGTATCGACCTATCTTATCAGAACTCCAGCCCCGCCATGTCGCCCAACAGTCGGCGGGAGTCCAAGTCTTCCTTCCAAGATCCCCTAACGCCCCTACGTAACAGTATGAATGAGTCTGAGCTTAATGAGCTCAGCGGTGGTGGTATGGGCCAGGATAACGGGCTAGGAAATTTGGCCGACGAGTTGGCAGATGCCTTGTCCGGTTCTGGAGAGGATGAAGAGTACTACGAAGACGAAGAAGGACCATCGCATGCTGAATTTGAACAAGAGGGAGACGGTGCTCGGGAACCGATTGATGGAACTAGGGATAGCGGAGTTGACGTCGCAAGCCAACCTGATCAGCATGGCAGAACCAAAAGTACAAGCCTAGGCATACCTTCACCTCCTGCCCGCGGCCACCGACGAGCAGGAAGTGCGTATGACGGGAGCGAGTATGGTTCCGAGTCCGACTTAGAGTCACCCGGCATGCCCCCAAGCTTAGTCGCCAAGATCGATGCCGTCGAGTCGCTAGCCCGGAGAGGCACTGAGAACAATGGTGGTCCTACTGATGGTGTGTTTCAGCGTCTGACTGAGGGATTGAGAGATCTTGGATCACAGTCTGGTGTGGAGGGAAGCACAACGAGGCAAGTAAATCCCTCGGAATCACCGACATGCCTAGATTATTTGCTCTTACTAAACTGCTACCAAATTTCTAGACTGATCACCGCTCATTCGGCCCTTGCCACGCATCTGGCTCACCAGACCCGACAAATTCACAATCTGACATTCCCTCTGCTATCGCCGCTCGTCCCGCCTCCTGACTCCGATACCATCGATTCACTCATTCCTCTGCTCGCCTCGGTATCGGACGAAATGCCACGACCCGCAACGTCGGCATTCAATTCCTTGGCTGCTCTGCATTCCGTCACGTCAGACTTGGTACAGACTCTGAACTACCTCTCGGACACTCTACATATGTCGCGGCAGACAACCAATACTGCCACGAGACGATTACGAACGGCCAAGGAGATGGTAGCGGAGATGAAGCGAGAAGAGGAACTGAAGGAGGAAGGGGAAAGGTGGCTGACCAAGGGTAACTGGGGCGAGAGGCTGCAAAAGCGTGAGTGCGCTGGCGTATGCAGGGAAGTCGTTGGAGGGTTCGAGGAAGTTTGCAATGGTTGGAGGGCACGCCTATTGGCGCAGGCAGAATCGGCATAGAAACGACATCGTATGGGGTATGTGTGGTATGAAACATGCAAGCACATTTTGCTTCTAACGGAGAGTTAGGACTGTCGTTATAATAGGTGGGCTAGACGACAACCCTCTGCTCTTTTCTTTCCTTTTGTCACTTCGGCATTGCGGCGGATAAATATCGTTTGCACTCAAGAGCCTCGGGGGCGTTGATTTAGGATTTGAACGGCTCTCGTAGTCAATGGGATAGACATAAAGATATGCACGGAACTGCAGTACTCGGTCATTGGTCTGCATGTCGAACGCACAATAGACAGAACCCAACCACCCTTTCGGATGCTAATGTAGATATTCTATCCTACACAACTGTACACCAACCGTACTTGTATTCCAACCCATTCTTTGAACAAGATACCTAGGTAGGCAGTAGCCTCAGTCAGGGTCCTTGAACGTGTCCGACTATAGCCATCATCATGATATCCGAGGAGCACTTAAAATTCTAACACACCTAAGCAGAAGAAAACATGAAAGGTCAAAATAAAAACAGCCATTGGGCTGTAAATTTCCCACTCTAGCCGTCTCCGTCAAATGGTTTCTGTCCCCCAATATGCAAGTCCACAGGGGGGGCCTCTCGAGAACGTCTAAGCGTAGCGTCTGCTTCGTCATCAACAAGGACCACCATCCACACACCGATAACCCCTTTGGCACCGAGCAGAGGCGTGCAGTGGATCCATCTTCCTTTCCCATGGCTATCCGTCCTAGTCACCCAGCGGATCTTGGCGGTAACGCCATGACCGTCGGCGAAGGCCTGGACAATTGCTTCGCGGGTGGCTTGTGACCCTCCGACTCGGGACATGAAGTGGCTCTGCAGAATACCTGGTATCCGCATAGACGGCGAAGCAAACAGGATCCGGAGGCTTGGGTACGGGCGCACCAGCAGATAGTTCTCATACACGCTGCCTAGGCGGTCACTTGACGAGGCCGACATATTAGGTGCAGCATCAGTTTTGGGGTGTTCTGGCTTGGCATCGTCTGTCATCAGATGTCTTGGTTTCCGCCGATTCGATCTAGTCACGATGATATCTTCCACATTTTCAATGCGAGAACCACCTACTTCTTGAACCGCTTTTAGTTCCTCGGAGCTGAACATTCTTGCAAGTTCACGGAAACTCCCCATGGCGTATTCACGAGTCCTCGGGGCCTCGCCGTTGTCTGATTTGGGTTCATCGTGATGCTGGGCAAGAAGCTGCCTGAGTGAATCCAGACCTGCACATTCTTTTGCTAGACCCGATACGTCAATCTGAGCTCCAATATGATATCGAACAATGCCACAACTGTCAACAAGAGGTGCGACCATGAGGAGGTTCATGAACGGAGATCCGTCACGCCGGTAGTTTAGGAAGACCTCGCAATGTTCTTTTCCCGCTTCCAGGTGCTCCCTAATCCTCCTCACGCTTGATGGCTCTGTGCGAGGCCCTTGAAGGAAACGAGGATTTCGGCCTAAAACGTAGTTCACCCCATACTAGATCCCTAGAAGTTAGTTTTCGTTGGCTGTAAAGGCAATCCCAAAGTACTGGTTATACTGTAGGATTTTCTATACGTATAGGAGGTGAATTGGACTTGCCCCTGTCATTTTGTGAAATTCTAGTACATTTAGTCGTATTGCAAATATAGAGGGAGTCAAGTTCGGTAACGTACCTTCGCTAGCAAAAATAATGGGATTGCCATGCCTTGATGGGTCTGTCAAGCAGAAAACCTCAGCCAATCCTTCGGAGAGGTCTCTAAGGTGGACCGGTAGTGTATCTGTGACCCGTCTCTTTATAGTCACGCTCACTATCTGAACCCAGACGTGGGTAATATACGCAGGTAAATATTCCCTAGCTAAAACTTGAAATATCTCGTTGGCCCTGGCTAGGAGCGATTGGTTGTTGGTGTCGGGAATAGCCTGATTGTTAAACTCTAGTGCTTCGATAGAAGCTGAGGATTGTACAATCATGTTTGAGTACTTGATGGCCTTCAAGGCTTTCAGTACATCCAGGTAGTGCACTAGCAGAGGGATAGATTTTGGCCTGATGGTATGGAGAAACTCTACAAACGTTCGAAGTAGAGGCGGATTATTGAATATCACCTTTAGGTGATCTATCGAAAAGAGAATATCTGACCTCGCCTCTAGTGAATACTGAGTCGAGCCGTTCGCTGGTGAGATGAGGTTAAACGAGGCTGAATCGAATTCTTCTTCTGTCAAGGGCTTGAGCCCGTCATCGTCTATGAACCCCTTAATCTGCAGCCCGTGTAATGCACCGCTATGCGCAGCAGGCAATGATGAAAACGAGGAGTTGACCTCAGATTTCATTGAATGGGACAAAACTGTATATATTTGGAATTAGAACTGGACTTTCCCCGTAAAGCATTCCTGAGCTGTGAAATACAATTTACATGGACGAAGGTTCAAATGAAGTAACAATATAGCACGCAAGCAGGTTGGCTAGCTCTCATACATCCCTGCGGTATACTTACGGCTTCTAGCTGGACTCGAGTTTGAGCGAGTCTCTGCAGATTTTGGGTTACTAGACTCCGGCGCAGTTATCAGACCCATTTGGTTACACTCGGGATTGCTCTGGATGCTGCGTAATGGGTCAACTAGATCCATGTTGATGCAATATAGAGGAGTATGCTCACCTCTTAGAACGTATTAGCCCTCGAGATACTCCGTTGAAATGCGCCAGGTTTGCTGTTCCTGCCCATATCTTCCTAAATGTCACGGGAGACGCAACAGTTTCGGCAACAGGGGTTCCTAAGCTTGATCGTCTCTTAAAGATATCAGAGATTGTAACTCCGTCTTCTTCTTCCACATCATCTTCTTCAAAAGCAGCGAAGGATCGCACACTCAACACGCTCCGGCGTTCACTGGCTGCTAGAGATGGTGTTGCATGTAGCATGGGACGTGGACCCGCATCTCTTAACGTTTGTGACATGTTGTGACTTCGCAACGTAGTTGGCTATACTAAAAAAGATAAACCGACTTTCTGTCTATCCTTGACATCAAGTACTCATTCGTCGACCGATGCGTTACCTTGAGGCAAACAAAATTCTGACCTCAGACTTCGAAATATGGGCGAATAGCATGGGTAAGGAGAGCTATGAAGAAAATGGGAGGTGAAGTAGATCCGGGATGAACTTATCTGATGTATTTGGCAAGACTTGAAGAGCCTTATCCGGCGCATTGACATGCCATCCGAGTGAGAAGCCCAAACTTGCTGTTAAGTCAAACGGCTGCATTAACTAGCGAGTTCGATCAGACATTCGAAGAACTCAACTGTGCCCATGGTAGGCAAATGATGAGCAGTACTCTATCGCCGAGCATTCGCACGATTGTTATGACGTGTAGCTTGGAAGGTTATATATCGCCAGAAAACTACCACTGGTTTTGTAAGAGGTTCCTTGAGCTTCCGTGCGAAGTCTGAGAAATGCTAGACCGATAGGGGGTCATCGCTATAATGCTATTCATGTTCAAGGTAACCACTAGCTTGTGATGTGGTTTGGATTGGGAACTCCCAAAGAGATGACACATTACAAGACTGTCGATGGTATGACGAGCCTGACTCGAACTGGATACTTGTAAATGCAATGAATGTAGGTGTTGGTCGCTTGGCTGAATACCTAGTTGCAGTTTATATTGTGTATTGTTACGCGGTGGAGAGTGTCATAGCAAAAGGGGGAATCAGGCACCGAGTACTGCAGGTTTCTTACTTTCAGAAACCACCTAAACTACTTGATTATGTATATATATATATGTATATATATTCGAGACTTGGATATAGGTAGGAGTCCCTTTACCCTTACTAGTATGCAAAACGTAGTTGTCGATGAGCCGCAATCACTCGGCGTCAATTTGGAAATACTACAGACGCAGGTAGTGGGTACCTAGGCAGTTGACTGTCGATAGGAGTCATAGGACAGATAGGATATCCAATTGGTATATCTGATTGATATATGTATGGCAATCTACAACCATGGATGAATAGACATGTAGGTATATGTAGTGTAGATATAGTGTAGATAGTGTAGATATAGTGTAGATATAGTGTAGGTACATAGGTATGAACTTCTATGAAGTAGTTGCAGTGATGCATGTGGTTGTGGTTGTGGTTGTGGTCCTAGTTGTGGTTCAGTGTTTTCTTACGTACATGAATACCTAGTACTTACATATGTAGAAGTCTTAGAGACCTAGGGTACCTTACCACGCTTACATACATGTACTACGCAGTATGTATTTCAATGTTGACCCTTGCTAGGTGCATGGGTATCTGATTGGGTACGCGTCGATTATAGGAGCTTAAGCCCAAGCTGTCCTATCATCTGCTAATCCGGGGTCCAGGCCAAACGGGCTCCAACCCCTGAAATGGAAAGCGCGTAACCTGTCGGGAAGATTTGCAGCGCGTTTCCTGGGAAAGACCGACCCCATCTGGTAGCAAAATAAACAACATTGAACGGTTTTTGAACCTGAACGTGCCAAGTCAAAACATACAGATGTAACTATGTACCCAAAGTACTTAAAGAGGGAGGGGTTGTTAGGTCACTTATGTACAGTACAGTAGGTGCCCTTAGGGCCTAGGCACTTTTTTATTTTGCTTTTGTTATGGACAGAAACGGAAGAATAGCGCGTCCCATCAAACTAAATTCGCGAACATTGGGCTGCACGATTGGACACAATACTGGACGTGTTCAATTGAATTGCTACAACCTATGTATGTAACTATTGTCCTTACATTGAAAACATCAACATTGAATGCCTACATATTATGTACTTACAACATGAAAATCTAAGTACTCGCGACGTGCTTATATGCATGTATTTCGTACTCGCATCTACATACTAATTACATGTATGGATGTTCGTGGCCAGCCTCCACAATTTACTACGTCGTATGTACAGTAGTGTGTTCGATTTTGAATGTTCAATGTTTATCTGACCTAGGGGATGAGGTAAAATTGAAACTATGCGGATAACTGTTTACGTACATACAACCTATACACATGTACGCGTTTCCAGCCACTGTATGGAATCTATTATGGTACATACATATAATACATACAGTACATACATATGTACTACATACATGCGTGCAATAAAAAAGGGTTTGGTGAATAGAGTAAATTATATATGTACCTACACATGTGCAGGTATTTAGATATCCAATACTAAGAACATCAAAGTGAATGATATAGGTAAGTACATATGTAATCAATGATATGTGGTTACGTATTGCTGCTGATGCGATCGAATTTGGTGTTCTGGTACAATACAATATAATAGTTCAACATTAAAATGTCAATATTCAATGTTCGCGCTATTGTAAACTTGGTACTGGGTACCTAAGTACCTAAGTATACATGTTGCTTGCACCTAGATAGGTAGGGATAATACAGATAATAAAGATAATAGTACATGATGGGTATATCTTACTAGTATTGGGTACATTCATATCACTAAAATATTAAAGCCCCTGGCATCATCATAAGGCGCGCGACATGCAGGCACGCAAAGCAAAAGCAAAGCAGCTCTTGCCTAGTTATTACCTACCTACTAGGTACCAGGTCCTACCTACAGGCTACAGCATGTATTGTACTTACCTAACCTTAGGTTAGTACCTTCCGTTAACCTGCACGGTCCATTTCAGCCATTACCGTTCAACCTCCATCCAAATCTACGAAACGAAATCAATCGCCCGCCTCTTCCCAACTTCCTGCCCTTTGTCGACTCAACCTACCCACCATTACTTTCCCTATAGCAACAGCAACAGCAACCGCAGCAGCACAGCAGCAACCGCAACAGCAACAGCATTTGCAAATCGCCAATCAAGTACTCCGTTAATCTATATTCTCTCCTTCCTTGCTTTATTCTTCCATTTTTATTACCCAGGAAGAAATTAACGATACAAAATCCAGCATCCAGCGGACGAAAATAATACACTTACCCTCAACCTCCTTTGCGATTAGCCATCCCTCGTTACTCTATCGCATATTACGCTCTCGATATAACATCGCCCGTGACGGGAGAGTATGCGCTAGGAAACTTGTTTACCCCGAGGGGACTCTCTACACAATCGAATCGATCCCAGGCCTACCTCTTCTCATTTGCTTGACTCTTAATAAACCCCAACTGCTACTGGCTTTTCTCAACCCTGGAAATTGCTACATACTAGTTTGGCACCTGTTGCTATTACTATTTTACTTACCGCATTCGTTCCTTCATACTGAAAACGAGCTATTTGGTCCCCGCATTTGCACCTGCACCTGCATCTCTGCCCAGTATCATGACCAGAGAGTCTGACTTGGCCTCCGTGCCGCCACCACCATTAAAACGACAGGCGCACGACGTGGCAAGCCCTTCCCTACAAACATCTTCAAGGATGGCGACTCCTCCTCCGCCATCAGACCGGGCGAGACTGCAAGTCATGAATAACGTGGAGGGTCGCAATTCGAAGAGCTTACGCAACAGTGACCGAGGAGGCGACAGGCCAAGCATGGCCGGCATCGATCCGGAAAGCTTGTCGAGGGCCCTTTCAAGAGAACTCTCGGCTGAGAGGCGAGATAGCACGACGGGTGCGAGTCCTAGTAGGAAGCGTCAACGAATCAATGGTGACAGGTTAGTCAAACCGTGATTACATAGTCCCTTCCACTTTTGGAGTTATATCCCAAAGTTACGAATTGTCTGCATAGCTACAATAGCTTGCGATCATGACCGCCTTGGGACAAATGAAGTTTATGCCTATTGCCGTTCAAGATTTCTCAGACTAACGTCTTCAGATTCATACCCTCACGTTCTGGCCAAGACCTTCAGGCTAGTTTTAGCCTCTTGCACGAGGAAGGCTCTCCAGCGACACCCTCGCGACAAAAGAAGCGTACCCCACATGGCGAGCTTCACTTTCAGAAGAGTAGGCTAACTCCATCCCCCTTGCAGCTAGAGGAATACAACTAATTCTTAGCAGCCGAAGAGGCAAATCGAATATTCTCCACCGTGCTGAGGGCAGAACTCTTCGAGAACACCATACCACAAGCTGCCCCGCAAACGCTGTCGCCAGATGCCAACTTGCCAGGATCGTCACATTCAAACCACGGCCACGATGGCACTAGGTCTCACACACCTCCAAGTAACCCGCCTCCCACTCTACCTTCTAGTTTCACACCCTCAACCCCACACAAGAATCTCTTCTCTTATATGTCACCCCGTAATCACTCCAACATCGCAGGCCATCCAACACCCTCTAGGACCCCTCAAAGTCGACATGGCCCCAATCTGGATATACGATCGGAGATATATAGTTTATCGCCAGTCCGATTTGGGAGCCAGCAGATGCTATTAAGCCCGAGACGACAACCACGATCAGTGAGCAAAGTGCCCTACAAAGTTTTGGATGCCCCTGAACTGGCAGACGACTTCTATTTAAACTTGGTCGATTGGGGTAGTGCCAATGTCTTGGGCGTTGGCTTGGGCTCAAGTGTTTATATGTGGAATGCGCAAACAAGTCGAGTTAACAAGCTTTGTACGCTGGAGGACGACACGGTGACAAGCGTATCCTGGATTCAGAAGGGCACACACATTGCTATCGGCACGGGAAAGGGTCTAGTCCAAATCTGGGACGCTGAGAAGACGAGACGCCTAAGGACCATGACAGGACATACTGCCCGCGTGGGATCGCTGGCCTGGAATACTCACATCCTGACTTCAGGATCCCGAGATCGATTAATATATCACCGTGACGTCAGGGCTCCCGATCAATGGATGCGAAAGCTTGCGGGCCACAAACAAGAGGTTTGTGGCTTGAAGTGGAACTGTGAGGACGGCCAGCTGGCGAGTGGAGGCAACGATAACAAGCTCATGGTCTGGGATAAGCTTTCGGAGACGCCCCTCTGGAAGTTCTCAGATCATACCGCTGCCGTCAAGGCAATTGCTTGGTCCCCCCATCAGCGTGGCCTCCTTGCGTCTGGTGGTGGAACAGCTGATAGGAGAATTATATTCCACGATACAGTTCGGGGATCGGTCATCAACGAAGTGGACACAGGGAGCCAAGTATGCAACATATCCTGGTCTAAGAATTCCAATGAAATCGTCTCCACCCATGGCTACAGCCAAAACCAGATCGTTGTCTGGAAGTATCCCGCCATGACCCAGGTAGTCAGTCTTACAGGCCATACATACCGAGTCCTTTACTTGGCAATGAGCCCTGATGGCCGGACTATCGTGACAGGGGCTGGGGATGAGACCCTGCGATTCTGGACCGTTTTTGGGCGAAGACCAGGCCAGCGGGAAGACAGTGATGGTGGTGGTGGTGGGCGATTGAGTGACTGGGGTGTTATTCGATAAGAAAGTCGAACGCTTTTACATACTATACACACACACACACACAACTTCGACTCAATCCATTGAGACGGTGGCAACATTTTTGCTCCGACATGAGGATATTCGCATTTACCCAGTTTCACGACCTATTCAAAGAGAACAACCTATGATCGGTTGCATCCATCGGCGTTATCGTTTTAGGGACCTCTACATGTATAAGTCTGCTTGGGAGTTAGGCTTGCTCTTTCTTCGGTTGTGTAGCTATCGCGGTATGCGAGGATATTCGAGGCTTAGCTGGGTTGCATTTGAATCGCCTGGTGGCGGCGGCGGTAGAGACATAATCTTTTATCATGGACAGCATCGGCGTTGCGGTGGGTGAGGCGGCAGACTCCGTTAATTCGAAGAAGTCGACCAGCTTGGCTCTATTTGAGCACGAAGTTAAATCCAATCGGTATGAATCGGAAAATTATGAGCATTATTACGGGAGCGTCATGGATAGGGATTAGAGGCGCATTAAAATTCGTAATTATTTCCGAGCATTGACACGAGCCTCCGTTGATTAGGATGGCTGCTAACAATCGGTGTCTGAAGTGTCAATGCCCTCATTGCAACGCACCTAACGTGACTGCATATTCATCTACATACATACATACATACATACATACATACATGATGTAGTAGGTAAGTAGGGTAGGTAGGTGCCCAGTAGTTATCTATGTAGTATGTCGTAGTAGTAGTAGTAGTAGTAGTAGTAGTAGTAGTACGAAAATGATAATAACTTGACGTAAAACATATCTGGATTCACAATTCCGATGACAACATTCACTAGGTGGGCACGTTTTACGCTGGACAATTGTCACAAACCATCCACTGATATGCCATCAGAGCTGGACTAGATAGGAATAGTTTCACTCATTATATTTCGTATATCATTAGTCTATCTTAGTTTACGCTTAATCCTAACTACTCGTACTCTAATAAACTGACATGAAGGGGGTATCGAATCGTCTTCTGACTCAGTCTTTCATAACCATGCTACCACATGCATACCTACGAGAACTCCGAGTCCAAAGAGCCAAAGAAAGAAAAGGAAAGGGGGCCGGATTGGGTGCAGCCATTCCATAAACGCCTGGACTATCGCAGTTGGTGCCACAACCCCGATGAAATAGAATTAACGAGTTGACCCGCCGTTTGGATTAGGGGCTGCCTGTTTGGAGTTCAGTTCGAAAGTATTCGTCAAGAAAGCACTTCGCCAGAATTCCTCGCTCGTGTAGTATCAATGACGACACTATCAATTCCACTGGCTACCACGTTGCTCTCCTTAAAAGAATTGGCGTCATTGACTGGCTTCTCTTCATGTAACAATGGAATTTCATCCACACTTAAGCGTCGCCCACTAGCTGGGTCCTCAATCTGAACGGCTTTTTCAGAGGCTTCAGAGGTGCCTGTCGCGTGGATCTTGCCTTCGGGCCCGGGTACTGGTGCCATCAAGGGGGAGCCGAGCACATCAGGGCTGTTCTGCCACTTAGCAACCTCAGCTTTCATTGCCTCGAGCTCCTTTTGAAATCGTTTACCGAACACATCGATATAGAAAGTCGAGCCATTGTAAACGCTCCATGTAAACACGATCATGAGGAAAGCGGCCGACGCCCATCGGCTATAGAACCATAGGGGGCAGGGTAGCATCGTTAATACAGCGTACAAGTATTGGATGAGCATGAAGGCAGGCTCTTGGAGGCTAGCGGGTAGCGAAAGAACAATTTTGCCGATCCATGTTTTCGAGTATGAGCGGCGTAGCCAAGTGAATGATGTAGGCCTTCCGGCCGCAATCTTCTCTCGCCTGCGAACCGTGATAAAGAAATAATAGCTAAGCTGCCATACAGCATATGGAAAAGTAGACCAAGTGAGCATGGATATGAGATTACCATAGGCAGTTGGAGAACCTGGCGGAGAAGTCTTGATGGCCCAAATGGCGGGAAATTGTTCGTGGAGTTGTTCGGTTGGTAGTAGATGGGCGATGCAATGCAACGTGGCACATGGCATTATGTGGATAAATAGCGACGTGACTTTGTCGAAGTCGTGGAACACGAGCGAATTACGCCACATAATTATTGCCACGGCGTTGTTTCCATAAGCCAGACTGTAAGAGGCAATAAACAGCCTTTTAGAGGATGGAAAGATCCAGAGGCTGAGAAACAGTAATAGGTTGACAAAGTAGCAGAGATCGGCCAGAAAGTAATGATAACCGCGCCGGCGGTAGGTATAGAAGCGAATAGGCATGAAGTAGAGAAGTTGGACGGTGTACCAGATATAGAAATACTCGGGGTAAGCACCTATTAAGTAGCCGCTGATAAAGATATTCATCACACCGCAGATGAAGGAAACCTTTTCGCGCATCGTGATTATTTTGGTGTCGTTCCATCGACGACCCAGCTTCTCGACACTCTGCTTCATCCGCTTCCTGTACCTCTCCAGCTGCTCGTCAGCCGAGGGCACACGCCGCCGCCATTCCTCGACCATTCGCTCCCTAGCTTCCTGGCCTCTGGTTTTGAGGGCGGCTCGTGATTTGCGGACCTTCTCGGTCTGAGCAGATATTCCCTTTTGAAGCTTCTCTAACTGCTGCGGCAAGGCAAAATTGTCCAGCAGGTCCAGGACGGTCAGACGGTCTAGAGGAGGGTAGGAATCCCAGTCTTCATGATAGGAGCTGCTCCCCGAGAAGGAGGGGTTCCTCGACGTTCGTGGGCTCTTAGGCTCCTCGTCGTTTATTTTTGGATCAATAACAGCTTGTTGGAGAGGTGACGAGCTAAAAGACGGCGTGGTGGTATCATCAGGCGTTAGAGCATTGTCATCGTCAGTCTGGGCGCCCTCAGACTTGACAGACGATACGGGTATAGGGCGGCTCATGGAATCGGCCATTTCGGCGATGGTGCGAATTGGGAATCTCTGAATATCGTTACGGAAGGACACTCTACGAAGCGCTTCGGCTCCTCTGAGAACTAACATGTCAGCGATGGGAAGATAGTTGATAAGGTAATATTTGTAATGATATGAAGCCCAATTTTGGAGTAAGGTGGGCTTGATACCTATATGTATATATTTACATACTTCTTAGCTGGAGAAAGACAACTTCACCTTGTACACTGAATACACTGGAGTGGATGCGAAGATAGACGGCGAACCAATTAACGAAGGGGGCTATTACAGGTGAAGGGGATAGAAAAGCAATAGAGCGGGATGAGGACGCATGTGACTGTAAACACGAGGGAGATTTAGGTGACTCAAGAGGCCTGTGATAGGGAATGGAAACAGAGCGGTGGTATGTGGTATGGAAAGGTTGAAAAAAATAAGTTATAAAAAGGTAAAGGTGGGTTTAGTTAGAAAATGTTGATCCTTTCAGTGGCTTTTACTGAAGGACGTGTCTTGAGAACGAGTTGTGGTTGGACGAAAACAGGCGGCTGTACTACTGGTACGCTGTACTACTGGTACTTACATAGTATGTAACTAGTAACTACGTGTAGTAACTACATACATATGATGCTTGGTAACAACGTTTGAAAAGGTTCCAGACTTGAAACCGATCTCTGGTTAGTTGCATCCCTAAGGGCATGATGACGCCATGGCTTCAATGTTGCCCTACCCCGGATTACTTTATGTCGCTTTCAGTCAATCTGGCACTGCCAGCCAGCTGTACATAGTTAGTAGTGAGCATCCTGGTCTGTGCATTTGCGTGGATGCAACAATAAACTTCAATTGGAAGGGGTCCCCGCGCCCGTAAATTATGTAGAGTCGCGTCTACCTAGGGTACTAGGTTAGGTAGGTAGGACCTGGTAGGTACAATACATAGCCTAGTCCTTTCCCGCAAAAGCGTGCAAAAAGTTATGAATGCATTCTCGTGATACTCAACTGTCTGTATCTCACTTACTTACTTATTACTTACTTACTTACTTACTTACTTACTTACTTACCGACTACCTAACCTGTCACCTTCGCAATTTACTTTCTTATTAGACTCACCTTAGGTATTACATGAAACCAATGCCATCGATGCGACGAAGCCTTCGACTCTGATATTTTAGTGCGCCCGCTTCTTGAAATGTCATAACTTTCAATTACAATCGGCGCCTAGCGATACCCTTTCGTATATTTTTCGCGTCGCGTCTCTGTCTACCCACCAAGCCACCCACCAAGTCACCCACCAAGTCACCCACCAACTATACAACCACTTAACCTTGAAATTTTACAGCGACTCATGCCAGCTGAGTCAAGATGGGGAAACTCATTCGTCTCGAGCTGTTTAGTGCGTATTCCGTAAAAGATTTTTGTGCGCGACAAGCTGACCGTTTCAAGACTTCAAATCCTACAAGGGTCATCATACGCTTCTCTTCGGCGACTCCTACTTCACCTCCATTATCGGTCCAAATGGATCCGGCAAATCGAATTCGTATGTTCTATTGTGTCCCCTGAGAATGATCTAATGTAAAATGCCTTGTATACTGATAACCCGTAGTATGGACGCCATCTCCTTTGTCCTCGGTATCAAATCGTCGCATCTCCGTTCTGCCCATCTCAAAGACTTAGTGTACCGTGGTCGAGTCCTCAAGACTTCCAAGATCAACGACGATGGCTCAGCTGCCGAGCCAACAACGAATGGACATGCCAATGGTCACGTTAACGGCGACGACAATGACAAACCAAACCGCAGCGATCCTAAAACCGCGTGGGTCATGGCCGTATACGAGGACGATGCTGGCGATGAGCAGCGATGGAAACGCAGTATTACGAGTGGTGGGTCGAGCGAATACCGCATTAATGACCGGGTCGTTACCGCCCAACAGTACAACGAAGCTCTCGAGGCAGAGAATATCCTTATCAAGGCCCGAAATTTTCTTGTTTTCCAGGGCGATGTCGAGGCTATCGCTGCCCAGTCGCCTCATGATCTTACACGCCTGATAGAGCAAATCTCTGGTAGTTTAGAGTATAAAGCCGAGTACGAGAGGCTCCAAAGTGAAGCGGACCAGGCTGCCGAAAATTCTGCCTTCCAATTACAGAGACGTCGTGGCATCAATTCTGAGATCAAGCAGTACCAGGAACAAAAACGCGAGGCCGAGAACTTTCAAAGGAAAACCGACGAGCGTGATGACGCTATAGTCACCCATATCCTCTGGAAGCTTTACCATTTTCAGCAAGTCATGGACGAGTCCAGTGCTAAGATCCAGGACCACCAGGAGAACCTCAAGGAATTTAGGCGCAACGTTGAATCCTTCGAGAGGAAACTCGAGGCTGCTCGCAAGGAACAAGCTGATGCTGCCAAGGAAGTTCACAGAGTAGAGCGCCAGATCAAGCGTCAAGAGAAGGAAATCGAGGAGAAGGAGAACAGTCTCGTTCCCATCGAAGAAAAGGTTCAGCAGACAACTAGCCAAGCCGACACGATTCGGAAGAGGATCGATGCTGTAAGAAAAGAACGAGACGAGCAGCGCAAATTAATCGCCAAGATAGAAAAGGATCTAGCCACAGTCCAAAAAGCCCAGAAGCAATTCGAGGATCAATGGAAGGAGACCATGAAGAAACAAGGCAAAGAACTCAGCGATGCTGACCGAAAGGAATACAACACCCTAAGGGCGCAAGCACTAAATAAGTCTTCGGAGAACCAGGCTAAGTTAGAGAATCTCAATCGCCAATTAAAGACGGATGAAGTTACAGTGAACAGTCTAAAGGGCAAGGTAGACGGTTACCAAGCTGCTATGGAGAAATTGGAAGCCGAGCTATCAGTGATTCAAGAACGGAAAGGCACCACAGAAGCTACTGTCAAACAACTTTCTAGTGAGATGGATGCTAAGAAGAAGGAATTCAACCAAGTCCAGTCCGAGAGAGTTAGAACCAATCAGAGACGGACAGAGCTTGATGAGAATCTTCAAGATGTCTTGAAGAAGTTACTAGAGGCTGATGACGGGAGACGCCAGAATGACAAGGAAGCACGAATGAAAGAGATGGTCACCTCTCTGAAGCGCATGTACCCAGGCGTCAAAGGCAGGGTAGGAGAGTTATGCAAGCCGAAACAGAAGAAGTTTGACGAAGCAGTCATCACCGCCCTTGGACGTGACTTCGACTCTGTCATTGTTGATAGCGAGAAGACCGGCGTCGAGTGTGTACAGTATCTGAAAGACCAACGTTTCCCGCCAATGACCTTCATACCACTAGACAACATCAAAGTCAACGCAGTGAATACGGCTGTTAAGGGCATTTCCGGTGCGCGGCTGACGATCGATGCTATTGATTTTGACCCATCTCTCGAGCGCGCCATGTCTTATGCGTGCGGTAGCTCGATCGTGTGCGATGGCTTGGATATTGCAAAGCACGTCTGTTACGAACGCAGAATCCAAGTCAAGGCAGTAACCCTGGAAGGGTTTGTCATCCACAAGGCGGGCTTGATGACCGGTGGACGAGATAACAACAAAGGAAACAAACGCCGTTTCGAAGAGCACGACGTTCAGAACTTACAAAAAATGGCAGATAAACTCCGGGATGACATCGAGAAGCTACCTAGAACAGATCGACGTGGCACCGCGGAGGAAATGTTGCAGAATGAGCTCGCCGGGCTTGATCAGCGCCTAGCGTTTGCCAACAGCGAATTGAGTGCGTTCAACCAAAATCTTGCCAGCAAGAAGAAGGAATTAGAGCACGTCAAACGCCAGCTTAAGGAGTGGCAGCCCAAGTTTAAGGAGGAAGACAACAAGCTGCAGAAAACCCGGGCATCAGTCGAGAAGTTCAAGGCTGCAATTGCCGAAGTGGAAGACAAAATATTTGCCGAGTTTTGCAAACGGCTAGGGTATGCTGATATCCGGGCTTACGAAGCACAACAAGGCACTTTAGAACAAGAGGCTCACGAGAAGCGCACCCAATTCGACCTCCAAAGATCTCGGCTAGAAAGCAACAAAAGCTGGGAAACGTCTAGACACAACGAGACCGAGAGCAGACTTCGCAACCTCGAGGATCGCTATAAACGACTATCCCATGATGTTCAATCCTATCAAGCTGAGAAGGAAAAGATCGAAGAAGCAATGGCTAACGACCAAGACACTCTCGCAGGTCTACAAGAGCAGTTAGATGAGTATAAGGCCGAGCTTGCCAAAAGGTCCGAGAAGGTCAACGCAGCCAAGGGAGAAGTACAAAAAAGGAGCAAAGATATTGAAAGCAGGCAAAAGGCAATCAGTGCATTGGAGGCGGAGGTCCAGAAGAACAGCGCTGGCAAGTTTGCTTTGCTAAGACGATGCCGATTAGAGCAGGTCAACATCCCTCTTGCGGCAGGATCACTGGATAATCTTCCTAACGAAGACAACCTCTTGCACCGAGACCCCGATGCCATGGATGTGGACGACGGCGATGAGGCGGATTTTATGGACGATGCTATGGATGACTATGGCATCGAAGTTGATTTCGACCAGTTGAGTGAAGATCTCAGAAACGTAAGTTTGTTTATCATCAGCCCTTATGCAAACATGGATGCTGACTGGAACAGCCCGACGACGAAAGTGTTGAGGAGAAGCTACAAGACAAGATTTCGTCGCTCACGGCGGAGCTTGAAAAGCTAAATCCCAACATGCGAGCCATGGAACGGTTAGAGGTAGTCGAGGCACGGCTTAAGGCAACGGAAAAGGATTACGACGACTCCAAGATTGCTTTCAAGACCGCCAAGGATGCATTCGATGAGGTCAAGACAAACCGTTTCGAGCTCTTCAACAAGGCGTTCGTGCACATACAGGAGCAGATCTCGCACGTGTATAAGGATTTGACACGGTCAGATCAGTATCCACTCGGTGGTCAAGCCTATCTTGATATCGAGGAGGACACAGATAAACCGTACCTATCAGGCATCAAGTACCATGCTATGCCACCCCTCAAGCGGTTCCGAGACATGGAGCATCTTTCGGGTGGTGAGAAGACTATGGCTGCCCTCGCGCTGCTCTTCGCTATCCACAGCTATCAACCCAGTCCCTTCTTCGTGCTCGACGAGGTTGACGCGGCGCTTGACAATCCCAACGTCGACAAAATCAAGAACTACATCCGCGAGCATGCGGGCCCCGGCATGCAATTTATTGTCATCAGTCTCAAGACTGGTCTGTTCCAGGATAGCGAGAGCCTAGTTGGTGTATACAGGGACCAGGAAGTAAACAGTTCGCGAACGTTAACCCTTGATGTAAGTCTACCATGCCGTCATTCTTTCTTTCTTCTTTCCTGATTATCTTGTTGCGGTATGTTGGAATTGGCCATGCTAATTTATTCTAATCTTCTAACAGCTACGAAAATACGTGTAAGAACTGGGTTCGTATATAGGAAAGCAACAGGCGCTTCTATATAAGAAACAGGAAGGGGGCGGAGGACGGGAATGTCACGAGGAACGGTTTTCACGAACAGGTAATGAAAGTGCTTCTAGGTTACGGCAAAACCCGAATCGTGCGTGGCTGTACTAATAATACCAGGCTTTGCCGCATGCCTCGTTGAAAAGATCAGATAGCTTTTTGCTTTTTCTTCTTTTTTTTATAAACCAAAAAAAAGGCGTCTTCGCTTGGAGAAGATAAAAGACACCCTCTTCTATTTTCTTCCCTTTTTTTGTATCATATTCCTTCTTCCGATAAAGTGTGTAGATACGTACAGATATCAATCAAACCACATCGCATTCCAACATGACTTGCCAAAATGCCCGCCCTCCTTTTCACATTGCACTGTTCTTGTTTTACTCGAGGCTATTTGGAGCTTTCAATGCAATTACTACTTAGCATGTTATATACATACCAACTATCCATTTTAGACGCCGTCCAGGAAAACCCATGCCTGGAATATCAAATAACGCGTGTGCCATGCCGCGTTTATCTAGGGTATCGTGATTATGAGGAAATGTATTCCATGTGCCGACCCCAGTTGTGTGTCCCTCCTTATCTCTATATACCTTTCACCCTCGCCCATTTCTTGCCCTATCCTCTCTACCGTGGACTTCGGAATTATGATCTCGGTGCCACTCCTGCTCAAACGTCCTCAAACTGTAAGTCATCGTCGTCCTCGCTCTCGCCATCGTCGGCGGGCTCTTCAACTTTAACCTTCTTGGATGGTCTCTCAGAAGCCGGAGTTTCCGCAGCGCTGGTAGGGCCACTCGATGCGAGTCGCTTCTCGCCTAGGGTGCTAACATCAGCGGAAACGTCGACGAACTCTACATCTCGACCCTTAACGTCGTCATCGTCTTCCTCATCTTCATCTTCACCTCCTTCGTCGTCATCCTCATCGTTATCATCCTCCTCCTCCTCTTCTAATTCCTTGCGTCTTTGTTCGTCTAGTGACTTGAACAGCGCCTCCATTTCTCTGTCATGCGCAGCGTCGGCAGCGGATTCGTCGGGCTTCTTAGCGTCATCCTCCTCAGACCTGTGCACCGCGGTGGGGTTGGCGTTCAAGGCATATGATAAGCCGGTAACGGTGCTAGTGGTGTGCCACGACGGTAGAGCATTCATCTGGGCGACCTCCTCCTTTCGTGCGCGCTCAGCTTCCTTCTCGGCTTCGGTCGGGCCATCGGTATCGGTGATACTGATAGCAATACTTTGAGGGCCGGTGTTCGCCATACCCCTCACAGCGGTAGGCCTTGCGAAACCCTCGACGACAACTGAAGCGGCGACTTGGTTGGCGGCATCGCGGATGACAGGAAGAGCGCGGGCGTGTGCGGTCTCGAAGTCACCTTCGGGAATGGTCACGGTGTCTAGCTTGGGTAGGACATCGATGATGAACTTGAGTTGACTGTTTAGACGAGTAGAAAGCTCGTGTCCGCCGGCCTCGCGATCAGGCTCGAACTTTAGAATGTTATCACAGCGATGGCACATGAAACCACGATGAATATCCACGTTGTCAAGAACTTCCATCTGGGTCCACTCAGCCTTGCAGACAAGACAAAAGTATTCCTTCTTCTCTTGAGCGGGGATAGCATCGCCTTGGACTTTCTTGTCAAGCTTGAAAGTTCTGTACTTGATAGCATCGATGGCCTGGCGGTAATCGATAAAGTAATAAGTACGGTTGGTGGCTTTGTCCTTGCCCTCTCTGATTTCGGGACGATTATGACTAGAAAATTGGTGACAGTGGTTAGCTTTGAACGAGTAAAATGAAGCGCGAGAAAGAAGGTCGAGACATACATCTGCAAAAAGCGTTCCTCTTTGAGCTTGGCGCAGATCCTATGCAAATCTTTGGTGTTCAGGTTCATCAGCAAGGATAAATCGTCGTCGCGTAGGGTCGAGTGCAAGACGAGAGCATCAACAATGAGAATCATCCTTCTATCCTCGGGCGCGGTGAAGAAAGCGCGTGCGACAGAGCGCACTAAGGTCTGTGCCATATCCATGATGAGTGGAAATGGAGAAGGAGCGATTTTTTAGAAAATAGTGACGGTGAAGGAGTGAGGTAGTCAAATGTAGAAGGCGTAGAAGGCGTAGAAGGCGTAGAAGGCGTAGAAGGCGTAGAAGGCGTAGAAGGGAAAAGGTAAGGGTGGAAAGGTAAGGGTGGAAAGGTGAAAGGGAAGTGGAGGAAGTGGAAGAAGTGGAAGAAGTGGCGGGTGAGTTTGCGAAGTTTGCGAAGTTTGCGAAGTGGCAGCAGAGGATGCTACTCAAAGAAGAATGTCGAGTTGGATTTCCATCATTTTATTAACCGGTGGCTTGGGTAAAGTCGATAGTACCAAGAGATAGTTTGGCTAGTAGTTAGTTACGTTCAATGTTAAAAGGGTTCGACAGAAGTATAAATGAGGTTCCAAAGACCGCGTCAAGCAAGACGACGATTACAAAATTGGCATGCTGAATGAAAGTGTTGGATTCGCACCGACCAAGACGGCTAGAATTACAGATGAGTAAAAAATGGTAAAAAATGAATTGGATTAACCAATCAGTCCGTGTCGAAAGGGGGTTTTTAATTGGGATATCAGATATTATCTGCACGTCAGAACGATCTTGGAGCGAATAATGATAAAGTTGAGATGAACATTGAGCGTGTCAACTGTAAATGTTATACAGTATATATAATTATAATGTATTCTGACTGTATGTAATATGTACTACCTAGTACTAACCTAACCTAGTCTACATATGTAGTAGTACAGTGTAGGTAGGTACTAGGACATAATTAATTCTAACTAAGTTACTAGTTATCTATCTAACTTTAATACTGTAACATAACTTTAACATCAACATTATGTACTTAGGTACTTACATCGTTGATCATTGATCCTCATCATCAATTGTTGTAGGTAACTATGTACTAAGTAGTACCTAACTTAGTACATATACTACTATACACTGTATACAGTCTATACTATGTATGCAGCAAACACTGATCATTCTATACATATACGCACATACATACACACACACATACATACACACAAACAGACATACATACATACATACATACATACATACATACACATCTACTCACACACCTACTCACATATCTCACATATACCATAAAAAAAAGAAAAGGTTTACTATGTGCCTAGGTAGGTAAGGGAATAGGACGATGCCTCCATCAACAAGCGTTGCAAACCATTCAATCATTTCATCCGACATACCCACCACTCTTGAATTCCCAATCATCTACTTGCTTTCCACTCACTTAGACCCGGACAGTCTGTCAGAATGGGAGAGTAAAATCCCCACACTAACCTACGATATCAATGAGGCTAGCATTGTGCTGGGTAAGATATCAAACCCAGAAAGAGCCAGGTTCGAGTTGAGACGTCGAAAGATCATCACTGAAGACATTGATACACTCTCCGTTTCTGTGCCCAACCTAGACACCCAGTCTCAACATCCATCTCCTCCACTTAAGCGTAAAAGATCAAATAATTTACACAATCCTGCGCCCACGAGTACTTCGGGTGGCGATAAAGGTCTATATGGCGGAACTGATGCTCAAACTATCAACCACAGTGGTCAGAAATTAGACTCTGCCGCGGAGCATGGTGACAGTGATAAGTCTGTTGTCAATGTCCTCAAATTAGCATGGTTCGGCGACAGTTTGGCTCACCGTTCTGTCCTGCCCATTGACAAGTACCTGTTATATCGAGGGCGCAAGACAGAGCAAATCATTCAACGTGCCCGGCAAGAAGGAAAGGATGGCCACGATCAAAATAGTATTCCAAAAAGGAACGCTCCTCGTGCTCACGAATCCATGTCCCAACATTCTAGGATCTCGACCCACACCAAGCGGCCTACGCTAACTCAAGAGTCAACATCAGAGCATGACCTTCGTTCGCACATGCCGCCCATCCCCGAATATTTGCATACAACATACTCTTGTCAACGTCCAACCCCTTGTAGCCCACCCAATGACCTCTTTATCGAGGAGTTGAAGAAAATCAGGGCACTGAGGACTCTTGAAGGCGATGCTATCGGAGTCAGGGCCTATTCCACAAGTATCGCCTCCTTGGCAGCTTACCCCTTTCTCATTTTACACCCAGCTGGTAAGCATTTCAACCCAACTGTTTAGCAATATTTACATTTAACCCCCAGTTTAGAGATTGCTAGATTGCCCGGCTGCAGCGATAAGATTGCCGCCCTCTATCGGCAATGGAAAGCGAACAGCTACCTGGAAGAGGTCAAGGCTGCCGAAGCTGACCCCAAGATTTCTGTGTTGCAGCTATTCTGTAGCATATGGGGGGTAGCGGAGACGACCGCTGGCGAGTTCTACAACAAAGGATGGCGGGACCTCGACGATGTCGTCGAAGGTGGATGGACTAGTCTAAGTCCAGTCCAGCAAATCGGCCTCAAGTATTACGACGAGCTGCAAGAGAAGATTGCTCGTCGCGAGGTGGAGGAAATTAGCCAAACCATCCTAAGTCACGCCCAGAGAATTTGCCCGGGCTTCCAGATGGTGATCGTCGGAAGCTATAGGAGGGGAAAGATAGAGAGCGGTGACGTGGACGTTGTTCTCAGCCATCCCGACCCGACTGCCACTTTGAACTTTGTCGAAAGCATTGTCGAGAGCCTCGAAAAGGCAAACCACATCACTCACACGCTTATACTCAGCACTAAGAATAGTGAGCGTGGGCAAACTCCGGTGGCCTGGAAAGGGCAGGATCGCAAGGCAGGCAGCGGCTTTGACACCCTAGACAAAGCCCTGGTCGTGTGGCAGAATCCGCACTGGGACAAGACGGCATCGCCGAAGAACCCCAACCCCCATCGCCGGGTCGATATCATTGTCAGCCCCTGGAAGACAGCCGGATGCGCGGTGATCGGATGGACCGGTGGCACCACGTTTGAACGAGACCTGAGGAGGTACTGCAAGCGTGAAAAGGGGTGGAAGTTCGATAGCAGCGGGGTCCGAAGCCGAATAGACGGCAGCTGGGTGGATATCGAAAGCGATGACCACGGCCCGGCCCCGGATATGCTGACAGCGGAGAAGAGGGCCTTTGCACGTTTGGGTCTCGAATGGCGTCCGCCGGAAGAGAGGTGCACGGGGTAATGGCACGTAGGATACTAAGTAATGGGATTGCCTACTCCTAATATTTAGTGCCTAGTGTATGTACATATCTGTATACTATGTAGCTACCTAGGTGCTTCGAAGTCTTTTCTCTTCATTTTCACTCGGGAGTGTCATTTTACAGACGTTCTAAGAACTAAAGTTTATGCCGTTCATCGGCATCTACCCTCTCGTAGCAGAGATGGACATTTTGATGTCACGGAGACTGGCAATATCTAGTAGGATAGGCTAGAACAGTGTAATATTCTTTGATAATTCATGTCATATCCACAACCAATTCAGTTTTCGTAGTAGGATATGAAACTCTTAACGCCACCAACGCCTTGCCCTGATGCGATTCCCTTGTGTGAATACAGAGCCCAATATTAGACTCGAATCATGAACGCTTTTTCTTTATTTATCCTCTGCATCCTCCGCATCCTCGACTGTCACAGCCTTCGCCTTGCCCTTGGCGTCACTACTCGTTGATGTCTCTAGTTCTTCGTTGGAACTGTGGCTCTGAGAAGCTTCAGGTGTCGTCGACGGCTCCTCAGCCCTCGTTTCGGATTCATTCGTGGAGGCCGAACCGCCAACTCCACCACCGCCAGAAAATAGCTGTGAAGCACCACCCCAGTTGGGCATCATCGGGGTAGGGGCGGCTACCACGGTGGGTTCCCTCTGTAGCTGCGATGTGCTCTGGGTAGAACCTTCTTCCGGATACCCACTAGGCACCCCGAAACTCCTAGTATTTAAGTCTCCCACTCTAGGATTCGACCCCTGAGGTATCTCGGCGGTACTGGTAGCCGCAATGTTTTCATTTGTCGTATCCGCTGGCTGCGGTGGTTGGCCATTGGCGTCAACGTGCTGAGTTGGTTGTTGAGCGCTGATAGAAGTTTGTGATGGCTGGCCGTCAAGACGTTGGAGGGGTAACAACGACCACCCAGGAGGGATGACGACGCCTTCAGGGAGGTCTGGACTTCCTGCAGGAATAGCTGCAGAGTAAGATGAACCTCCATGTCTAGTGACGGTTGGCGTTGATGAACGAGGCGGAAAACTGGGAAAGGGTGACATCTGTGCCATATGTTGAAAAGGGGGTAGAGGCTGTTGTGGTATACCCGACGGGTAAGAAGTAAACTGAACATTGATACCAGGTTGCCCAGGTTGCACTATTGGCGCGACCGTAGGTTCTTGCTGTAACTGATGGAGACGGTTAAGTTCAGCTGTAAGAGCATATAGAGTGTGTAGTTCAGCTTGGCTTGTCTGTAGAGATTGTATTTCTTGTTGAATCCGTTGAGAGATGCCCTGAAGTTGCGCCTGCATGTCCATGATGTTGTTCACGCCATTGATAGGGGGGGTGGGACCGGCCGGAGGCGCAAGGGTCGGTGGTGCTGGTGCAGCAGGGATATTGGCATCGGCAAGGGGGAGACGCAGCCGTTGAGCCATCTCATGGATATTTTGAGCGTTACCTTGGGCAAATCCCAAACGAATAGGGCCCAGTTGAAAGACTCTCATATTATCAACACCACGAGCTGGTGCTGGTTGTCCAGCATTCGCAGCTCTATTTCCCGCAGCTGGTTGGCCAGGAGCATTGGGCTGCCCACCAAAGTTAGCCCCTGGAGCGGCAGCACCACCATTAGCAGCAGCACTGTCATCGGTAACCGGACTTCGGCAGGTTGGGCAGACTTGTTGTCTCTCCAACCAACTTTTGAGACAACCAAAGTGTAATATATGTCCGCAGGGAAGCTTTTTGGGGCGCGATCGCTCTACTGCGCCGATAGCGGATGGATCCCATGGCCTCATATCTTCTCTGCAGATGATACAGGTGTCCTCGCGCAACAGCTCCTCCTGTGTAGCATCCGGGTACCTGTCCATATGCTGCAAAGCCTTGCGGTATTTCATGAATGCGCCAAGTCGCGAGATAAAGGAACGAATTGTTACGAAAAGGTCACGCATGATGTGAATGGGCAAGCCGTAGAACATGATCAAGATACCGAAGAAAGCTGAATAGATGCCAAGCTTCACGAAGTCTACATTTATGTTAGTTTGATTATGGCGTGTACCAAGCAGCAAGCTAGGTAGGTTACTCACCAGTTAAGAGATCGAGACTTAGAACCCAATGCCCCTTTGACTCCCAGCCCGGTACTTCGATATCTGTCTCGTCAATATCATCCTCGTCTGGTAGCTCCTCCTGTTGAGCAGCTTCTGCCTCTGCGGCATCTCCGGATTCGCGGCGTCGCATGATTTCGGCACGTTGCTCCCGGATCTGTTGCCGTCGATCGTTTAACCTCTGGCTGGTTTGTTTTCTCACTATGTCTGCCTCCACCAATGACAAGACGTATCGGAAACCAGTGCGGAATGAGCAGGTGGTCAAGATGGCGAACTCGAACAAGAACATGACCATCATATTGGGGCGGGCCTGTTGAATGACTGCATTGATAGTGTAGTTGAATAGCCAGGCATCGTAGAGGACACTAAGGAGGAGGGATACGCTAAGTCTGGTGTGAAAGAGTCGGGGGTTAAGGGGGGGCTGTTGCTCCAGAACCTCGACACGACCTTCGCCTATCCATTCCCAGACCTTGCCAGTGACCAAGGCAGTGAACATAACAAGGAACCAAGCACCGACCTCTTCGCGGAAGATGGTCATGGCAAGGCAAGTCTCCGTCACGGCGAACCAGGCTTTCTCGTAGAGCTGCTCGATCTCGACAGGTCGGAGGGGGCCATAACATAATCGCTGAAGGCCCCAGACAAAGGAGCCGTAGACCAAAAGAACGAGGTTTATGAGGATCTAAAATCAGACGACAGAAAAGGAATTAGCCATTCTATATTTGTAAGGGCAGAGGACCGAGGTAGCCGGGCGGTAGAGGGGCAAAGTGGAAAAGAGAGAAGAGAGGTTACCATGAGACTTAGATTATTTTGCGACAGGAAGACCATAGCAGAGTAGAAATTGGCGCGTTGGTTGAAGGCATAAGCTATCACGCCAGCGGCCAGGGCCGTTGAGGTCTGAACATTGAACAACATAATGTTAGCTAGAGGCGATCGCAAGACCAAAAAAGAAAGAATAAAGGGCTAGTCCTTAGATATGGGAGTTAGGGAACTGTAGTTAAAGCTTACCCCTGCGTACCAGAGAAGTCGCATGATGGGACCAAGTGGGCAGCAATGAGTACCTATGTAAGTAGAAGAAGCAATAAATTGTAAGAGTTATGATGAAAGTAGTTTGTGGGGGGGGGGTCAATTCAGGTGCCCATCATTCCGACATGGAAACAAAATCAAGATGGGAGAACGAATGGTGGAAGGGAGAGGTAGCGTTTGTAGGAAAATGTGGTAGAGTTCTAGGATGGAGATGGAGATGGAGATAATAATATGTACTACTAGTAGTAGAGATGATTGTAAATGCCACCTATTGGAGTTGCTTGCATGCATGTGGGATCTACTGTACATGTACGTACTACATACCTTAACTAGTAGATTCGATAAGGTATGACGCGACTGGGGTGGCCTTGTCAAAGTTGATTGGTTGAGCGGATTATCCGGGCCCCGAGAAGCATTCGCTTAGTTATCTTAGTCCCTTGTTCAACTTAGTTATTCTACTTCTTTAACCTCTTCAACCTCTTCAACTTATTTTAAGCCTTCAAGTTATATCATTGTATCATTGATGTTTCTGGTCATGGTCCCCCCCTTATTCAGAAACTCATCATCCTCTCGAGGTAGAATACGAAGTAATCCCTTGACAAGCGCAATATATTTTTCGATAAGAGTACCAGTACCAGTACCAGCACCAGTACCAGTACCGCCAGTATCAGGTGTTAGCAGTGGTGAGCTGAGCGCGGTTGAAACAGATGGCGATAGCAGGTTCGGCCAAAGTCAATTCTGTTAGGCTAGTCCATTCTCCTTGAGAAAAGACAGCCTTGATAGAGGGCAGCAAAGAAGACACATTGGCCTCTACTTGTGATCATCGATCCGTCATATCCCAAAACTCCCACTTATGGGCCATCAATTTGCTTCTCGACGTTCCAGCATCACTCTGTGACTATTGGTCTGAAATGCGATACCTACCATAAATATTCACCTTTGGTTTCATACCGTGTTGGTGAGCTGCGGCTATAATTGAACCATCATTGATAGTTACTTTCCGAGCATGCTGCTCAGGTAAATGCCTCTTCGTACATAATGTTAATCATGTAATCGCCTAGGGTATAATGATGCTGATCAAGGTGTCAAGGGTCTCTACCTGGGACCACATGGGGGTTCACATGGAACAAAGACAACTTACATGTAAACGTAGCCTTCCCAGTCTCCGAGAGATGTTAGAGGTCCCCGCGCAACAAAGATATTGCTTTGCGTCTTCTAGGTTCCGCCTCGTGACACAAGGCTTTATACTACGAGCTAGCAATGTGCTCATCAGGGACAGAGGGAATTGGTTCTTACTAGAGTGAGGCAAGCTTCTTTGATACGATTCGGTACACTCTCGAGGTAGTCTCTGCGGTTCGCGCGGTGGCTGCCTGCTTGACGTTGACCAAATTTCTCTTAGGGTGTATATATCTAGGTAAGTCGTTGTGTATATTCGCCTACGATTAGGGTAGCTCGTTGCATTCATGGCTATCGAGCGAGTCAACTGCGCAACTTCATCTTCAGTTGACGCATGAATTTGATAAAGCCACTAGTTTTTATGTCTTGATATGATCTTCATTAACCTCCCGCCCCCTTTCTTGGTATCCCTCTCAACGTTGGCCTTGAAAAGGGGGAAAAGAGCCAAAGGACTCTCACGCCTTACCAAACCATCCCACGACAATTGCGATTCATAGATTATTCGAGATGAAAACAAGGGGCTCTCTTACCTTCGATAAACAATACCGGCAGTAGAGCATCGTATCTCCGACTAGGCAAGTGAATACGAGGTTATTTGGTTGTGTACAAATATAGCGACTCGTGTAAGTGTGGCGCACCAGTCGCGTGCATGGAAAGCTCCTCGAGGAACACCAATGGCTTGCAGATAGCATCATTGAGCATGCCTTGAACTACCTACCTCGGTGGACTATACGGGGACCGGGAAGTGGCTAGGTCAGTATGTTAGGTTTAGTCTATGATCCTCGACATTCGCTACTCCTCTCCCATCTGTCATTCATTCATTATGATTTGTGCACATAATAAATTGGGCGGCTTGAGATTTGATTGCACAACCTGTTCCTGGCAAGCGCTCGTGGTGCCGGAGAAGAAAGAAGAAGAATTGGCTTAATCTCCGACGGGGACGGGAGCGCCCTTTCCGTTCGCCCAAGGGTCTTGCTTAAGGTGTGGCATGGCGTGCGGTTGTCACGTCAGGCACTGCAACATCGGTCATGCCTAGCGAGTGGTAGGCTAGATGCCCACCTACTAAGTAGGTAGGTCGGCGGGTCGGCGGGTCGGCATGTAGGTATATAGGTATATAGGTATATAGGTATATAGGTATATAGGTATATAGGTATGTAAGGCAAAGTATGTAAGGTAAGTAAGGTATGGGATTACGTTACAAGCGGTGCAATGGTTCGCCGAACACGACACACAACACATTTCATGCAAGAGGGGAATCAAAGAGCTTTGGTCTGTGTCTGGTCTAGAATCGCAACTCGTTCATCATACCTGCTCGTAGATGTAGGTACTCTCGCTCCGATAGCAATCAGAGAAACACTGTCACTTTCGGGCAAAGCAGTCAGACTGACCTCGCGCAAAGAGCGAATGCGACCTAATATCTAATAGAGGTAAACTTGTCTACTAAGCCTCTCACCAATACCATCTTGTGATGCCGATAGGTAGTTATTTACCTACCTACCTACCTACCTACCTACATAAATGCCTAAGTATGTCGGTGACGCCTATGGCTGTAGCAAGGAGCCCCCGCGCATGTCAACCCTTGACATGCAAGACATCGAGCAGGAAGCGCATGGCTGAGAAGAGAGGGAGCTCCCGAATGATACTCTCAAACCTTGATGTGCAATACAAAAGTCTTGACGTCGGCGATATGTAGGTACTGTGACCGCCCCGAAAAGAACAAAAAGGTCCGCGAGAGCGATAGGTATGGCTCCGCGAATAGGGGTTCTTCGCAGCCTTTTCTTCTTCCCTTCCACTCTACGACGGCCTCAGTTCGGGCGTCGAAGTCGACTACTGCTGCTGAATTGGCTTGTGAATTTCCCATAGAGTATGCTATGTGACTATGCTATGTGTGTACGATGAGCGTCGCTGCGGTGAGGGGACGAGCAGTTTGGAAATGATCTTCAAGCAGTGTAACGTAGAAGGCTGCTGAAAGCTGTCAAGTGCTGATCTCGCTTCTGCGGGTAGAAAACCCAAATCCCGGCCAGGCATGGGGAAGGGAAAGGGGGGAGGAGGAAGGGGAGGGGGGGAGGGGAGGGAATGGGCCGTTGCGGATTACTCTGACTCTGTTTATTGAGGCTCAAAAACACGTGTCGGGGGGGTAACCGACTTAAAGCATATCAACCGAGATGATGATAAGTCTAGGGTGTTGGTTGGGTGGTTTACGGGGTCCAAGTCAGACGGACGTGCCCTTGGAAACCCACTGGCGACTTATTATCAAGCTACGGAAGAAATGCGAATAGTGTCGTATTGTATTATTGTATGTACTTTACAGTCTGTACTGAACATGTGGTAGACATCAACAAAGGCGCACGGAGAGTGCTAGAATCGATTGAAATGGAGGTGGGGGTAAATAATTCGACAGAGCTTTTCTTTAAGCGACATCTGTGTACGAAACCCGTGTACGAAGTATGTATTGTATTGTACAATACATGTATGGGCTTCCCCCTACATACTAGGTACTATGGAAGATCAGGGGGAAACAGGGCAAATGGTTTCTTTACCGAGCTCCACGTCAGCCATGCGCAGTGATATCCAAACGCCTAGACGCAGAGCAAGATCTTGGGTCGGCGATCCGTGAGTGACTTCACTTTTACAGAATGCATGTACGTATCTTGATGTTACATTTTGATTTTTTTGGTTTGCTTCTTAATGGAATGTGATATAACTGCTGGTGGGTCTGTAGAAGGCCTCCTGATCATAAAATTTGCTGGCGAGTATGGGGATAGGCGTTGTCCTTTTGATGGCAACCGTACAAGCACCGAAGGTAGCGTAGAGGCGAAGCAGCCTGCGGTAAGTCTATAAGGTAAGAACTATATCGTGAGCCCCAAACAGTCAGGAGGGGGGTTTCAAAGCTATCCTCCCCCACAACCATAGAGCGTTAGACTAAGACGAGACGGGAGCTGTTAAGCGCACAGCGTTCCATTCGCGGCAGCTAAGACGGGGCGGCGCGCGGAAGTTCAACGCGTCGGGGCATCGCTATAAATCTACCTAGTGTAGGTAAACACGGAATTGCAGCGTATGGTGATCACCTTGTCGCCTAGGCCTTAAGCCTTAAGGGATTGAGACTAAAGCATCGTTAACCGTACCGGACTCCACGGGACCTACATGAATACCTACATGACTACCTACAAAGGTACCTAGACATGCGCAAAGGATCTAAAAGGTGGATAGTTCGTTGTTGATCTCGTGGGTTTCCCAGATCCTACCTGCTGTTGCTTGGGGCAAGCCACAGATCATGTCATAGTAAGTTGCAAAACACGGACCTGGACTCCTATCATATCCGACAACGAGTATTAAGGAAAATATATGGCATGGAATTGTAACTTTTCCATAGTCCCAGGTTTATGGCCACGACGATCGAACCAGCCAGTTGGGTCCTTTCAAGGGACCCTTGGATCTATAGTCTGTCTATTGCTGGTCTTATCTCAATATCTGTCATGGACGATACAAGGGCCCTGCCATTATGATGGATGATAATCATAATATACGTATCTATCTTTCTCTCCGCATGTTGTAATTGGATAGATATGAATTGCCGTTGAGACTCCTGAGTTGCCTGAGCACTGTAGAACCGGCCCCATACGAGACTAACCTAGGTTAGTCAAATTCGGCAGCGGCTGGCTGGCGTCAATCATGTCGTGTCCGACTCCGCACGCATGTGAGCCCCTAAAATATCCATCCCAGGTATGTACCTAACAGCGAGCATGCTGACAAAATGGCGCACTAGACTCTCCATCAGGAAATTGCCAGGATATAGGCGTTTTAAAGGATCAAAGGAATGCAGCGCATACACGTGGAATTGGTTGCTACCTAGTAGCCACAACTCCAACAGAAAGCCTCCAGATGTAGCCAGCCTAGGTCTGTAATTCTATCAATAGTAGACACTACTACATATGTAGACAGTAAACGGTAGACAGTAGACAAAAGTGAAGATAAGAACAGGCCCATTTAAGATGGGGGAATCGGAGAGGAGAGGTTTCGGTCCCGAACTACAAGATAAAGGAGCCTATTCTTCCAAGGCGCTACATAGGGCGCTACATAGGGCGTGAGC